ATAATTCTTTCTTAAACCAAATTATCTTCTAGATTAATGTTTGCTGTAATATGATGATAAAATTCATGCTCCAATGTAGATAGTCCAAACTTATTTTATTTTTAAGGATAAATGATTTTTGGAAAACAACAATCTTTTATTGGCTCAGTCTTTAAATGACATGAGAAGAAAAACCACTTGATCTTTATCTCAAAACCTGCATGTGTATCACATTTTGTCACAAATCTTATCTTATCAAGCTATAAATTCTGACAAGTATATATGTGACAATGCGATTTTTATATTTTTCTTGAACTATATGAATGAATAACTGTTTATGCTCCTTGATATGCCAGTAATTTTATAATGCTATATCTATATATGCTTGAAGATTATGGAAACAAGGAAAATCGATGTAGTATTTGTAACAAGTTTTTTATTCTAGTAGAATTATACATATTGTACACTTTGAGTACACATTTGATTTTCACCCTCAAAGTAACTCGGTAGAGCACTCTCTCCGAGATCAGTCAAAGGTTGTGGGTTCAAAGCCAGTGGCCGCTACAATCTTGAGTTGATGAAAAAAAATGGGTTGGAACTGTGTTCCTTTGCCAAGCGTTTTGCACTTTAATTGGAAGTTGTGGATCTTAAAAAATTGAATACCAGGTAAATCCGTAAATGTCAAGACGGTCCATGTCAGCCTTCATTAGCGTATAAAGATATTGCCTCATTTGATAGAAAAAAGAAATCTTGCAAGCAATGTAAAAAATTAAACTACAGTCAAGTACATTTTTGATTTTTACTTTCTTTTACTATATTATAATTAACAATATTTTAAGATTATTTTTACATTTTAAGAACTTTTTTCTAAAAAAAAGAAAAAATTGAAACAAGACAATTGTTTATGATTTTGATAATGATTTAATATTTATACCAGTTTTTAGCATACAGGTACTTTTATCATGCTTAATTAAACATTACATTTGACATGATAATTGTGTTATCAGATTAAATCCTGACGTACCCAAGTGTTTAACCTTATCCTACCTATATTCATCAACATTGAGCATCTATACACTGCATGCAAGATTTATATTTAGAATCAATGCCACATCACAGCTCCTTGCTGCAGACCAGATTTATTAATTATTTAGTTGTGAACAAGTCTTAGTTTAAAAAATCAACATGGCTCTAATGAATCTGGATGGGATTACATATATCCATTTGGGTAGGTTATTGCATTCTGTATTTTAAATGAGTCTACCTGGTGATCAATCTCCTGGTCTTTGGCCTTTTGTCCAAAGGTTTATATACCTGTATCTTTTGATAATAATGTAATGCTACCACACAATAGTTTGAATTTGTTTGTTCTGCACATGCACATGTTTGATGGGGTTTAATGTATGTGAATATAAGATCTGTGTTTTTCTCTCTTTTTTTTTAATATTAAACTATAGAGCTAATGATGCCGAAGTTTCATACTTTTCTTAGTAATATATAAGTGCTAATTTTTCCAAAAGAATTTTTTAAATGGCTAAATATCATAATTCTATTTCATTTACTAAATACTGAATGATCAATTGTTTGAATACTGCATATTGCTCATAATTTTTTTTTTCTAAAACTTTGCAATTTTAAGGAAATGGGGAGGGGGTTATGGTAAATAATAGGTTTTAGAAATCTATTTCCCATTCTGTAAATTTAGATATCTTAATTTTTTTTATTGTGGTAGAGTGGTGGAGCTCTGAAAAAAAGTTAACTAGATACATCTACATTTAAGATTGGTAGATGCATTTTCATTATGAGAACATATAGTTTGCACTTTCATTTTTGAAAGATTATTATATGATTTGACTCTTATGTCATTATCAGAACCCTCATCTCCTCTCAGATATAATATTTTAACTTCAAGAGTATTAATTTTAATACTGTCTTTATACATTAGATAGTCTATCTTGATTAAGGACTATATAGTAAAATAATCTAAACTTTGAAAAGTCCTATCAAGATATACAACTGTATACAAGAATATATTGTACCGCTATCTTGGGCAATGCTTATCAGTCTTAAGACACACCTGATTCTACAGGTAAAAACAGATTATTTCGGCTTGGACAAAATTCTAGTAGAAAGGCATTTTGGGACTTATGGATTCACTAATCTGCATAAACAACCCAATAGACCTGATCTGTAGAACCACTCAAACGGCTAAACAGAGAATATTACTGATATAGATATTTCAAGTAGTTGGCAACTTTAGACAATTCTCATTGACAAATATCCCTCCCTTTGATAGAGGTTGGGTTGACAAGAATTTGGAGGTCACATTTTCTATGTGAGAGTTTGGTTTTTCCAGAGTATTTACCTTGGACTGTTTCATTTTTGCATTGCGTGCGGATGAGTGGATGGTAAAGTGGTTTTTGGAGTACATGTGTACTGGTGAATGAAAAAAAATGCATGTAGTAATGAAGTTAATAAAAGTTTTCCATTTAGTCATTGATGAAATGTTGCTACTTGTAGTGTAATACGGCCAGGGTTCAAGAAAAGAAATGGATCTCTATAGAAAACTGCATACCAGTAAAAAATAAAATGGCATATAGCTATTCCTACAGTAAATAAAATCAAATTTATAGTCTTCATGAATTGATCACTTTTAGAAAAATCATGTGCCTTTCACTTGTAAGTGATGTAGAAAATTAAATATTTTACAACTTCCTATACAGACTTCTATACATTTATTTCATCTTCCTTTAGTCCTTAGAGGGTTATTTTTTGAAAACAATTGACATTTCGTGACATCAGTTGAAGTTTATCATGATTTGTAAACAATACAAAATCCTAATTGCCATCAATGTTTTAAGTGAAAAGAAAATCATTAAAAAGATAGATAGTGACTGAAAAAATTAATTCTTTATGTTATGTTTAGTGGACACATTCAGTGATTGCATGCTTGCCTACAATTTAAAGTTAGCAAGGTTCACGAACTCCATAAAGTGGCCCTCAGTCCCTTATACCAATTAACTGACTGAGTTCAAATGTCCATCATTTTATAGTTAGAGAGTTAGTTATTCATTTACGATAAAAGAAAAGTTTCCTTTGAGAGTTCAGTAATTGCAAAATAGGATTTGTGAAATTTCAATATTCTTGAATTTTGAAGAAAATAGAATGATGAATTTCAGAACATCTTTAGCTAATTATAAAAATATATAATATATATATGAGTCTACCTCTACCAAAATTTTTTTTGGACAAGAATCTTCTAATACATTCTTTCATCATATAATTAAACATTTTAGATTAGAGGTTGGGGGCTAATGCAAAATATTGAAAAACACTTAGAGTACTCGGTAATTTTTGGCGTTTTTTAAAGGTTCAGATATGAGGAAAATGACACACTTAATGACATCATAATGGTCTAGAAAGAAAATTGTCATTTTAATTGATATACAGTGACAAGGGTCCATTAGAAATTTAATCTATTAGAGCAGTTTTGATTTTTTTCGGAAATTCAAAGGGCCAAATAAGGCCCTTAGTGAACCATGTTCTTTAATTGAGGCTTCAGTCTTGCAATGGCAATGCATATTTAAGTAGTTTTATATGTAGTTGTTGATTTAAAGTAACATTCAGTTCTCATAATGGATTGTTATTCATCTTTTTTTTATTGTTTTGATTGTAAGTTTATTTTAAATACATTTCATGTAAGGTAGTTTTAGAGTGCATAGAGGTCATGTTTTCCATTTTATCAATTTTGTGGTTTTGAATTATAAACATTGGAATTGTAAGCTGTGGAATGTATAAAAATCGTGGAATATATATAAATGTTTTGACAAGAAGCATTCCATTTTTCCTGAACCAAAGAAATGTAAAATATAATTTAGTTTTTATTTTTAAAAAAACGCAAAGGAAAATTTGATGTCTCAAAATATAATAGACCGTTTCACGATAACTGCGGTACTGCTTTCTTGCAGGGCAAAATTTGATTATTTTCTCAAAATATAATGTCATGTTATTGCTGATTTGAGGTGCATGAACTTATGACTAAGATTTCTTGATCAAATGGGGGGGGGGGGGGTTGAGGTTTTTTGTTTTGGCTTGTCCCTTTTTTTTTTTTTTTAAGAATAAAAATAAAATTTAGTTCAGTTTTCTTTTTTTTTTAAGAATGCGTGAAAATAAAAATCTAGTTTTCAAATTTTTTCTTTAGTTCTAATTAAGTGGTAAGTGGGAGAATGTAAGCAATCAAAAAAATTTTTTTTATCAGCTTAGAGTACACTTATTTCAAAAACAATATTGACTTTAAAAAAAATTGAGATGGAAAAACTAATTCTGATCTTGTTCCCTCTCAGTTTGTCTGTGTCAGGTCCTGCAGTGTAAGTCATGTATAAGTCTCTGACAGTAGCTTGGTATTAATTCAAAAATCAACAAGAATTAATCAGTATGGACAAATATTGGTAGATAAAGGCATCTACTGTAACAGTTTCAGGTGTGAATCCACTTGTTTCCGTGTCAATCATGTTTGCATTCCTCAGGTTACCACACACACGCTCAAATATTTCTCAAGTCCTTTATCAGGCACCCACTGATAACAATAGATAATAATTATTACAACCTAGTTAAAGAAATAAAACAAACAAAGTACCAATATAAAAATGATTATTCAAATAGAAAAAAAATGAAAATGGATTTATAGAATTTTTTTAAAGATTCTAAATTATTTTGAGTATATTGGGTTTTTATGGGCACTAATTTTTTTTGCTGCTGTTTTGTGTATATAAAATAACCATTTTTCCCATCTGATTCAGTCCTTATCTCTTTTGTGGAGGGTTAAGATAAAGAATTAAGCAATAGTCCATTCAGGTTTTACCAGGTCTGGGGGGAGGTGTGTCCAGAAGGGCATTGTTGACATCATGTGACTAATACAATACCTAGAGACTGTCATGGGCTGCAACTATAAAACTCGGGAGAAATATCAAATTCGTTTTCCTACTTTCAGTCCTTGTCTGAGAGGTAGTCCTTAGTATAACTGTGTAGAACACTTTGATTTAATGGTCTATTCTATGACAATGAGAGATTGTGATAGCTTTCTCTACAGCTATCTAGAGGCAGCCACACAGCAGCAGTATTATTATGAATATGACCCAGGTAAAAGAAAAGGAAGCAGACTTGTTCATTTTAAAATTCTAAAATTTGAAGAAATTGAGCCAATTTTTAATGTATTTTCCCTTTTGTTTCCTCCTCCTTGAAACTTCAGTCAAAATTTTAAAGGAGTCCATTTTTGAAAGGATTTTTTTTTCTTTTTCTTAAAGATTCCCCGGAGATGACAATGGGGGCTCTGGGCCCTATGCCGTCAGCAGGGAGTACCTCCCCCACCCAAGGCATGAGCCAGTACTGTGCCATCTGCGGTGATCGGGCCACCGGCAAACACTACGGAGCTTCCAGCTGTGACGGATGTAAAGGATTCTTCAGGCGGAGCGTGAGGAAGAACCACGTCTACTCCTGTCGCTTCAGCAGGAACTGCGTCGTGGACAAAGACAAGAGAAATCAGTGTCGATACTGTCGTCTCAGAAAGTGCTTCCGGGCAGGAATGAAGAAAGAAGGTAAGATTGGGCTGAGCTGTACTTCTAAGTGAAGATATAAATAAATATATTTTTTTTGGTTTTGAAAAGTAAATGGCATGTATGTTTGGTTTATTGCAGTTTGTAGTTAAATATAATTATGTACCTACGTTTTTGGACTTGATGTCTTTTAAAAGTATTACCGGTAATGTAAAATGGAATACTGTATACACTGTATGTATCTGTTGTACCATAATGATTCAGAAAAAAGTATACATGTTAGCCCTCTTAAAATTTATAGATGCAATATATGTGAAAAATAATTTTTCTGATTTTTTCCCTTTTATATCCTAGCAATTGAAACCAATATTTTAAAAATATTTTTCTTGATTTATTTTTTTCACTGTCTACCAATTTTCTTTGTCTTTTTTATTACAAAAAATTTCATGCTAAAAAATGATGTTCTTGACGAAGACATTTTTGATGTCTCCACAGCTGTTCAGAATGAGCGAGATAGAATCAGTGTGAGGAGAACCAGTTATGAGGACGTGAACCAGACAAACTCCCTCTCCGTCAGTACACTGTTAAATGCAGAAATTCTTTCCAGACAGGTTTGTGATATTTCTGCACCCTTTTAAATTGAAAAATTTTAACAATATAAAAACAGAAATTTGAAGAAAACAAAATGTATCTTTATTTCTAATACAGAAAAAAAACGATTTTTATAGTAGTAAACTGTTATGGTTCAATTGCCAATTGTGTTTACAAAAATATTGTAAACTTTTCCTTCTTAAAATAAAAGCATAGTTAACATTAATTCATTTGGTTTGAAAGCACATTTTGATACTTTTGGGAATAAGTTAGACTGCCAATCACTGACAATCGGTTTTATAATGTACACCCCTAATGTTTTTAATTATAGATCACCCCTTCACCTATGAACGTAGACCTGTCCCAGAAGTTGGTAGCCACAGCTAATGATGTTTGTGAGTCGATGAAACAGCAGCTGCTCATTCTGGTAGAGTGGGCCAAATACATTCCCTGCTTCTGTGAGCTGGCCCTGGATGATCAGGTAAATAAACTAAATATTGCACCAATTACAGGGGAACTTGTCTAATCCAGATGCCATTTGTTCAATATTAATGGGTTGAATTAGGTATATTGTTGAAGTTCATTTTCTGTGCATTTTAATTTTTGCAAATTTTCTGCCATTGTTTTGATTCCATTGAATTATTTTCCCAACAGAAAAGTACATTTACAGATATTTGGTGCAAAGGGAATAAAAGTTAACATCATATTAGGCAAAATTATGGAACAACATCTGGATTAAACATGTTTTACTGTAGTAACTGTATCAAATGATTCTTAATACATACTCTTCAATGAAATGCCTTGGTACAATTTTTTAAAACTTTTTTATTTTCCCAGGTTGCACTGCTGAGAGCACATGCTGGTGAGCATTTGATTATGGGTGTGGCCTGTGGTTATTAAAAAGAAATTTCCGTGGAAAACATTCAAAATGCTACTCTTCTCTGATTTCAATATAACTTGGCACACAAGGGTCAAGGATGTTTTGTTGCGGTGTTGCAGTGGCAATGATGCCAAAATCATTCCCAGAAATAACTTGACACACAGGTAGAAGTAGAAATCGGTTTTGGATTTTTATGAACGGTGTTTGCATGGTTACTTAAAATAGAAATTTCCATGAAAAACATTCAAAATGCTATTCCTCCTACAGTTTTGGTCTGATTTCAATATAACTTTGCACACAAGTAGACCACACTAAGATACATAATTCTGATTATCAACTGTATATCAACTGATTTTGAAAGCCATTAAGTTTTCTTTGCAATCAAATACAGGTGCTTATAATACATGTGTTAACTATTAATGTACACTGAGATACATGTAAATTTACAGGTCCCAACTGCCCCTTTTCTTTGTTTAAAGTACAAACCAGTAGAGCTACAGTCTCAACAGAGACTTCTGGTTAATACATACTCTTCAATGAAATGCCTTTGTACAATTTTTAAAAACTTTTTTATTTTCCCAGGTTGCACTGCTGAGAGCACATGCTGGTGAGCATTTGATTATGGGTGTGGCCAGACGATCTTTAGGGGTCAAGGATGTTTTGTTGCTAGGCAATGATGCCATCATTCCCAGAAATACCCCAGAAGTAGAAATAGGTCGTGTTGCCAGCAGAATCCTGGATTTCTTTCCAACCAATTCCAAATGGGATTTTTTGCTTAAAAGCCATTGTTTTCTTTGATCCAGGTCAGTACACGTGTTGACTGATAGTTTTTTTTTAAAATTCATATATTTAAAAGCTTTTTTAAACATATATATAAAAACAAGTTTCTGTGTTCATTTATTTGTATAATTTTTTATTAAAACAAATTTCAAAAGACTTAATAGGCCAAAATGTCTTTAATTTTCACAGAAAACTATGTATTTATTGACAGATGCCAAAGGACTGAGTGATCCCCAGAAAATCAAAAGCTTCCGCTACCAGGTTCAGGTGAATCTGGAGGACTACATCAACGACCGTCAGTATGACACCAGGGGGCGCTTTGGGGAGATCCTCCTGATGTTGCCTCCTCTACAGAGTATTACCTGGCAGATGATAGAACAGGTGCAGTTTGCCAAACTGTTTGGAATGGCAAGGATTGACAATCTTCTGCAGGAAATGTTACTGGGAGGCAAGTGGAATTTTCTCTCTGAATAGATTTAGATGAACATTGATGCATAGAAAAAAAATATGTGTATGGTGTAATCAACAAAGTTCATAAAAGTTCACCTCCATGCAATTCTTCAAATAATTAAAGATTAGCGTTAAAATTTAGTGGATTTTGTATAATTTTTTGTTGTGGTTTAAATTGTTTAAATATTTTTTTATCTTTTGTATCTTGCTGTTGCTATACTGTAAACCAACTTTTATTTGCCTGGTAGAAATATTCACGATATCTGCAGTATACTTTAACTCACAAAAATTGATCCAAACAAATTTTTTTTTGGATTTTGTAATAATTTTTTTGCATTCCCAAAAATTGATTATTGCAAATTGATTTTTTTGAATCTCTTTTATAAATGTGTTACTGTTGATCTTTAAGATTTGCTGTTTGGTGGTTAAAAAATCCCTCTTTAATCATTAACCTAATTATCTTAATATTTTAACAGGAGCAGCTCCTGAGAATGGAAGCACAGGATCAACCACCCCCACCACACTACAGCCATCTCTGATGGTCAACAATTTCAGCGACCAGATCTCCAATAGTGCAGACGTACTCTCCATTGCCACGGCCACCATCCCTTCCCCCCATACCTGCATTTCCCCCAACAACAGCCAGGGTTCTCCCATGGGGAGCCCCTTAAATTTAGGAATGCACCACAGCATACAAACGCCAACCCCACCCCTGTCCACTGCTGACCATCTCCTGACGGCATCCGCAATGACGTCAAATATCGACCACCTGGCCATACAACACCACAACGAATCACCAATCTCATCCCCTCCACTGTCTACGGAATCCTACACTAAAGTCAATGGGTCGTCTTATTCATTCAAACAAGAAGTGTCTTCATAATACAGACTGGCTTTGTGAGTCATATATTAAATATATGTTTGTGTGAAGTCATTTGTTTTTTAACTAGGATGGTTAAAAACAGTTATACTTTGTACATCTTCATTTTATAACCAGATATATTCCAGTGTGAATAAGCTTAAATTGACCAATATTTCTTATAAGTATGTTTGTTTGAGTCATTTTGGTGGCCATCATTTTGAAAAAAAAAAATGTTATGCAGATTTAGCTGTATATGTTTTTCAAAGACATCTAGTCATGTTAAATTTATTCAGGAGATGTTTTTAATATTTGATATTTAAATCTGGTTTCTGTTTTGTTTTGATCTCATTTCAAATTTTGGAAGTCATTTACAGCATACATGTAGGCACTTGTTCACGGCTGTAAAAAAGTGTTATTTCCTTTCAGAGTGCTTTGCTAGATTAAATTTTTTAAGAGGAAGGATTGATAATAAAATATTTGCATGAAGATTTTACTTACTTTAAGTCAGATGGGCTTTGACATCATGAATTGTAGCAAAGCCTTATTTTAACTGAATCTCTGTGTAGATATATACTTTTTGTAAATATGAGAAGTGATATCTAATCCGCACAAGATGTATTAACACCATATTTATTTGTAAGGTATTTTAATACTTATGTTGATTTGTTTATGTGTTTTATTTGTAGTACATGTTATTGAATTCATTTAACAAAACCATTGGTACATTATGTACAGTGCAGAGACAAATATAAATTTTTTCTCTTATGAAAAGCATACCACCCTTTTCAACCACCCTTCTTAAAAAGAGCTTTAGGGACTTAAATATTGAAACACTTGTGATAATTGTTGTGATTTTTTTGCTTTCACAATCATCCAGGATATTGATACTGTGAGACAGCAACCAATATGTTAACATTTACAGCCACAAATTCATTACAGCAACCAGCACTCACATTTACAGCAAACAACTCACTCACATTTACGACAACCTTACTGACACATTCACATCTACAGCCAATCAATGCATTCACATTTACAACTACAATAATTTTCACATTTACAGCCAAGTATCACATTCACATTTACAGCAATTGTCACTCACATTTACAGGTACCATTCACATTTACAGCAACCAACACATTTACATCCAATCAAAACATTCACATTTACAGCAACCAACACATTTACATCCAATCAAAACATTCACATTTACAGCAACCTTACATCAACCAATCCATTCACATTTATATGCCTTCATAAATTTAAAATGATGCTATACATGTTGAGCTAGTGTATACATTATACACTCTAATTCCACTGATAGTCACTAACATAGTAGATTGAGTGATTTAGTGCCAGTTTCAATGCATTTTTGTAGAATTTGAAATCACCCAATATTTATAAACATTAACCTGAATTTTGCAAATTGAAAAGCTTGGTAGATACTGTTAAAAGTGAAACACAGTTTGTTAGAAATAACCATTCTATTGGTATATGTTATAGATTTGTACATAGTTTTGTGATTACCTGTGATTTTAAGCTTGGCAGGAATTTTATTCAATGCAAGGACCAAGTGCCATGAACAATGCAAAAATTGTGTATATAATTATAGACATTCTAGAAATATCCAATCATTGATTATTGTGCTGTTATCTGATGCAAATTTCTATATTTTTATATAACATTGTATTTTTGACTGATGGATCAAATGCTGTTTTTATGAAATAATTAAAGCTTAAACTGAAATCCTGTTATTGTAGTAAAATCTTAAAATCCAAAAATTTGAAGCTTCAGAGTGGGAAGAATTTGAGTACTAGTTTTTGAGAAGGATTCAGTTTACACAAAAGAAACCCAAGGGGTAAACAAGGAAATGCTTCCAAAGTGCAGATTGATGCAACTGGTTTGCAGTGCTAGGGCATTTCTATTGAATGATTATAATAAAAGTTTCAGTGTTCTGAAAAACAAATGAGCTTAGGTTTCTCGGGTGTGCATTGTGGCCTATGAGTGTTTTGTTGATTCCCCCATCAGATAGGTGCACAATTTTATTGAAAACCCCAAAAGAAAATTTTTAACAGTCTAGCAGATCCCAAATATTTAGGATGATCTAAAATTTGTTTTAGACTTGTATTCTTACCTTACAGAATTTACAAAGTAACCTTATACTGTGAAATCACAAATTTTCGAGGGGGTTTAATTTTCGTTGTTTTCGAGGTATGAATAGACCCACGAATTCATGTCCACCACGAAATGTAAAATGTTACATTCATAACTACTAAGCAATTCTTCATCCACGAATTCAAATCCCCACAAACCAAGAGTTTTTCCTCAAACCACGAAAATTTGATCCTACAAAAATATGTGATTTTACAGTAATTGTATGGCAGTGTTTATAAGAACAGAAGAAATCAGTCATACACTTGTAAGTATGTGTATAAAAATACACAAGAAATAAACAGCAAATATGCATTATTGGTTTTATTTATTCAAATTATTAACATTTTTTATCAAATGATAACAACAAAATCACAGAACTTCTACAATATCAGTAAATATTCTTCCTACAAGTTTATTAATCTGTTGCTGATTTTTTCCCTCTTTTACATGTATCTATCATCATAATACAATACCTTTAGAATACATTTTTTTGAATACTGAAAGCAAAATCACGATCTAGGGGTTTTTAGACAAAATAAATGAATATTTTTTAATTTCTTTTTATGTTTCATCAGTTCTTGAGAAGAGTTCAAGTAGAACATTAGGTACCGTACGTTGTATAGTACATACACAATAATAGTTCTGTTCTTATGAATAAAGCATACATTTTTAGCATAAATTAAACAAACCATAAAAAGAATTACAGTAACAGACAGTCTATCTAAACTTGAACAGCATCAAATTGTAATTTTCAGCTTGTACCAAAATCACATCACTGGGTTTTTCTATATGACCAGTGCTAATTGACATATTTGAAGTTCCTGAATGATTGACAGGGATATTTCAAACTTATACCCATTCACCAGCTGAAATTCACAGAAAATCTTCTCTCCCCCCCCCCCCCTTATAAAATTAAATGTGAAAATGAAAAAAAAGTGCTTACATGTATATTTATACCAAGTAACACAGATAAATATTATCTGGAATCAAGTGAATATCTAGATCTATCCGAGATTTTTTCTTTCAAAGACAAAAATCGAACATAATAGGTTTTAAATGTATTATTAAACAGACGGATGAAACTGTCATTGTTCATGTGATTAAAAATAAACAAATCAAAACAAATTACTACATTTTAAAAATATGACAATATATGATAACAAAGGGACGTAACCAAACAACAGACCTTAACATACATAATAAGTAATGGCTACAGTCTGCAAACAAAAATAATCAAACTCATAAATAAAACAAACGTATCTTTACAAGATCTTCATCATTACATATTTAAAACAATCCTCAAAAGACTATACAAAGATACTCAGGCTTTCATTACTAATACTGGCCATTGCGCTTTTTTCTGTGAAATATACACGCACATGCAATTGACAGTACAAATTTTCACATGATCTACTCTGATAGGCTACTATTGTACAGGTTGATATTTACATGTACTAATAATACCATAAACAGAAATGGCCATCGCCAGATTCATTATATTATACTGTACCAAGTACACCTTGAAACAGAATGTATGTATCAAACCTATTGTATTGGTTAGCTATGGTGATCTACAATTGCTAGTCTAGGATTACATGGTTTGTTGCAAAGAAAAAAAATATATCAGTTAAAAATTAATGAAATATGTTTCAGAAAATAAAAAACATGTACAAAAACATTTCGAAGAATAAAGATTAACATTTTTAAAACATTTCATATTAAAATACCAGTTTTTGAACAGAATAAAGGGTGGGTTTTCAAACCCTGCATTAATCTGTGTTAATTCTTTTTCCTGCATAAAACATGTTTTAGATATATATGTGTATATGTATCTGTCTTGTGCATGGTACAATGCATTGTGAAATAAGAAAGCTGTATCAATCTCACAGATTATATTCAATTCCAATTAAACTGTATGCACTCTCGATTTCACAAATACAACCCCTCTGTAGAATATACTGACCACGATAATTTAAGGTTCATCTACCCTCCGATTATTTAAGGTCATCATCTCTCTTCTTATTCATATAAAATCCTTCCTAATATTTATGATTTTCAAAAAGAAATTGATTCATAATTATAATGCAGTACATGCCACGCAATTCCTGCATATTTAGCTAGGCAAAATTGGACAAAAATGACTTTTTAACATGAATATTTTATAAAAAAATAACAGCAATTTATTTCAGTTAGAGTTATCTTTCTTTATCAGAGGATTGATGAACCTTAATGGATTTCTACAAGTACACACAAGGACTTCAAAAAGGTCCTTAGTGTGTGTTTTTCAGTGATAAAAATCACCTTTTTTAAATAGAAATATATTCTTAGATAAAAAATATATTGAGGTATTTCTCTATCATTTATGAAAGATTCTGCCCCTTTTAATTTATGTTTTAGTTTAAAAAAATCATTTGTAATTGGTGTTATTGGTAAAAAGACAAAAAAAATCAGTGAAAGGATACCGGTAATTATTAAGTAACAAAATTATATATACATAAATATACAAGTATATGTTACAAGCAGTATTTATGGTAATTAATATGTACAAAGGACGTAAAGGTAGGCTACACATAATAGAGGTAAAACTACTGTAGTACCTTCAGTGCTCTGAGTAAGCTTGTCATAAGCGACCTCATTTCAAAAACACGACATACAAAATATTAATGAGTCCATTATGAAATCAAGTTCATGTCCATTCACATTTATAAAAACTTCCACAGTGTACAAATACACTGGTACCCCCAAATCATTCACATGATGAAAAGTAACTATAAACAGAATGATGTCTCTGTCAATATATTTCTACTGTAACTCTCCTGCTTGAGCAATGTTTATAAGGAACTAGTGGTAAAAAATGGTGGAAATCTATACTTAATGATCAACAGCATCATTCAAAGAGGCCTTGACGATTTCCACACAACACACGTTGTTTTGATACCCGTTCGTGTTTCGTGGTTCGCGTACATTTCCGTTTCTTGTCGTCGAACACATTATAATCTTCGTCTAGTTCTTCGTCTGATTCCTCCTCGTGCTGGTAGTCCCACTTCTTCACCGTACCGTCCCACTGCGGAAAGAACAAGGTACAATAAGCAAGGTATTTAACCTTAACAACATTACTGATAGTTATTTTTTTAAGTTATGCCCCTTTGCACATCTCTGAATATAAATTTATTACAAAAAATTAACAATATAGAAATCTCTGTTTCTAAATATTTCAGACAGTGTGCACTCTTATTTTGCATTAAAAGAATGTTTAGGTTGAAAAGCTAACTAAGGAATCATTTAGATGCAGTAAAACATTTACATCCATCCCATAGTTACCATAAATTAATTTAAAGAATTTTTTTCTTGAATCATGAAGAAAGAGTCTTGATGAATTATTTATTAAAATGCCCCAGACTTACAGAGGAGGTCATTACGATGTTCTCGTACGGATGCCAGGAAACATCTCTAGTACACGAGGCATGGCCTTTCAGTCTGGACACCACTTTTCCCGTCAACAAGTCATATACTGAAATATCAACATATTTACATAACTTTATTTTTCATGAATTATTACAATAGTCTCTACATATGGAGAATAACTATATTCAAATTAAGGAATTTCTGAGATTTGGTACTTCTCTAGGATCTATACATTGAATGTACCATTGTGATTACTTTTCAAGCTATAATGAAGACTGGGGGTCAAAATATTTTTCCAATTTGAACTGAAGTACTAAACACAGCAAAAATACATAAATGCAGAGAACGCTAACTTTGGCTTATATTAGTAGTTTTTTTTTTGTAGCAGCTTGCAAAAATTTTAAATATCTAAATTTGCATCTTGTCTGTAAGTACATGTACATACAAGAAAGACAACTTTGATCAGTTTCAAACTTCCTCTTTTGACACTTACTTGTATTTGAATCCGTACAAGATCTCACCTTTCTACGTAAAAACATAAAGTGCTGATACTGATGTATATCTCTATTGATAGAGATTGACATCATCCTACACACTGTAAACGTATTACATTTGGTGGTGTATTCTTTTTAGCGTTTTTGGCGGAAAGAAACTTCCGCTAATTCAAGTACAATGCTAAATGTCTTACACATATGTACATTAATAAGAACATTAAGAAATGCGCTAAATCAAATCTACGCTAACTTGTTCAAAAATCAATTTCCGTCAAATATCGTACACGCTAAATATAATACATTTACAGTATTTTTTTTCTACATAAACTTACTGACAAGTGCTCCTGTGGATCAGCCAATATACATGTATATGTACAAATACACTGTACAATGTATCTATTCATAGAGACTGTCAGCATCTTACACGTTTTTTTTCTACGTATACTTACTGACGAGAGCCCCGGTGGCGCAGCCGGTGTAGATGTACCGCTGACCGGTGCTGAATTCCGGGGAGAAGTGACACCTGATCAGTGTGTGTAGAATGGAATGGCCTCTGTAGGTCATTATGGAGGAATCACCATTAATCCTTCTCTTTTTACACACTACAATATCAAAATTCAATACATGTACATACATGTATATACATTGTACTGTAAAATCACATATTTTCGTGGGGTCAAATTTTTGAAATTTGAGGAAAAAATATTGGTTTGTAGGGATATTTTTTAATAGAAATACCATATCAGATTTTACATTTCATGGGAGTCGAAAATTCGTGGGTTTCTCCATCCCTCAAAAACAACAAAAATTACACACACACACACACACCCCAAAAAATTGTGATTTCACATACGAGACATAACTATATCTGGGATAAATGACTGTTATGCCTTTAGAGAATTGAGAAGATAATTTCTGTCAAATTTTGCCCCGCAAAGTGATTTGAAATTTTGTGCTATACTGTAATCATAATCAAGTTATAATTAACTTTTAGAAAATTGTCAGTGTTTACTTAAGCCAAATTTTAAGAGGTGGATGGATAACCCTATAAAGTTTCAGCATCAGCTCCACAACTTTGTAGAACTTTTTCTACCTTATTCCATTTTCTGGGATGTATGAGATAGAACCCCCCCCCCTCCCCCCCACCCCAACCCTAGTACCCTTTCCTCTATCTATCTTGGCCCCATTTGCTCCCTTCTCACCTGCTTTACGCACAGGTTGCCATCTGTAATCCCAGCTCTGTTTGGCCACAGCTCTCCTTGTACCCTGTAATTATAATTCAAACTAAAAATATATTACAACAACTGACCATTCTCGGTCTCCTGTTTTTGTGAAAGCAAGAACACATAAAAATCCCATTCATCTATCTGTCTATCATAAAAACTTTAAGCTTTAAGGTCATAACATTTGAATGAGAAGAGATATGGCTTTCATATTTCCCATATCAAAAGAAAGGCAAGGTCAAAAAATATAGATGAAGTAGGACAGTTTTCATCAGTATGTATTAGCATATATGGCTCAATGAAAATATCTTGAAAAGTTTTTTTGAAATTGGGCTAAAAAGAAATTATGAAAAGTGAGGTCAATATCAAAGGAATTGTCCAGGTCAAAAGACGTTGAGTAGGCTTTATTAATCATCTTCGCTAGCCAAGGGTTTCTGATATGCTGGTAACGCTACTCTCCTCATTATCAGGGGCCCGTTTTACAAAAGGACTTAAGAATTAAACTTGTAAGCTGTATTTTCACTTTAGTCTACATGTACTTTCAGTACAAAATCTGATTATTTAAGTTGGTCAGATTTTAGGACAAAGGTCATCTGTTCTATAAATAAACCTTTTTATCTGCTATATTGACCATTTCTGACCATGGATTAACACAGTTAGGTTGCATTATAGAACAAGGCTTCGTAACCTGTTCTTGCTAAAGGTCTGTTAACAAAACCAGAAAATTGGATTACATTCTTCCACACAGTTTGTATTTACAACGAGAAATGAAAGTTTGCCATCAAAGCAGAAAAAAATCTTTCAGTTCTTTTAAAAATACTTTTGTCCCCATTTTTATTGAATATAACTCTTGCTGAAACAAAGGAAAACGTAAAGAAAATATCCCACTGTACCTCTATTCCCTCCACTGTTGAGAATTTCCTCACATCCCAGAGTTTGATTGACTGGTCTTTTGAGTTGGACAATAAGTACCTAGCGTCTCCCTATCAATATCACATGCCAAACAGGTAAAAAAAAAAAAATCCAAACAATCATTGTATAATCAATGAGATATTTTTATTATTTTATTACTTTTTTATTTGAGTGTATCCAAACATATTTAATCTCCCTCTCTCTCTTTCTCTCATTTGAATCAATGCAGGTAGTACCTTAGAATCAATATAGGTAATTCCATCAAAATGACCACCAAAAGTACCCACAGGTGTTGGGTTGCTCTCTCGTAAGGTTCGTCGATCCCAGACCTAAAAGACATGAACATTTATTCTTCTTCATTCAAACATTACCCAGAGATAATAAGAACTGAAAGATTAAATCATCAATAGATAATCTATAATATCAAAGTTTCATATGCCAGAATCAAGACAGGTTTTCACTGAGCCACTTACTCTGACCAATCCATCATCACCACCACTGAACAAGATGTGAGAAGAGTTGTCAGCAAAGGCCACTGCATTCACATCATCATCGTGTGCATTAATCTGTGTAAAATTGTGGTACTTTAAAATTATCCCCCACTTTCGCAAAAGCAAGGAGACATTAAATCTTATTCTTCTGTCAGTCTGTCACAAAAACTTGAACCTCCGTCACATCGTTTGAACAAGATAAGACAGGGATTTCATATTACACATGTATATTACTTGGGACAAGACCTTTCTAAATACACTAAAATACATGTATATTTTTTACCATGTGACATTGAAGTTTGAACTACGTTTTACACATGCTTTTCTTAACTATGAATTCATGGACACAGTATAAACAATGTCACTTTAAGGATTTCAATGTAATTGTATTAAATTCTTTCATTAATATATTCAATAGTCTTTAGTTTGCATTGAATTTTGAGAATTTAGCATCATAATCATTCATTTTACGTTTAAAGATTGCTATCACATTTTCTTATGAAACAAATAAAAGCTGCGTGATTACTTCATTAATATACATAGTTATATACACTTAACAAATTGAAAAATACACAAAAATATATACATGTATAAAAGTATCATTACCTTTAGAGTGCGTCTATTTTGCTCTCTGTCATAAACATACAGACAGCCATCATTTGCTCTGAAATAATCAAAATGTTTTGAACAGAAATATTTCTCCAGATGAAATCACATGTATCATAAAGAAATAAAATTGGGTCAAATTTTCGGAACTCTTGTGGTCTCAAAATTTTTATGCAGATATACATCATTACTACCCATACACTTTAGAAAACTTAACAATTTTACAATTAAATCCCTTTAAAGCTTACAGGCTTCTTTGAAATACAGTACCATGTAAAATGTTTAGATATGAGCTCTTAACTAAAGTTTCCAGCTATGCAAAAAAAGACAATTTTTTCTTCTTTTGCAGTTAACCCTTATTAGTTGAGTGACGTAAATTTTACGTCATAGTCCAACGAGCGCAAGGATCTTGCGGATCTGGGGACCAGTAAAGTAAAGTCTACCTGTTTTGCAATTTACTGGTAAATAAAATGTCTTTAATTTAGAATCTTACCCTCCTAATATTTCTGTGTTATCTGATGAAAACGTCATGGAGAAAATGGCAAAACTATGGTCTCCAGGCATCAGAGGCAGAGGAATGTGTGTGTCATAATCTCCATGAATGTTGCATAGATGAACTATAAAGGAATGAAAATATACCATATACTTAAGTAGCAATTTTAGCAAGACGCAAATTTAGCAATTTGTCCTTAAAAAACTGGTATTTTATTTTTAGCAAGATGAAATTTTAGCAATTTTAAAAAGTGCACCCAAAAAGCTATTAAAAATAAAGCGTAATTAATTCTTAGTAATATTCAATTCTAGCCATCTTTGCACCCTTGCTAATAATGCCAAAATTAATCCTCGCTAAAAATTCTGCTCATACAGTAATTTAAAAATAACATTCGTTTCTCACTTTAATCAGTTTAAATAATTTTTTTTAAATCTAATTTCCTGCCACCAATTTTGAATATTCATAGTTTGACAGAAGAATAATTTACCCATACTACAAGACCACAAGACTTAATTGCTTTAATGAAAAAGAATTTTTATTTATCCAAGAGTCTAACTAATATCATAACAATGTCAACTCACTAGCATCAGACCAACTTGAGTATATCAGGTAATTCCCATCAGGACTGCAAAGGAGTAAAAAAAAAAAACTATTAGCATTTTTTATTCTAACAAAATCAGCTCTAAATACAATATTTTTAATATATATAAAAATATGTAAAATGGGTAAACAAAATCATTGTAATGAAAAGTAATTAAGAGTATTTCTTCATGCAACTTGGGAGTCATAATATCTATTTTACATAAAGTAAACAATCCTGAATAATTTTTCATTGAAGAAAAAAGGCAGACATAATTTTGAATAAAATATATCATGGGTAAGATCTATGTTTCTCATAATAAGCAGCCATATTACCTGAATGCAGTATCTAGGACACTCCAGCCTACATCTCGAGCTCGTATTGTTTTAATGAGATCAAATTGGCCTTCCCTCGTATCATATATCCTGATATTTTGATCTGTTTTGTATTTTTTTTTAAAAAAAGGTCAATACATGTATTAAACAATGTGAATTTCCAATATTCCTCAATATTTCAGAAATTAAGAACACAAATCTGCACATTAGGATAAATTCCAGTTTGTAAAAAGAAAATTTTGCCATTAAACATTCCCGACCTTGTGAAGCTGACAGAAATATGTTGCCATCTTTAGAGAAGGTGCCACAGAAAGCTTTGTTCCGGAAGTTGGCAACTGTCCTCATGTGATTTGGCAAATACCTTAAAAAAAGAGAAAACTTTAATAGAAGCAAAATAAAGCTGATACAATCCCCACCCCCTCCTCCCCAATTCAAGTGAAAATTCCAACATTGCAATGTTGAACAACAATAAAAAAAAAAACGCTTCAATTTCAAAAGCAGAAAAAAATAAATTGTGTCCTATATACCCAACAAAAACATAGTCAAGACCCACATCTCACTATTGATTAAACTTCAGATGATCCAGAAAAAGACCTAATTGCTATGCTTAACCTAATGTCTATAGACATACAGACAGATGGGCATTATGATTCAAGATTACTCCCTCTCCTTATAATGTTACTGAGCAGTGATATAATTATTGTGAAAGAGAAATTTCCACCCCATTTTATTTTCGCCCCTTTTGCCTTTGTCACGAGTGGGAGAATTTACAACGGGGCAAATTTAAAGAACACAGTATAATTTCTTAACTACGAATACATGGAATAGGCGAATTTAAAACGGGGCAAAATTGTTAAGAAGTGTAAAAGGGCAAATATAACTCATATATAGTAGTCGATGCAGCTTTTACTCATTTATACTACTGACAAATGCATTAATTCCCTATCAGAACAATCTTTACTTACTGACAATTAATAACCCTCTGATCCTCCAATGTAAACTGCTGCTTCTTGTTTCTACCATGCTCTCGCTAAAGTAAGAAATTAAACGAAGCAAGAATCATAACATTTATTCCAGGCTCTTTCACTGAGTAATATTATGATGTACAGTGCAAACTGTATAACACAACACCTGTACAATCCACACTGTTGATCCCTATACCAAATTTGTCACATGCCAGTATACGGTCAGATCAGACAGATTACACTGTAGTAGGTTTATTATGAGACAAGACATAAAAATCTTGTAACAGTATAAGTGTTCAAACAGAAAAGCCGACATCATTTCTCAAATGTAGACATGAAATTTTTTTACTGAAAATATTTGCTTCAAATATTGATGACAAGTCACAGTAAAATTTCAATGATAGAAATTTCACCAATATATTAAAACTTTTACATACACTTTGCAACATATGAAGAACTGTGGGCTTCATCTTCTTTCTGAAGGCTCGCCCTGATGCCTTCAGTATTTCCTGCCGTAGGTCACTCATCTGAAAGGAGACATAGACCCCTGTAGGACTGTCACATTTAACACAGTTAATCTTTTTCTCTTAATACAAAATTAGATGAAATAAATTTTTTTACTCACGTCTATTTCTGCTGTGTCTGGGTTCGGATCCTCTGTAATGAAAAAAAAATGCTGAAACTTTTGATCCTTTTTTATTTCACGAAAACCTCCCAACATGCGAGTATGCATGAAAAATGTACAATTATGATTATAGTATTTATGCTTAGTGTAAAGTGCATGTGTACTTCAATCGTACATTTTGACATAAGAAAAATGTAGGTATTTTTGTTTAAAGTATATTATAATTATTGAGGAATTGTATAGTTCAAGTGACCTAATAATTACATTATTAACAGTAATTTATTATCAAAGGTGAATAGGCAAGGGGGACAAAGAGGACACACGATTAATAGAAAGGGAGTTAATGCCATTGCATTTCACAGAGAAGCATAAAAAAGTTTGGGGGATATACCATCTGGCATTCAATTTTTTTTAGATGTACCCCTGCTCATCAATGTTAAGTTTATTTCCTATGTTCCTAGAGAGGAGATTTAAAGAAACCCTTGATTTTAGGTGAAAGGCATGGAGGGGATTATGAATTTTCACTTTGTGTAACCTTTCCATTTCTTTCAAAAATCACCTTATTGTCACAAAAGGGGTTTCATTGCTACCTCCACTACAATTAAATCCATGACCAAGAATGATGCAAGAATTACACAATAATTTTTTTTAATTTACCTAGTGGGGGTTGGGCTGTGTTATAAAAACTGCAGCCATCAGAATCACTGTCTTTGCCTTCTACATCTTCTTCATCATTGGTGAGAATTCTAACTTGGCCACTACAAGAAAATCAGACATCTTATTAGATATGCACATCATTTTGTTATCTACAATACACTTTTCTTGATTTTTGCAATGAACTGAATTTTTAGCTCTAAAATTCTGGGGGAAAAAACTCTTTTGTTAATAAATTTACATATATATGTTGTAAATGTAAGTAATTCATTGAAACTGCTGATGGATACTTTTTCTAACAGATTAGATACTTTATTTGAAAAATATAAGACTAATTACACCCTCCTATCTCCCCATTCCATGGTGTTTATTGGAAGTCACTGGAGCATAATACGTAGGTCAGTTTCAGCATCTGAGGCATGTATCACTATTTGTACATAGATGCACATATCTGCAAGTTTGGTTGGATAACATCTTGAGGAGAGCTAAAAAGTGACCTATTAAATAATAGCATTAACCATGTGTCTATAGGCAAACAGTTGCACTAACAGACTGACAGACATGATGATTGTGGTAAAAATATCATAAAAGTTTGTTGCTGGAAGCTAAAATATACGCACATAATAAGCTAACATAAAATATAAATAATTTTCCTATAAAAATTGAGGCAACTTGATACACCCTTGAGGCTTTGAATACAATTCTTGATACAGGGCACTATTTAGGACAAACATGTAGTTAAACAAACACATATACACACACATCAATGGCATTTATATGAAATTTGATCCTGGATATATCCTATTAATTTTGCGTAAATAAATAACTGTTCTGAACATTGCAAATTTACTGCAATTTTGCACAAGAATGATTTTTACTCCATTTCTTCTTTTTTGTCTAAAAAATTTCATAAAGCATAATGATATGTGCTTGTTGGAATTAAAGATGGACAATTTAGTTACAACTATAGATGAATATTATAAGCTTATGATTATAATATGAATATATTTATTTTGAAAAGTCATTAAATAATCTTCTTTTTTCTATTTACAGAAAAAAAAAATTACATATATGTTCATGCAGAAGCAAACATTTAAATATATTTAATGACACACTAACATATAGACACACCCTTACATACAGACAAACACTTACATACAGACACACACCTACAATTACACATGGAAGGGGGATGAAATAAATATCAGTCTTACATAAGTTTACTATATAACATTAGTAGTATAAAACTTCTACGCTAAATCTTTACTTTGAAAAAGACATTTCCAATTTGACCATTTTTTTTCAAATAGTTCCACATCATATAATTTTTTATTCTATAACAAAATAATTATTGATTGAGGTACAATAATAAATCATTAAATAAACTTTCATCTTTTTTCTTGATTTTTGAAAGATATATTTCTTCACTAATACAACAATAATATTGAAACCCATGCACATTGATCAATGTCTGCAGTACAGAGCATTACATTTTATATATTTGTATAATTATTTATGTCAGCTCATCATGCGCATGTATTTTATATTTACTTCACAGGAGAAAGTTATATGAACATGATCAAAGTAATACATGTAAATATGAATTCAAATTTTTTTTGCATTCTCAGTCTTTTATTGATATGTTTGTATTATATCTAAGATTGTTCTGAAATATCATCCAAATAAATCCACTCAAGAATGTTAACATTTAGGATGATGAAGAAGGGAAATAGGATCTTTAAATATTGTCCAAACAACTACATGTATGAATTTTCCCCCCAAGAATATTCAAATTATTTTTTTAAATGGTTATATCAAATATACATATTTCCAAATTAATTTTGTAATTTTCTTATAAAGATGTGTCACTTTTAGTATCCCAAGGATAAAACCTGAAATATTTGCCTATTTGTTTTTTTATAATCTTCATCAAATCCTTCACAATACTCTCAGAATGCTGAGAATGACTTATAGCCATGAAATTGCTTAGTTTTTCATGCAAGCAGAGAGCCACAACACTAAATTCCATATGACTGGGATTAAATCGTAGTATTTCATTCACAGAACTATTCACCCCTCTAAAAGATTGTCTTAAAATGATACAAACAGTGCTTTGAAAAATATATTTTGGGGACTATAAGATACAAAACTTAGATGGTCTACTATGTCAGATAATGGACTGAAACTCTGTGCTTCCCAACACGCTCCATGACATATCAGGGCATCTTCATCTTGTATCCCTTAAAACTGTATACAGGGTTATTTTCACCCCGTGTTATTTTCACCCTTTTGCACTTGCGAACAATTTTGCCCCCTTTTAAGTTCGCCCAGTCATAGTTCTGTTTAAGAAATTATGCTGTTTTCTTTGAATTCGCCCCGTTTTAAATCTACCCAATCATGAAGACAGCGAAAGTGGCCAAAATAAAAGAAGGGCAAAAATTTCCCTGTATACAGTACATAATTATACACCTTGACCTACCTACGAATGAGGAAAGCTAGAATTGCCTGTAGGTCTGGGGACTCTTCATGTTGTTCGCTTGTCGATGGCTCGACTTCAGAGACATTCATCCTAGGTTGGCGTGATGAGTTATTGGCCCCCATATAATCATTACTGATACCCAGAGGCAATACTTAACTGGAAAAGAAAAAAATTCCACAATTAAAATTTACAATTTTTAGTTTAAATTCCATTCACATTTGGAAAAAAAAAAGTAAAAAGTTATTGCAAAGTGCAAAAATAAAATTTTATCAATGAAATCAAAATCAAATATATACTCATTAAAAGACTACTAATGATTTAGATGTTCTTAGTAAATAATACTTTTCTTAGATAATGAAAACACTGTGGGACACTGTTCTCATTTTACGCAGTTACTTGGACACTGATCATATGTTCCTAAGAGAACAATGACCTCCTTATGCAACTCCATTAAATCGGGACATAAATTGTCACAAAAATTATTTAATATGTTTTTATGATTGGTGAGACAAAACAGATAAATATACAAATTAAAAAAACGGTCTAATGGGTTGCTGCATGCACACATTGTGCAACTGCAATCAACTGTGCAATACTAAATTATCTGGAAGGCAGCCAAATTATTCTCTATCTTTTAGAAAGGGAAAAAAATTGAAAAACTTACATTTATTTTATAGGCAAGGAAAAATCCAATACACACAACTTAGCGATATTTTATTCAAGCACAATATAGCATTACTATAGCATTATAAAGGTCAGCTGTTTTCACTCAGTCGACCTAGGTTGTTCTGAAAACTGCTCCTATATTAACTGGGCAATGAATATATGTCAAAAAGTGGAACTGCTGTGTTGTCTTAAGTACTTAATCATATTTTCACTATATAATCCCAAATATCTCTAAATACATTTTCTCAACCATCTCATTTGTTGAAGGAACCTCATCAAAATGGTGTGCACACATAATTGGTTGATAGTGTAGTTACATAACAAGTAATTCAATCTGTGTACGCTAGTGTATTTATAACTACCACTATCATTGATTGATGTAACAAGCAATATTAAACTTTAAAAACGTGTACTAATTAACCATTTGAATTACTTACTTAGCACCTTTATCAAGTTTATAAGTAACATGTATCTAAACTATCTTTATGTTATGAAATATCTTGACAATGGGATTTTTGTTTTGTTCAATTAAATCGGACTGTAGACTGTAAAAATCTGTAATATTAGCCCTAGTATTATAATTTTACGGATATAGCAACATAAATACCCAATGCATGGATATATCAACACCTGACGTTTCTTTCTTCCTTTATCTGATGCGTCACCTAGCTTCTATTTTGTAACAAATCTTGTACCTCAGTTGAGTGAACTGAGAAAGGTTGTGACCTAGTTCTTGGAAAGGAAATTGATTGTTGTTCAGTTCATGAAATGCATTATTTGGTACAATCTTTATAGCATCATATTGGCCTGTCAACACTCATGAAAGAAAGAAGGTCAGAATATGTGACAATAACCCAACTAACCTTCTCCGTCATTTTTTTTCCAACGCTGTTTGATAATTCGTTCCACAAATAGTCGTATCCAGCAAAACGTGACTGAGACTCGCAGATTGCTTAGCTCACCTGATGCTACAACTTTTTAATTTATGAATATATATTATTTGAGTGATGGCATTTTAAATCGAGAATATTACTGGAGTCAGATTAAATTTAATTCCTTTTATATAACTGTTTAATGAATCTGAAAACTTTTAACACGCATTCTCTGTAAGAACCAAAAAATCTTGGAAAGACATGTTTCGGAGTTTGATGAAATTTTCACCATAGGTGTGTCTTGGTACAAAATTAGTAAATATGGTGTTGGAAATTCCACACGTGCACGGTTGCCATGGAGACAGATCCATTGAATTCGGCCATTGTTGACCCCTTAATTTTTACTACATGAAAGCATGAAAATTGAGGAAATGTAAATGAATATTTTTTGGTATCTAATACACTCGAACAAAAATCATTGGATCATATGATAACATGAACTTTTAAGGTACACAGGGCATATAATCGTTTATTTTAGAAATATTCCTCCTGTAAGAAAAAAGTCATGCAAACTGACATGGTTTCTGAAAATTTGAAAAATGGGGAAATTGGCATTTTTTGAGATCTTTAAGGCTAAATAACAAAAATTGTCCGCGGAAAATTTCCAGTTCTTATGTGTGTTTTTATACTTGAGAATTAGTAGTGTCATCTCATGAAATTATATTGATGGGCTTTTGATTCTATTTTTAGTAACATGTATCTATAAATAGATATATTCTTTAAAAAAATGTGAAAAAACAAATTTTTGCAAAGTTTTAAATGTCATTGCTGCATAATTAGGAAGTATATTGAAAATTTTCAGATATTAATACAATATCTGGACACCACTAGCTGGTGTGGACAATGGTTGATGGGTCCCATTTCTATTTTTAGCATCAGGTGCCTAACTATAGAAATGTCTCAGAATATTAGGGAAAATGGCAGTTTTATGCTAATTGGAAGCCTCACAAGAGGGGGAACCGACCTTTCAATAGATATTTTCAATAGAAACAAGTTATCTAAGGCACCTGACGTTTCTTATTTTTTCTTTTAATAAAAGATAATATGCCCCCTATAACGATCAGGCACGTAGTAGCACAATACAATACACATTGAAAAAAAGTATGAAATATACAAATAAACATTATAGAATATAAATGGAAAATTATAGAATACATATGAAAAATTATACAATACAAATAAAAATGATACAATACAAATCGTGCAACATTTGACATGCCATATACCGCCTGCCTTGACACGGGGCCTACGAGCCCGCAACCTGTCAAAAAGATGTTTAAGTTTCTGATTGACAATATCTATGTGGTTTTAGAGACAAGGTCTTCCAACAATCTATTGGAATTCCCATGAGTACCAATTGCGCCCCGTTATTATCAGTCCTACTTTTGTATTTTCATATGGAGCAGAATTTATGCAAAATCTTATGCGTGAAAAGAAGAAAGCACTTGCTGTGGCCTTCAACTCGACATTTAGATTGATATACATGTATCGTCAATTAACAGTGGTAATTTCTATTCCTATGTCAATACGAGATACTAAGTATCCTGGTGAGCTTGAGATAAAAGATACCACAGAGTCTGACACATCTGTTTCATACTCTAAAATATTACTTGAAAAAGACGTTAATGATAATCCATCTGTTTCTGATACGCTACTCTCCTCATAATCCCTTGGCATACGGTGTAGTCAAAAGAAGGACGCACAGATTGCGTCATCGATAGAAACAATTAAAGACGTGCATTTAAAAAAAAAATTCAAAGCTTTTTAAGGAATAATTAAGAAGCAATAATTGAGTTACGTTTATTAATTATTTATAGTACAAATCTGAACTTCAGTATGGATTCTTAATCACGTATTTAGAAGATATTGGATGACACCATAGCTATTCATAGAATTGCGTGTTATCTTACGGATCGTTGTTTACTTGCGTTTATCGTTCCCGAGACAAAAGAGTCAAGATATATCCCGAACGTAGACATCGTCTTTTACAAAAAACAATTGCTGATTGGTCGACCGGGTGTACCGAATCCCAATCAGAACTCGAGAAAAAAACCCAACTTCTATTAACACCCTATGCCAAGGGATTATGAGGAGAGTAGCGTATTAGAAACCCTTGGCTAGCGAAGATGATGATAATCTAACAACCAAGATCTATGATAAACTTGATGACTTTAACTTTTCTATCGTCAACTTTCCTTACTTACACAGCTTTATACCTTCATTACCTGCATACATGCTATTGCTTATCGAATCAACTGAGAGATATAAATTACTGACAAACAAGTTGATGAAACAAGAGTATCAGCAGTCTCGTTAAAAGTAATAATTTCCGGCGTAAGTTCTTTGGTCGAGTCGATACAATGACCTTGTCAGCAAATGCTGACTGAAGTTTTTCATACTATTGTTTGTCCATTATTTATACACTGAATTGACGACGGATTTTTTCGTTATTTCTCGATAATGACAAGGAGCACACGGCGGGTACTTGTGACCGGTCAGCAGGGGATGCTCACTCCTTCGTGGCAACTGATCCCGTCTCTTTTTAGCTCACCTGAGCCGAAGGCTCAAGTGAGCTTTTCTGATCACATTTTGTCCGTCGTCCGTCTGTCCGTCCCTCCGTCTGTAAACTTTTCACATTTTCGACTTCTTCTCAAGAACCACTGTGCCAATTTTGACCAAACTTGGTACAAAGCATCCTTGGGTAAAGGGGAATTTAAATTGTTAAAATGAAGGGCCAAGTCCCCTCACAAGGGGAGATAATCAAGAAAAGACAAAAATAGGGTGAGGTCATCAAAAAATCTTCTTCTCAAGAACCACTGGGCCAATAAAGCTGAAACTTATGTGGAAGCACCCTGGGGTAGTGTAGATTCTAAATTGTTCAAATCATGACCCCCGGGGGTTGGGCGGGGCCACAATGGGGAATCAAAGTTTTATATAGAAATATATAGGAAAAATCTTTGAAAATCTTCTTCTCAAGAACTACTATACCAGAAAAGCTGAAACTTATGTAGAAGCACCCTGGGGTAGTGTAGATTCTAAATTGTTCAAATCATGACCCCCGGGGGTAGGGCGGGGTCACAATGGGGAATCAAAGTTTTGCATAGAAATATATAGGAAAAATCTTTGAAAATCTTCTTCTCATGAACCACTGGGCCAGAAAAGCTGAAACTTATGTGGAAGCACTCTGGGGTAGTGTAGAATCTAAATTGTTCAAATCATGACCCCCGGGGGTAGGGTGGGGCCACAATGGGGAATCAATGTTTTACATAGAAATATATAGGAAAAATCTTTGAAAATCTTCTTCTCATGAACCACTGGGCCAGAAAAGCTGAAACTTATGTGGAAGCACCCTGGGGTAGTGTAGATTCTAAATTGTTCAAATCATGATCCCCGGGGGTAGGGCGGGGTCACAATGGGGAATCAATGTTTTACATAGAAATATATAGGAAAAATCTTTAAAATTCTTCTTCTCAAGAACCACTTGGCCAGAAAAGCTGAAACTTATGTGGAAGCATCCTGGGGTAGTGTAGATTTCAAATTGTTTAAATTATGATCATTGGGGTAGAGTGGGGTCACAATATGCAGGCGCGGATCCAGGATTTGGATAGAAATATATAGGCAAAAATCTGAAAATCTTCTTCTCATGAACCACTGGGGCCAGGGCAAAGCCCTGGGGGCTTATGGGGAAGCCCCTGGGGTAGTGTGGATTCTAGAGATTTTGAAGGGTTAAAATGAGGTCTACCAAAGCCCTGGTGGGGGCCAATGGGGAATCAAATTTTTGCCATAGAAATATATAGGAAAAATCTAGAGATTTTGAAGGGTAAAAATGAATTCTACCAAGTAGACATATTTGATTTACGCTAACTTTGACAATTTTGGGGGCGCGCGGGGTCACAATCCGCCACTGATATGTATTACAAGGGGGAAATCTGGTAACAAACAGAATGGTCAAAGATTCTCAGGTGAGCGATGTGGCCCATGGGCCTCTTGTTTAGGTGTTTGCTCTGCTCCTGTTTTGTATTGTTTTATGGACTTTTGATCTTGAATACTGTTCGTTATCTCCTTATATTTCATTCTCTCTCTGGTGGTACAGGCGAGCTGAATCTCGAGGTAACTATCCAGCTGATTTCAAGGTCAAAGTAATTTATAATCGGGATCGGAATGATAAAAATTCCGAACGATGTAAAGATCAAAAAAGAAATTTATTAATCGTAAAAGTCGGTAAAATCATTTGAAACTTGTACCTCCAGTTTAATATATTGTTGCTAGAGAGCAGTATTTAATGGCTTCTTCATCGAAAAAGCGAACGGACGAAAAACCAGCCAATGGATTTTTAAATGCCTCAACACTTTCGAAAGCAATGGCATCTGGGTCCACGTGGGAAGATAAAGTATGATAAATTGATTTCCTTGAGAAAGTTTCCTTTTATTGTTTACTTGCCATGGTTGTATTGTTCATTTTGTTTAAAATGATTTTACATTCAACACTTTTCAATGGAGTCAGTAGGTCTAGAGTAGATTAGGATTCTAACCCCTCCCCCAGTCTCTGGCACACATACACCCTCCAGCTGTCCAGTGGTAATAGTTGAATACACACTTTTCAAAAGTTATGTGCCTTGGTCACCATCTTAGGGAAAAACGCATAGAATCCTCACAGTAGCCTTCATCTGTTCATACATTTCTGGTTTTTAACTTTGTCATTTGACTAAAAAAATGTGCATCATGTGTACTGATTGCCCCAAGATGGGGCTACCCATATATCGAAAGAAAAAATTTAAACACAGCGAATTTATCGGAGCACACCCAAATGCTTTGTAGCGAAAAGAGGAGAAATGTCATTGCTTACCCTTTTGACATTTTGGTTGACCTCACAAAGGGACATAACTATTGCAAAGTGTGGATTTGGACGACCTTAACGTTTACAAAGGTAATTTCCCTTTGCAGGGCCAACTTGTACAAGGCACTGTTTTCCATCTATAAAACATTACCAAAGAGCAAGTTGTCCTCAGGCCCTATTTTGGATCTTTTTGAAATTTCTATATGACTACCGAGCTGTACATGAAGTGAAACCAAAATATTTCACTAGTAATGGAAAAAGATACATATACATGTACATGATTATATATTAGGTGGAACATTTGTACAAAGCAATGCCTTGTTGCTATGAATCAAAATTAAAGCAACAAATTTGTGTTAGATGCAGAACTATAGCCTTAAGGCTTTACATTTAGTCTTTGACCATAAGGCTTCAGATCCCATAATGCAAAAAAGGTGCAATTAACAGTGCAAGATTTTCTGTGCACTGTTAGGGAGAATTTCTTCAATTTTCAGCTTTAATCAATCATCTACCTTTCACTCCTTAGTTCAAGACCAATTCATATTCTGTATAATTGATCCTCTACACACCGATGAACTCGCTTGTTTTGAATTTTGTCGAAAGGCAAAAAACTCATGCCAATAAGATGTAGATAATTTTTGACTTTGGAAAATTTTTAAGAACTTGACCTATATTGTGTCATGTGATTCCAAATATTGGTACTTTAAACCTGGGTCCTACTACTCTTTCCAGATTTAAAATAAGTGAGGAATTTAGTATTTTTCATACCCCCTAACTCTGTCTGTATCCTAACTCTTTTCATATTTTGGAAACTGTGTGCTATATTGATGCTTTCAAAGCTTTTTCCTTATGAATTACCAAGGAGAGAATATTGCATATTATGAATACCTTAGTGAAGTCAGGATAATCATGGTGAAGGGGGGGGGGACATTGAATAACAAAGTTGAGATTTCAAGCCTCTCTGCAATTTTCTGGGAAAACATTGATAAATATATACTAACTGTAACAACTGTAATACGTCAAAATTTTCAACTAATCTCTGTAGTATATTTTCAGGATGAATTTTTAGATGTCATATACTGGATGCGACAAGTATTTGGTCTTGTCCAAGGCTTGATATGGGGACTTCTTCCACTGAAAGGATTTTTTGGATTATTGTTGTAAGTTACATGACTTTAAACACAATTGTCACTCTTGACTATTTTCTGGTCATTTGTAATCAAGTAGGGAAAATTGTCAGGGGTTCACCGTTGTATTTTACTGTGAAATCACAAACTTTCTTGGGGGTTAATTTTTTTGCTTTTGAGGTATGAAGAGACCCACCATTTTATGTCCACTACAAAATGTAAAATGTTACATACAGTGTACAAAACTACATAATAATTCTTCATCCATGAAATCAAATATCTACAAACCTAGAGTTTTTTCCTCAAACCACAAATATTTGACCTCACAATAGTATGTGTGATTTCACAGTATTCATAAGAGAAAAATTTTTGAGAAATGGACTGCAGTTGAAGAATGAGGTGATTATTGTAAATTTGTTAAAAATTGAGAGTTCACTCCAAAAAATATAAATTTTTCTGAATTATCTATTATCTTCTTTCAAAGTGGTCCTGAAACAGGAATGGAATTCACATTTTCACATACCCGGTAATTAACATTTACAAGATGGACAAAAATCATCTGTGTAATTATGTTCCCCAAACGGAGTTTGGGAACATATTGTTTTTACTCTGTTTCTTATTATTATTAAGGTCTTCCGTCTTCAGCGGAAGACCTTATAGTGATTCTACTGTTTCTTATTATTATTATTCTTATTTTTTTCCCCAAAATTTTGTGCAGGCGATTTCTCGAAAACTATTCGGTGGTTTTCAATGAAACTTTCAGGAATTATTTGTCATTATATGAACTTTGTTCATCAGAAAGAAAATTTGGAATACTCACCTTTGGTTCCAAGTTATTGACAGTTTTCTGATTTTAAAATGGATTTTTGTCCCCCCTTTTTTACGAAAATGGTCCAAGATATTAACTGGAGACTTGTTAGAGATGATAGATGATGACTTTTAGATATGTGAAATCACCTTTTCGTGTGTCGTCAGTACTTCCGGTCGCCAGCGGAAGCGAATTTAAATAGTACGTATTTTTTGTTTTTCAATATTTTTCATTTATTTTTGGAATATTAATAGAGACTGTCTTATAATGCTTACTATATAATTTGTTTGAACATTGATAAATCCAAACTGTAAATATTAACATCTGAAAATCTGAAGCGGGCCCAATATGGCGGCTGTCTATGTCAACTCAGACATTTCGCAATAGGGCTTTTCAGAGGCAGCCAAGCGTTTGCTTGAACGAAAGTAAATAAGGATAAATGAAATGTAAAGGAATACGGGGATTGTCACGATGTAGTTACGTTGCAATTCTGTGTCCAACTAAGTTTAAATCCATGGTCGTCTCAAACGTATTCTACAATTGGTTTCGGCTGGTTCTCAAAGTAGAAAAAGAAAAGACTAAATGTGCAAATGAAATACATATATATGTGTACATAAAGTAACTTTGGAATTGATCATGCTGTGTAAAGAGAATTTGGCTAATACGGCATGTACAAAGATACGGAAAATGGAGTTTAACAGCAAATATTGTTAATATTTTGTGATATTCATATCGAGTTCAGTTAATAAAACAGGTATGCTAATTTATTTTCATAGATTTTTCTCTTTCGAAGAGATTCAGCTATATACGTATCCCGATCGGCCTTTCCTCAGTCATTTTTTACACAAATAATGCAACAGAACAACAATAAGATGGATATTTCAAAACATAAAATCTGTACATATGGAAAGTTTGCCTCCTAAATTAGTTGGAAAGTGCTGCTAGAATCCCAAGTTATGCATGGTTTTATGAAAAATCAGGGTTCATATGTAAAAAATTCAAAACATCAAAAATGACTTATATGCTTCCTTAACATGCCCGCGAAGAAACAATATCGATGTATATATAGTAAGTATTAAACGTATCCACTGTTTTGCTCATGTACACTTGAGTCATATTAAACTAACAGGAAAGACAAACATAAGAAAAAGATTTTTTTTGAAGAATTGAGTTTATATTAATATTCTTGTCTCAGAGATATGATTTAAGTTATTGAACATAAATGGTATTTGATTCCTTTACCGTCTTAGGGCGACACATGTTTATCGGCGAAACATTTCAACCTTTTCATGAAAGTTTAACTAATTGAGATAGTTCAGTATGGGGATAAACAGGAAATTTTAAAAAGTAAAAAATTATAGCAGTTTCATTGATTTAGTGTTACTTATCTATTTACGCCATAGAATTTGTAAATGTGTTACAAACAATTTCTTTACCTTGAAATTTTAGCTATAAGAACGTTCTTTTTTATTTCCATTGAAACTATCACACCTATTTAATGGGACATTCCAAAGAAAAGGCGCGAAGATTCACTCGTGGTGTTTGGCGCTAAATTTTGAATAGTAACCCGCCTTTTATTATTCTAAGACAGATGTATTGTTTCAGAAGTATATACAAGTAGATTTAGAGCTGTGGTCCCAATAGCGTAATAGTAAGCGCTATGGATTTTCATGCTGGCGACCCGGGTTCAATCCCCTTTGTTTCCATAAAAAGTTGTATCACTTTTTCAGCTCGATTTTGCGGGGGTTTTTTTCAGAATCGGACGGAAGACCTCTCGTTGCTCGCAATATAAGGTCTTCCGTCTCCAACGGAAGACCTTCTTGTTTTCGTTCGGTTTCTTTTTCCCTATTATTATTATTATTCTTCCAACCGATTTTGTGCAAGCGATTTCTCTGAGATGGCTCGTCCGATTTCTACCAAACTTTCAGATCTGAAAGATATTCAATTGATCTTGATAGGTTTTTTTCCTTTTTTGATTATCTCACTTCCGGTCGTGAGATATGGACGATTTTCTGATTTTCAGAGGGTCGGCTTGTCCGGGAAACTCCTCCGAAACGACTTAAGATATGGACTTGAGATTTTCAGGGAAAATAGAGGAAGGTTTGGTGAGTTGTAATTGGGTCTCCAAATCTTTCTAGCGCAAAAGGCACCGAAGTTCGGTAGGGCCGAAAAAATGTCTCAGAAATATCTCACAAAATTTGACGCATTTTGTCTCATATCTTCACACCTGTTCATAATTTGTTAAAACATATTGAAGACAAATTGTGCAACATCGCAAGACCTTTCATTTGATATAAAAAAAATAGGGCTGACCCTTCAGATTAGGGGCTAAGAGGGGCAAAAAGTCTTTTATCTATAACCATCTAATGATCAATATTTTGTTATACATTATTGAGCAAAAGTATCCATCTTAACAATTTGATGCTTACTATCTAAGTTGTTTGAAAATTGGCTTATCTGAATTCTAGATATTAATATTTGAAAATCTGAAGCGGGCCCCAGATGGCGGCTGTCTTTGTCAATTCCGCCATTTCGCAATCGGGGTTTATGGAGGCAGCTGAGCGTTTGATTAAACCATTCTGACATACGAATGCATGAAATGTAAACAAAACTACTTGGACTTTCACGTAGTAGTATGTTGCAATTCAGTGTCAATCTTAACACTTAATTTCCGTTTCACTACTTAAGTGTAACTGGGCTAGATACGATATATGTAATGTGTACAAAGACTTTTTAAACGTCGAAATAAAATAAAGGCGATAAGAACGTTTTATTTATTTTATTTCATTGCAGCTATCACACCAATTTAATAGATAAGTTCAAAGAAAATGCACGAATATTTACTCCTGGCGTTTGGTGCAAATTATTAATAGTGACCCGCCTTTTATCATTCTTAGACAGGTGTACTGTTGCAAAAGTATACACACAAGTATATTTAGAGCAGTACTCCCAAAAGCTTAATGGTTTGCGCGTTGGGGATAAAACAGAAAAAGGCGACATGGGTTCAATCCTCGATCTTTGCGACCAAAATTTTGAATCACTTTTCAGCTCGATTTTACGAGATTTTTTTTCCTGAATCGGACGGAAGACCTCTCGTTGCTAGCAACGAGATCGTTTCTAGTTATTATTATTTTTTTTCTTATTTCTTATCCGGTACTTTTTTTGTCCGCGAGTGTTCTCAGAAACTGTTCACCCAACTGACCTAAAACCTTTTTAGGGTTAATAGGTGTGTAGTGTAGGTGTGCGGAAGGAAGGTCATTTTGCGCGCATACGCATGCACGTGCGTGCGCGTGAAATGAGTGAATTGACTAATATACTTAATATAGCTATTACTTTTACATTTTTCGATGAAATGATTTGAAACTCATCATATAAAGATATATTAATACTGTAGATAATGTGACACTGTCAAATTAGCACGAACTCACGCGCATGCACGTGCGCTTCGCTCTGATTGGCTGAAACAAAAAGCTCAATATCTTTTCTGTTTTTTGACGAAATGCTATGAAATTTAAAACATAGGCATACTTAAGGATGTACTACAATATGATATATAACAATTGTCATGTAAACACGCGCATGCACGTGCACTGCAATCTGATTGGCTTAAACTTTAAATGGCTATAACTCCTTTGTTTTTCAACCAAACAGTATGGGATTTAGAACATAGACAGACATAATGGACTCCTACAAGGTGGAGTAATTGTCATGCATATGCATGCACGTGCGTGCACGTGTGCTTTGCTGTGATTGGCTGAAACAAAAATCGCAATATCTTTTTCAATTTTTGACGACATGCTTTGAAATTTTAAACATAGTCATGCATTAGGATGTCCTACAAAATGATATATAACACTTGTCGTGAAAACATGCGCATGCACGTGCGCTGCAATCTGATTGGCTTAAACTTTAAATGGCTATAACTCCGTTGTTTTTCAAAAAAACAGGATGGGATTTAGAACATAGACAGACATAATAAACTCCTACAAGAGGGTATGGTCGTCATGCACATGCGTGCACGTGTTTTCACTCTGATTGGCTGAAACAAAAATGTCAATATATTTTCCGTTTTTTGACGAAATGCTTTCAAATTTAAAACATAAGCATACAATAGGATATCCTACAATACGATATATAACAATTGTCATTAAATCACACGCATGCACGTGCGCTGAAATCTGATTGGCTTAAACTTTAAATGGTTATAACTCCCTTGGTTTTCAACGAAATAAGATGGTATTTAGAATATTGATAGACATAATGGACCCCTACAAGAAGGTATGGTCATCATGCACATGCTTGCACGTGTGTGCACGTGAAATGAGTAAAATTAAAATATGCTTGAATAAGTGTATTTTTTAATACTTCTGGATTAAATGCTTTGATATTAAGTCTATTTGAATATATATACATAGTGTAGAAAAGATGATATGATCATTACCCACATGCATTCACATGAGCTCGCATGTCATGCTAAAATTTAAATATATTTTGTAGTCTTCTGGGAAAACGTTGTTTAAGTCTAAATTGCACAAAGTATGTCTTATTTAATAGAGCTTAAGGAAATATGGCACCAAAAGGGAGTTGGGGAGCGTTTGGGGAACATCTGTAACGGTCCCCGTTACAATTAGCCCTAGTTTACAATGCAATTCTACTAAGAATATTACATTTGACAGGTTTTTTGTCTTCAACGTGGGAATTGTGTACCTTTACTACAATATGTTTCAAAAAATTGATGATGAAGAATATGGAGGAGCTACAGAAATTTTAAAAGAAGGACTAATGACATCATTTGCAGCTTTTCTGGTATGTGATGTCATTTTCATATACATGTAGTACATGTATGATAAGATGAAAACATATAGTGACAGAGCAAAAATTATCATTATTAGTACATGTACTGTAGAATACTGTAATTACTGTTATTGATTTATTATTTTGGACAGTGATATAAAGAGTTCAATATAATGTTAAGATGCTGTTAAAGTCATCATCAGCTGTGAAATTTTTTGTGTTTCAACACATTTTGTATCTTTAATAGGCTAGTGATGGCGTGTGTTATATAATCTGTAGTGGCCCAAGTTTATACAGTATACGAAAATCTTAATTTTCTCTAAATATTCATTTAATCTATTTATTATCTGAATGGGTAAAATTTTTGTCTGAAATAAAAGAGATTACATTTTCTTTTCAGGTAACTTGGATAATAATCTACTCATCATTACATACCAGTTCATAGCATTGACTTAGAGATGCCAGAAGCAATCATACCTATACACAGATTCATTTCTCATTCACTACAGCAAGGAGCATAAACCACTGAGGTGCCATGGATAAAACTAAAGAAATTCTGTGGCATTTAACACACAATGAGATATATGTTGTTATATTTGTGTGAAATTTTCCAACAGAACGGATTATTGTCATTTGTGAAGTGATACATATGATCTTTTTGGATGAGTTTGGTTTTTTTTTTTAACTTTCTTGAAGAACGCCGGTTGTATTCGTCAAAAGCATAAACATAAAATGTTCACACATATGTATGGTAAATATTACTCAGTTTTTATATGGTATTTATGAAATATTGAAGTACAATTAAATGAAAGTAATTATATACATCTTAGTGTCAACCATTGTCTTTTAATAAAAGGTTATGATATACTGTATACATGGTTATTTTTGCCCTTTCAGATTTGGAAACAAGTTTGCCCCATTTTAAATTCGAATAGAAAGATTTTTGTTTAAGATATTATACTGTTTACCGGGTACTTTGAATTTGTCCTGTTTTAAATTGCCCCACTTCCATCAAGGGCGAAAATTTCCCTGTATACAGTAATTAATGTTGCTACACAAAATTTTGTAATTGCATCATGTGCATATTACCGATTATGAAAATTCTGTTAGGTAGGAATTGGGTTTGAAAGAATTGCAGTTTTGTGTTCTCAGTAACAAATTCCAGTAGGATTTTTCTTCAAAATAATATAGATTACCTATATTAATTATTATTAATAATTTACCATTGAACTCTGTCCCCCTCCCCTGAGATTGCTAATGATCCAATGGTGAGTAATGACCTTGACCGTTCTGGCGAGTTCAAGGTCACTTGCTGAAAAAGTATAAAATTCTTCACCATGCTAAAACTTCGACTTTGTAATGCTCAATCACTGGAAGCACATTCTGAGATTGCTTTATATGCTCCAATTGATAATCACCAGAAGTTCATTCTAGGTACAAAGTCTGTTTAAAATTAGAGGTTGTGTCAATCCACCTTGACCCAAGATCATTTCAGCAAGATCAAGGTCACTGGCTGAAAAATATAAAATTCTTTACCTGGCTAAAACTTTTTTATGGAGATTGAATCATTAGAAGCTCATACTTGGTACAGAGATTCATGTGAAACTTGGTTGCTGTCACATCGACAGCTTTCCACATATTAAAATTGGTTCCTAACTTTTCAAAGTATTGAAACCTCCATATAAATCCTTATTAAAGCCCTTCTGCTTCTATAATTTTTATTTAAACTGGATCCTATCTTAAAGTACTAATCCATAATGATGTAAATCTCCATTCTCATCATTTTATTCATTTGTAACAATAACTATCACAATACATCACAATACTGTAACCAAATAAAAAGTGTATATATTGTGAATGGTAAAACCAAAATAATGACATGAAATAAACAAATAAACTATACTGCTCCAATTCCACAGAGATTCTAATATTTCAGATTTTTATAGATAAGTGTATATATAATTTATATAAATACTTAAGTCATGCATACATTCAATCAAAATGTAAATAAATACACAACCATTAAAATACAGTGACAAAATTACTTTAGGATTAACTCTGCATTTTCTTGCTCCAGCAGCACACCTTTTAATAAATGATAATACAGGTCATTCTTGCATAGTGTGTATTGTAATACAGTGTTAGTGAATATTACCTGTGATGCTGCATTAATTTTTTTTTGACTAACTTGAACCTCAAGGCACAGTAAAATTTTCTTTTTTGAATTATGCACCATAAAATCTGAGGCATTGTACCAGGTACTAGTAAACACATGGTACAGTAAAAGAAATTAAAGTACATTGTCCTTGAAGTACTTCTTTGTTTAATATGAATGATCATGCTACTTCATTGGCCAAAAAATGCAATGCAACCATTATACAAACATGAACACCTATAGTGCTTGACAAGAAAAAGATACTGTGAAATCACAAAAATTCGCGAGGGTTTAATTTTCATTATTTTCGAGGTAGGGAGAGATCCACTAATTAATGACCATGCACCACGAAATGTAAAATTTCATATACGATATACTACTTTAAAACAATTTCTGACCACGAAACCAAATCCCTACAAACCAATATTTTTCTCAAATCTTGAAAATTTGACCCCACAAAAATATGTGATTTTACATTATAAACTGGAACTATGTTCATTATAATTCGTATTTTGATGTACTCTTAGAGATTTATATTTATCTTAAATATTGAGAGTTCAAAGAAAACTTACATAATAGCATATTGAACTGGATAATTAATAAAAAAAATTGAGTGAGGGACTAAAAGAAATGACTTCATTTAACCTACAATCAGGGCTCCCACTGGACCGAAAATATTTTTCGCCACTTTTCGCGACAAAAGGAAAGGCATACTTACATCTGATTTCTCGACAATGCAATGCACTTTATGTTATTCAATTCTTTTTATTAAGGATATCACAGACATTGTTTTAAAATTGTAATGTTTAAAGCTTAATGATAGTATCCATTTAAAAAAAAAGAAAAAAAAATACTGTTGGAATTATACAATTAATTTGATATTGAATTGATATCAGCCAACTCTTGACAGAAAATATCCTCTTGATTATAATATATATATATTTTTTTTTTTTTGCCTGGGAAGGGGGGGGGGGGGGCTACAGACCTAGTAAAAATATATGACATTTTTTTGAAATGGAAATTTTCATCATTTCATTAATTAACTGTGAAAAGAAGTAATTAAGAAGTAATAAAAATTAGGTTTCAAACTTGACTTTATTTAAACAACTTGGAGACTCCAGGGTTTAATTATAATGCAGCCAAGCTCATGTAAATAAATCTGTGTAATCTACTATGATAATTCTGTTTTCAAACCAATTTCTTTTTCACTTTATCCCCCTTGTTTAATCCAAATTATATTATTTCAAGCAATTTTGTAACCCTTTATTGCTCCAGGCTAATTACCTAGCCAGCTGTGTTCGTTCCAGCAAGACGTGATTTCCTACATGTAGGTTTCAGTTTTCACACCTCTGCTGCATTAAATATCTGTATACATTGAATAAACAAAGGAGCTAATCAGGTCTACACAAATTTTGTACATGGTACATCTAAGAAATTCATTTTTCGCCATGCATAACTGTATAATACCAAATTCCATTTCAATATATGCAACCTCTGCAAAGAAAATGCACAGAAACTGATGGTGGACTGACAGACCAACAGACAGCAACAGAGCAATATGCCCTCCTTTCTTCAAAGGGGGCATAAAAGACTTAGTACTAACTAGTTTACAAAACAATTAAAACATTAATGGTATATGTAGTTTTAAAACAATAACCAATGATTCAATGTCAATGCAGGCATTAACATAAACTTTTGCAAAGTGTAACAGCAAGTCATTTCCTTGGAATACAATAATGTCTCTATGACTTAGAATGAAACCAGTATGATTGTTTTGGCTTATTTTTGGAAGGAGGTATTGCAGGTAAAAATGTAACATTTCATGGGGGCTTAAAAAAAATCCAATATCTTTTACTCAAATAAAAAGACAGAATATATTTCATAGAAGTTTACTTGAAATTGGAAGAAATTTAAGTGATTATTATCTTTTCTCCTAATTTAAAAAAAAAGCAAAATGAAATATACAACCTAATTTCCTTTTGGAAAGAAAGATGGAGGGTATAATTTATGTGCATTTATGTAAATGCTCATGTCTATATGCTTCATTCTATCATCAATCATAAATGTATGTCAAACAAATATCAATATGCAACACATTTCTTGGTTTCTAACACAACTTTGACTGCCATCTACAAATTGCTATCTAATGAACATACAATGACATTGAAACAAAATGGAAGCACCAAAATCTTTTGAAATCATTCTCAAAATTGCACAGATACATGTACATAAAAATTGTCAAAATCAGCTCAACTGTTGTAAAATGCACTCTGAAAGATCTAAAAATCAATTTGAAAATAAAAAAAAAAGAAAATGCCACAACTATCACAAGCAAACATTGATGGGTTTGTATATGTGTGCTAAAATTCACACATATATAAAAGTTAATAGGACAATACATGAACTTTAAAAAATCTCATGTATATGTTAATTATTAAACTATATGGGATAAATATCATTTAGTCTTTTGGTAAATTAAATAAGCTCCCCCTGCGGCCAAGCCCAGACCTGCCGCTCCAGCTAAGTACGGAGACCAAGCCTTCAAGTTCTCCCACACTAACGTCAGCCTCAGTGTTGAGACTTCCTTCTCCAGCCTTACATACGTGGGGCGTTTCTTGACTTGGGAGAAATAACTGTCAATGTGAGGACATAGGCTCTGTGAAAAATATTCTCTATCCATGCCTAACAGAGTTAAACGGTTTAAGAGTACGGTGAGGTGGATGTCTGCGGCAGTGAACATGGGACCAAACAACCACAACTCATCTGCCACATCTCCATTTTCTGAAAATAAAATTTGGAAATTTTTATTTTTCCATCAAGGAAAGTTTGAAAATAACAAAGCTTATTAAATGAGCATCAAAGATGTCTGAAATAGAATTTTTTATCTTAAGGATATCCGATCCGCAGCCAGAAAGTATAACTCCAAAAATTAATATTTAATGTAAAAAGCATGAACATGAGGCTTGAAAATGAAAACTTTCCATGCAATAATTTTCATCTTATTCATCTTTATATGATTTGAGGTTTATTGATGTCTTAGAAAAGGTCTCGTAAAAAGTTGACAATTGTATCCCATAAAAGGAAAAAAAATAAATACAGTTTTAGAGAAGTAAGATTTTCTTGAATCGATCCTTAGATACCAACGCTTTTTAGTATGAATTGAAATTAGAATTGATTTGTGATGTCTTGCAATGATAGCAGAGGCCTTTTACACTATCTATTATATAATACATGAAGGAAATAGAAGACACAGAATACCAAATAAGTATACAAATCATGACAATTTCTCTGAATGCCTGGATACCTATTGTTTTTTAACCTAAAATATATTTGTTGATCAATTTGCAATTAGAAAATGCATAGCTGATATTCCGATTCACTTTTTCTGAATATATATCAGAGATTTGACAATTTTCCCTATATAAAATATTAACTTTAATGTTTAACTTTAAAGAATTTCTGTGGGTAAATTTACATTACTTTGTGGATTCAGATGTATTTTTATGAGTATTTTTGATAACGTAACTGCTAATCTTATGAACCTAAGGATCGGATTACCTTATTTATTCTTTTTGCTCTTTTGAGAATCAAAGTGTAAATTTGGGGTGCTTGTAAATAGCAAACAATGTTTTTGGTTTCAAACCTTCAATAATTCACCGGGATAATTATATTTTTTCTAAATTCATAATACATAATCATTTCATGTCTTTTGTTCCATTATCAATAAATCTTAACTGCTGCAAAATCATCAATTCTTGTAGGGGTTTAATTTGCACTATCCATGGGGTTATGCAAAGACCCATGATTTCATGTTTCCCATTTAATGAATTCAAGTATACAGTTCGGTGTTTCCTTTTCAACCTCTAAATTAAACCCTCAACCAATGAAAAAAAATTCTTGAATAATATGGAAAACTTTTGGATCTACTGACTCTCTTTAAGCTCTTTCAGCTGCTGTTCAATATCTTTCAATGTTCGTTTCAGGGCCTCTAAGTGACCTTTGACCTTGGCTTCATCTGTGATGATGTCAAACTTCTGTGCCGCTATCTGGCTTTTGGTTAAGTAGCTGTCTCGTAGTGCCGGGTGAGCTGCTGCTAACTCTGTTAAATAGCTCAGGCGATTAGCAAAGTTCTCTGGAAAAAATATTAATGCCTTGATTATAAATTTAGGAATTCTGTTGCAAAATACAGTATTTATACCATGAAGAAAATGTAATAAAAAATGAGAACTTAGATGAGACTGACATGGAAGCATTTCCATCCTAGCTACAAAATACTATACTTCAATATGAGAGGTTGAAAAAAATCTGAACCTTTAAATGTGTATTAGTATCTTATTATCATGTTTCAATTATTATTACAGTATAAGATTTTAAGTCTTTATATCACCTACCCCTCATACTCCTTTGTTCTGCCCCTGAGATCTGACACCCAGCATCAGACAAGTGCGGATGATATATAATGCCATACGTAATCACGTCCATTTCAATCATGTCCAGTCGCTTACACAGCTGTCTCACCTGTTTACCAAGTTCTGAGGACTCGTCAGGAAATAACCTCTCACCTGTGTAAAAAATTATAATAATATTATATCTGGGTGTGAAGCCAGGTGATGGTTGTTTGGTATATCATAATGGTAAAAGTATATCATTATTTCACTAGTACCTCTGACCTAAATTTATAGATATACATGTATACAGTACTGTCAATATTTTATATCTTCCTCATGTACGAGATATATTTAGATGGTTTTAAGTGAATAAATGGACTTGAACTTGCCCATTAGACACAATGAAAGATACTGAAAAATAATTAACTGAAAGCAACACATTTATGCTTGTATGTACACATAATTCATCATCCTTGGGGCGTACTTTGAACATGTTGAACAAATGTATCTTTCCTAAGACAAACTGATATTTTCATTTACAATTTATTTTCCAATTCTTGTTAACCAATACAGTATGCACTAGTTTAAAAACAAATTAATGTAAATTATTCAAAATAAATTTATCATGTGATCCATCTTGTTGTGGAAATGACCGTGCATTTTAAAATGTATATACCCCTTTGTTTTCCTTTTAACAGCCTTGAATCTCCTTTCCCAAAGAATTATGTTTTACTTTATAAGTAACAGTTTTTTTTTCGTTTTTTTTCTTTTTTTACAAAAGACAAAAATAATAAAATTCTAAAAATATATATCTTAAGTTAGAACATGTATACAAATAAACATGTTTTACTTATGAACTAGTAATTAGGTTTTACAAATGAAAAATAAGCAGACTGTACCATTTTCAGAAGCTTTGTCCAGGTATTCCATAATGCTGGCAGGATCTGTAACAGTAGTGTCTGTTGTTTCATCCCTGAGAACAGGTACATGTGCACCCTCTGGATTTAGTTTGACATACCATGGTTGATTGTGTTGTCCAGAAAATAAACTGACCAGACGAGGGGTGAAGGTCAATTCTTTTTCAAAAAAAGCAAGCAGAACCTGATAAAAAGAAATAATAACTTCATTTCATTGTATAAAACAATTAGTTTTATTTCTGGAATTTTATTCAGATGTAGTAAAGGAGGAATTGTGGAAGATGGACAGTTTAATTAAAATGAGACTTTTCTGCTTTCATCTTGCACTTTATAAATATATTTGTTGCTTGCTTTCACAAGTGACAAATGGATTAACTACGAAGAGCAAGATGGAAGTCTTATTAGATTAAGAGATGGATACCCCAGGTCCCTTAAAGTTTACAGAAATTTATGCAGACATACACACCCTTCATTATAATCCCCTAAACCTCATACACCTTCAAGCAGGAGCTACTAAAAATTAAGTGATTTACTCCGGACTATATCAATAAAACTGGGTGTTGCTAAAACGCGGAACGGAAAACGGAACGGAAAGCGGAACGGAATGGAAAACGGAAAATATTGTTTGAGATTAAATCATTTAAAAAATATAAATTCCTCAGAAACGATATATTTTATACATATTTGATCCCTCCTTAATAAATACAAGTTGAATAGTCATTTTAATTCTCTTACGAAAACCACTGACAGAGTAATGACAAAGCTCTAATTTCTTTCAGTACTATTTTCTTACACTCACTAACTACTTTAATTTAAACAGAAAGAAAGTGTTGGAGGTTTCAGTGATCATTTCTATAGTACAAAGGTTATGTCTGGAAAACATTAAGGGGGGGGGGGGCAATATTTATCTTAATGAATCATGGTAATTGGTAAGAAATATGAAATGTAAAAAAAAAATTAAGATTACTATTAGAGCACCCCTTTCCAGCAAGCCCGGATAAACACTTCGATTGTAAATTGGTTATTAAAATTTTATACAAATAAGGGTCGCTTCCTATCAATTAAAATCCTGGATTGATGGAGATGTAAATCTTAACTGTAGTAAAATTAATATATCGTCCTTACGTTTAATGACGTTAAAGTGTGATTTCTTTTTCTTTTTTTGGGGGGAGGGGGGATGAATGACCCCATAAAACATTTTAGAGTTTATTTTTCCGCTCAGTTCTGAAAAGTTGCAATTCAAAGAAAAATTTTAATATGCTATTAAATTCCTTTGCAAGAAATGTTTTCTTACTTTGCAGTCATTCATATCTGAATTTCCCAACGCATAACATATGCCACTGATGTATTAAGAGGGGAGCAAGTCCCCCCCTCCTCCCTCCCCGGTCCTTTTTGTGACCAATATATGTGTGTGACTGCGGGAACTTACTCCGACCCCAAACTACCCCCTCCCTTTTCAAGATTCCGGGATTCGCCAATGTATGCATAATCTGTCTATGTCAAAACTAGTTCTTTTTTTGTCTTTACCGATACACGTATGTATACATACCAGTAGTCTTTTTTCCTTCCGCCTATTTCAATGCAAGATTTTTTGTTTATAAATGGGCATTCTTAAAAAAATGATTTAAACGAAACGTTTGACAGACGGATACTAGTTAGTACATATATATCACATTATGTATTTTATTGACCATCGCATGTACATGTTATCAGGGGAGCATAATTCTCGAATATATCATATTTTACGTTGATTTTTCATTAAATATGACCTTTATATCATGAATATTGCTTTTCGTATCTGATTTATATCGAATCAAGGTTCTTTTCTTGACATTTATTTTCCGTTTTCCGTTCCGTTCCGCTTTCCGTTCCATTTTCCGTTCCGCGTTTTAGCAACACCCAATAAAACTTGTTTAGTATGAACAGGTATATTGCGAATTCACAGATAAAGTGAAGTTATCTTAGATCCCATGTGATATGAATTTAATGAATTCCTTAAACGGATAAAACGAAGTAATTTCATAGGTCCCAGTGACTTTGCTATAACCGAGTTTTAATTACTGTACCTTCCCATAAAAGGCTTATTATGACTGGATAGTACTTGGTAAATTACTGTCTATGCTTTAAAATAAAGGTATAAAATTACACAGAAATAATGCACGTAATACTTAATTAAATGTATTCTCTGTGGAAAAAAAATATTCTGTCATGTTTGTATTGTTTGACCTTCATTCAAATATTATTATACACATCACTGAAAGATAAGAAATGTTACTGGATTTAAAGAGATATCTGGGAACCTACAAGACAAAACTAAAAATGAACGGTACCTTTTGTGAAGAATATGATGTAGGAAAATAATACAGAGTGAATTTCTTTTCTGCCTTAAGTTGTGCCATTCTGAAACCAGCTGTCTGCAAGGTGCCCGAGGAGGGTTTATTGTATCAATGAAAAGATGTTCATTATTTGTGAAAACCCGGGTGAACAAAACTGCAAAATTCAATTAAAGAATAATTCTAAAAAAGTGTAAATAATCTAAATTACAACAATAAAAATTTTTCCGTAAATTATGAAAAAATGTTTCTAAATTATTTTTCAAATTAACAAATAATACCTAGCTCTTTTATGCTAGGAGGTGCATAAAGTAGACATTGAAATCATAATCCACTTAGCGTTTGTAATTAAGGGATATCTGAATAAATATTCAAAAGAAAAAATAACTTGATCAAAAGAAGAAGAAAGTGAGCATGGAGTTGTGGAAGCAAGGAGCCGAGGCAAAAATTTACAAAACAAACTTCTATGGAAAACCTTGCATCGTCAAAGAACGTTTTGTTAAATCATACAGACACCCCAGTCTTGACAAATCACTGACAGCACACCGAGTTAAATCTGAAGTCAGAGCAATGTTAAGATGCAGGATGAATGGCAAGTAAATTTCGATCATTATTTTAGAATTTTGGTAAATTGCAAACATAACAGTTTTTTATGAATCCGTCAGAGACATAGGCGAAGGTAATAGTTTTCTCACAAGGGATATAGATCCACTAAAAGGGAAAGCAGTTTTACTGTCAAGAAATTGGTACTACTAGTCTAATACAAATGTATCGATAAAAAAATTCCCTTAGTACACTGTAGTCAGTAGCAGTCGTACTAGATAGAACGTTCTTCTATCGTTAAATAGCTGCAGATCTGTAGCATTATGGTTTTATATATTTGTCTTTGACCATAACGCTACAGATCCTGTAATGCAATTTACGACGCAATATTTTTTGCGCACTTGTGGGGGAGAATTTTTACACTTTCCAGCTTTGGTCAATTAACTACCTTTCACTCCCTAATTCTAGGCACATTATTTAACTTAAATAAATTCTATGGTCCCGTTGAAGGCTTGTACCAAGACACAGTTTACACAGTTGTATTCCAACTAACTGAATAGCTCTCACGCTCACCACATCTTACATGAAATCAAGGGAGACTCTAAAGCATCATTAGAAAAGATAGCTCATTAGGGATGCCAGATAATTTTATTCAATCTGTAACAACACTTTTAAAAGATTTTTTTTTTTGTTATGCTCAATGACAAGCAGTGCACTTTCTTTAAGAATAAGTTCCACTTGCTATTTTAACATTTGACAGTGAGACTCTTGGGAAAGCTGTCCTGTCCTGTATTGTGAAAATTATCTAAATAAATCTGGATGATGTGTATTGCGAAACCTTGCCTTATTCGATGTTTACGAAATTCTCTTTCATAACATTTAACTGTTTAAAATGTTCTCTATTCTGGAATATTGTCTGTAAATCCACAAGATTCTTAGAACAGGGTTTCCAAACCTCAGGGCAGTTGGACCCCCAACTTCAAAAGTTTTACGAGCCCACATCAATATTTTGGGGCCCACAATTTTTTGTTCTCTGAATAAAAAAATCTCTCCTTATACGAATGTTATTTTTTGGTCATTGAGTAAAGAATCTTTCCTTATATGAATGTAATCCAGTCATCGTGGTCAGTGTCCACAGTCTTTCATTTCATATTTTTTTTCTATGGATTTCAACATTTGTATGACATTGATTCAATTTCATTCACTTACAAGACACATTTTGAATAATGTTTCTATCATAAAATTTCTTAAAACAACTTTCAAAGTTCATACCATGAAATATATCTATACTTAGGGTTAGCAACAAAAAATCAGAAAATGTCATCAACACTTAATTTATTTCAGGAGGAAAATTAATGAATACATGTGTAACATGTGTAAAGCTGCTAATTGTAAATAAAAGACTGTACATCTTAATAGGATGGGGAAAACCCCTTTAATAGTGGGACCTGATCTGGTTCTAGAAAATGTACAATAAAATTCTTACTCACCATGTGGTATATCCTCATGAGTTGTTCGCCCACTGCCCAAAATTACTCGCATTTGTGAGTGGGTGAGTGGTTTTTTGCAACTCTGCCTAAACAATGTAAGCTGTCATCAGTGTCTCTGTGTCTACATCTTAAGAAATATGCCTTACTGAAATGTTTTACTAAAATTTTATACTTGATTTTAAGTTAAGTGGCTTTGACAAGTGTCTCCATTCATTCATCCGTCCATCCCTTTCCGACCAAAATTCCTCCAACTTTCTATCAACAAATTTCAGGCATGTTTCTAATTCCTTTACAGCTTTCATTTACAGGAAATAACTATCTTCTAATTTGGTATATGCAACCGTTAATTCTGATTTAACGATCACAAACGGAGTTTTACAGGTGATGCGTAAGCAGAGCTGGTAAAACGGATGTTTGTGACTGTTAAATCAACATTAATGGTAGCAAATACCAAATTAAATGATACATTTAGTTGTTCCCATTCCAATGCAATATATGTGCATTTTGTATGATGTTTACATCTTATTTCTACTGTTCAGAGACCAGAAGAGCTTATGCAATGGTAATGTGTCCGTCTAGCTGTCTGTCTGTTTGTCTGTCTGTAACCATTTTTTTTCAAAATATGCTATTCCTTTTACAGTTTTGGTCTGATTTCAATATTACTTGTCACACAAGAACCACACTAAGATAAATAATTCTGTGTATCGATTTTTTATTTCTATGAACAATGTTGTGGTTACTAAAAATAAAAATTTCTGTACAATACTTTCAAAATGCTACTCCTCCTACAGATTTGAACTGATTTCAGTATAACTTGGCACAAAAGAAGACCACTCTAAGATACATAATTCTGTTTATCAATTTTTAATTTTGATGAACAGTGTTGCTGTGGTTTCTTATAAAAATATAAATTTCTGTGAAACACTTTAAAAATGCTACTCCTCCTACAGTTTTGGTCTGATTTCAATAAAACTTAGAACATATATAGACAGTATGCTAAGTTACATAATTTTGCTTTTGATGAAGGGTGTTGCCATGGTAACTAAAAATAGAAATTTCTGTGAAATACTTTAAAAATGCTACTCCAAATACAGTTGTAGTGTGATTATAATATAATGTGGCATGCAAGAAGACTAGACTGAGATTCGTAATTCACTCAGTCACAGTCTTTTTTGTTTTTTGATTTTGATGAATGATGTTGCCATGGTAACTAAAATTTAAAATTCTGTAAAATTTAATTAAAAGCTACTCCTACATTTGTAGTCTTATTGCAATCTTGACACAAAAGACTTAATCAAGGGTCATTATTCTAAATATTGCTGTTGTAACTGCCAACTGCTACTTCTCTCTTCCTTTGTTATATTTGTACAAACCATTAGAGCTACAGTCTCGACAGATACTTCTGGTTTGAGTTTTGTTACATGAAATGTGTCACAGAGCATTGTGTTTTTGCACCATTCTATTAAATAATGTCACAATGAAAAACTATCCCACTTGTAAATGCATGTTTTACTGCTTCAAACATCAGTGCATTATCCAATCAAAATGTTTTTCACAAACAATTGCATTATTTAGAATATTGATTTTCAGGAATACAAAAATTCACAGACAACAATCTGCTCATTATTACTGATCACAAGTAACCTTTCATAAAATACTCCCTTCGAACATAATCCTTTGTCTGAGGAACTCGAAGCATAGCTGCCTTATTCAAGCTGATTTACAGTACCTTGTGTAATTTTGTCAAAATCTGCGACGAATGGTTAGTGCAATAATTTATATTCCAATAGATTCATAATGTCACTCTCAAATGTGTATGTAAGGAATAAATAATAAGTTTAATAACTTCAATGGGAATTGAATTGGGTCGGTACATGATCAAATCTTCTGAGAAAACCTTCTGCCTTCACAAGATTTGATCATGTGACCTTTCACTTCGACTCCCATTGAACTTTTTCAATCTTGTTATTCATTTCTGAAGTAAGAATCACTGTAGATACTTGTACACTCTCAGTGTGTTGGTGAGACCTTGTCCCACATAGAGATTGTTCTCATCATCCACACACACACTATAGGGATACTCTACCCCTTGTTGTTCTGTGAGTAATAGAGACAAGAACTGACCATCCTGATCAAGGAAGTGAACAGTGCCACTGTAGTGATCACAGACCAGGATGTGACCAAGAACATCAATACAGATTCCATACGGAAGGATTCCTGACTTCTGACCAGTGTAGGAGAATCTGTGTTTTCCTAATTTATTAACCATCACTACTGTACCTTTATTTTTGTCTGAAGTACATATATCTCCATTGATGTTTTCTGTGATGTAGTGTGGATAATTATACAGTTCCTGTCCTTTAATATTATCCCTCTGAATGTTCTGTAGTTCTTTTCCTGTCTTGTTGTACCTGGTGACTTTACCCATTCCTCTCTTTGTCATCCCCACCAGTAAGTCCCCGTTGATGTGGGAGGAGTGTATACTGATTGGTTCCCAGTCTCCAGTTTTTATGAATTCAGTGATATTATTATCCTGTGTTATCCTAATGACGACATTCTTGTCTCGATCTGTGAGGATCAGATCCCTGTCCTGTGTCACTGTGTGATAACCTTTATCTCCAGGACTGTTTTTTATCTCCTGTATCACATTCCCCTGTAGATCTGTGTGAACAAGATTACCATTATCGTCACTGATCCAGAGTCTGTCTGATTGATCTTGTGATACATGGAATACATTATCAACACCTGGTACATTGAACTCCCTGACCTTGGTGACAGAGGCAGATAGAGACATTGTTTGTTTCTTGTCAGATTTCACGTGTTTATTTTGTTTTGTCTTTTCACTTGTAGATTTCATTGATGTAGCAATAGGAGCAATTTCCATTGGCTTTACTCTTCTTAGTTCTCCCTTTCTAGCTGTTTCAATTACTTTCCCTAATAACTTAGCAACTTCATTTTTGTTGTATTGAGCAGGAGAAAATTCGGGTGTGACAGGTTTTGCGATTTCTGGTATGGATTTTACTTCTAAGTTGTCAGGAAGTTGAGTTGTGAAGTTAGTGAGCTCAGTAGAGGACAGGTAACTCTGGAACTCTTTAACAACATTACTGAGATAGGTAATATAATCATCTAATGTCTTCTCTTGCCTCTTTAATTTCTCCAATAATGACTTCTCTATTTGGTGTAATTCTTCCATATTTTCTGAGAGCACTGTGTCCACCATGTTTTTGAGAGACTCGGCTTCAGCCTTCATGGATGTCCGTATGCTGTCCATGATCTGTTTAACTTCTGTGGCCTCTTCCCGAACTTCTTTCTGTAAATCCTGTGACGTAGGAACAAAGTAGTTATGGATTTTAGAGATTTCCTTTTGGCAAAGTTCAAACTTATCTGTGTAAATAGTTTCTAAATCAATAAAACAATGTCTCTGGTGCTCTTGCAATGTTGAACATTTTGAACATAAAGGAATATTGCAGTCTTTGCAGAGAATATCCATTTCTTTAGTTGGGTGGATCAAGCATTGCATCAAAGGGAGTTGTCGTCTACGTTGCTGGTAAAGGACCACTTCATGGTTCTTGTTTTCTGGAATCTTTAAATGCTGGTCTCTGCATGGTTTACACATCTGTTGATGACAGGAATTGCAGTAGTATTCACAATTTTTTTCACAATCTTCAAAACCACACTCTAGAAAGTGTTGGGCAGTGCCTGGAATTCTTGGTTTGGAAAGTGCCATCTGAAATTATATAAGCATTCAAAAGTTTGTTACTTGCATATGGGTTCTGAAATGCAACAGTTTTACATCTTGAATTTAATTGTTTAAGCTGAACTTGACAATATTGTCTGACTCTGATTATAGACCAAAAAGGAATGCCCCCATATTAAAAGGAATAAATTTAATGCTCAAACCTACTCCATTATATATGTATTAAATCTTATATTATGATATAAGAGAAGTTGGACTTTTTTCAAGAAATTTAAATTTCATGTCTGCAGGCAACCTTGTACTTACTTTTAATGAAAATGACCTCTAAATGTTATATCTGTTAACAAACTCACTTTGGAATGTGAGAGTGAGATTTTAATTGAGACTTAGACGAGATCTGTAATTTACTTCCTGGATGGAGTTAAATATAGATTTAAATCACAGTCTCATTAATCCAGATCTGTACTTTTAAATTACTCAATGAATAAGGTTGATAAATGTAGTTTGTTATTGTAGGAAAAAATGTTATAGAGTAAACAATTTATTTTACAAAATTATCCAAAGCGCTAGCAACTACGTTATAATGCATATTTCTGGAATACGCATTCTCGGCTTAAAGGTACTTGGACACAGATTTGAAGTTATTATTTTCTCTATAATATTACGACTTATATATTTTAATAGCATTTCACACAAAAATTAATTAAAAATCTTATTTCGTTTAAAAGATATTGAAATTTCAAATTTTTCGGCAGGTTTGATTGACATATCCTTGCACTCTCACAAATTTAATTTTATTCTTAATCCTTAGGAAAAGTGGCAATCTCGTTTTGTATAAATGAAAAATATTAATACTATAATCCAGAAAATTCAGAGTAGACACGTTCGAAAGCAAAACAAACACACAATATATTGTCAGTCCGTGCAGTTGTGGTAAGCAGACTGTGACGTTTGAACGCACCCGGTGAATTCTAAATATAAACAATAACAGAACTCGAGTCCTGTTTACAAAAACTGTGTACATAACACGAGTGTGCTCGATTTGCTAAACTCTGTACGCATCTCTTAGTTCGGAATGACGATACTTGTGAAGGTGTTTTGCTTTCTAACATTTCTACTCTGAATAAAATTATTTTTCTTGATAAAAAAGTTTTAATATTTCTCATTAAAACACATCAAAATTGCCACCTTTCCTAAGGATTAAGAATAAAGTTAAAATTTGTGAAAGTGCAAGGATGTGTCAATCAAACCCGCCAAAAAATTTAAAGTTTTAATAACTTTTAAATGAAATAAGATTTTTAATTAATTTTTGTGTGAAATGCTATTAAAATATATAATTCGTGATATTATACAGAAAAAATGAGAAAATATTAACTTCAAATCTGTGTCCAAGTACCTTTAATGGTCAGGCATTCTGAGAATACATCACGGTTTAGCAATCTGTCAGTCGGCACACCTCGGTCAATTCATACCTCATCTTACCTCCAAGGTTTGCTTTAGGTGACAGAATCAGCTGAGGTTTGCCAAATGGCAATCTGTGAAAACTACTAAAGGTAGACTGTATGATAAAAATTTTGTTGTGTCATTAAGAAACAATTATAGTCTTTTCTGTTTGATTCTGAAGTTTGTTTATTTATTGTGTATAACTTACACTTTAATGTTTAATACACAACAAATACTTGTATAAACTCATATAATGCCAAGATTCTAGACTGAAACATAATTATGTGGAAGCATCCTGGGGAAGTGTAGATTCCAAATTGTTCAAATCATGCCCCCGGGGGGTAGGGTGGGGCCACAATAGGGAATCCAAGTTTTACATTGAAGTATATATTAGGGAAAAACTTTAAAAATCTTCTTCTTGAGAACCATAGGCTGACACTTATATGGACACATCTTTGGGTATTGTAGATTCTATGTTATTCAAATCATGACCCCTGAGGGTAGGGCGGGGCCACAATAGGGATCCAAGATTAGCATAGAGTAATATAGGGAAATTTAAAAACTTTTAAAATTTTCTTCTCAAGAACCACTGGGCCAGAAAAGCTGAAACTTATTTGGAAGCATCCTGGGGTAGTGTAGAATCTAAATTTTTCAAATCATGATTCTTTTGGATTGGGCAAGGTCAAGATAGGTATTACAAAGGGGGAAATTTGTTAAAACTTACCATAAATAACAGAATGACCAAAGCTACTCAGGTGAGCAATGTGGTCCATGGGCCTCTTGTTTGATAAAGAGTATGGAGCAGTACACAAATGTTCCTCTTCAAAATAATTAAACCCTTTCCATTTCCGTTACATTTTCATGGTCGTTGTTGAAAGCGAGGCCCTTTGAGATGGCCACCATCTCAATGATATGTAGTTATTGTACTGTTATATCCAATATAAAATTATTATATTAATTATATATTATAAACAATTGGAACTGTGGGACTGAAGAACACTTGACCTGGGGTTTCACCCCTCAATTTATGGAGTCATTGAGAGTCGATACTAAATAAATGGAGTCTTGATTACGGTAGACGTTTCACTGTATTATTACTGGATAGCGGATATACATATATCATAATTTAAATGAAATTTTAAAAAAACAGCTTTACTTAGATCCCCATCTTCAAACTTTATTAGGATGAATTAGGGAAATTATTATTCTGACATTTAGTCAATGTCATCACATCATTCATATTTATTTTGCATTTCCATGATAAAATCTTAAAAGTCCAATTTACAGGCAATCGATCTTCATTAACTCAATCAAACTCCAAAATAATATTCAAGGATTCAAGATATCAAGATTGAAAGACATGTAGAAAAAGTTGTTTGGATATCCAACTTATTGACATATATCCATACAGGTATTCAAAATACATTTAAAATAATGTATGAGACACAAGACTTGCACATAAGCATTATGAAATATGCCTATGTGACAAGTCTGTGTGATTTACACACCAATAATTCACATAAAACTTTAAAACTTTCCTTAAATAAATAGTAATATGTTTTAGACAATAGAAAAGAAATCTATATATAAATTAATGCTTATAATCTTTTTATGTCTTTTTACTGAATTCTTTCTTTGAAAATCTTCACAGGTATTCTCACACCTACTGTGTATTTTGTAAACATGGATACATCTAGCATCTATATGGAAGAGATACAAGATTCTGTGACAGTGAAAGACTACATAAAAAGGGTTCAGAGTAGCAAAAACCCAACAGAAGCTTTAGAAATCCTAACACCATTGGCACAGACTATCGGAAGCACTTTGGGTATCATGCACAAGCAAAACATCGTTCATGGAGACCTGACAACCTCTAACATGCTCCTCAGGGGAGAACCATCCGATAACAAACTCTGTCTTATTGACTTCGGATTAAGTTTCTTTGAAAATTTATCAGAAGACAAGGGAGTTGACTTGTATGTACTGGAGCGTGCTCTTTTAAGCACTCATCCTAACACAGAACAGTTGTTTGATGTGATACTACAGGCGTACTGTAGGAGCAATGACACAGGATCAAAAGAAGTCACAGCTAAGCTGGAGGAGGTCAGAATGAGGGGAAGAAAGAGGACTATGGTGGGATAAATTCAAGACTTTAGCAGAGTTTAAAACAAATTATTACCTCTTCTCAAGACACTTAAATTTAGGACATTCAGAATGAAAGGAAGGAACTGAGGATTATGGTTGGCTGAATTCGTAACTTTACTCTAGTTTAAGTCAAATTGTTACTCAAGACATTGAAATTAATGACTTTGGGTACATGTTTATGTCGGAAAGTGAAGAAAATTAGATATCTGTTCATGAATTCAAGACTAATTTTCAAACAATTATTGCATTTTAAGACATTGAAAATAAGGAATTTGATGCAGTGTATATGTCTGACAGTGAATATAAAAGATAAATGAATGACAGGTAGATGTAAATAAATGAAAAATGAGTATATTTGTTGTCTTCATGTGAACTACTAACCTTTGTTGGTTTTGAGGGAAGGGGTTTTTGTATAACTGAAACTAAAGAATACAAGATGCGCTTGTGAAACACTGATGTGCTCCCTATATGGCAGCCCATAGCAAAGGGTAAAGTTTCTTAAATGCAAGTCAAGGCCAAAAAATAATAATACCCCTAAAAGGTTTCGTCACAAGGAAAACATCTGGAATAAGGAAACCCCAGCAGCAACCATTCAAAAGTTATATGACCATGGTGAAATTTTTCCAATAGTAGGTCAGCTTTAAAGAAAACAAAAAATAAAGAACTGATGTTAAAGTGATTAATGGATGATACATGGGCTTTCAATACATATTTTATAACGGTATCATTTCCTTATGATAAGACCTCTCTTTACGGACCAAAAGTTTTGAACTTAGAGTTTGACAATTAAAATGTTTTTGAAAAATGTTAACCTTTGATATGAGCTGCTTTAAATGAAGAGTCATGTCCTCTCTTAAGGGAGATAATTCAGAGTTAGTAAAGATTTTGAAAGTCTTCTTCATCAGAACCACTAGGACAGAAAATATGGAACTTATTACAAGGCTTGCTGAAAAGATTCAATTTTATCATGTCATGAGGAGTAGTCACAACAGAAGATCAAAGTTTTATATAGGATCGAGTTACATGCATGGGGAAAATCTGTGAAATTCTACTTAGGTCACATCAGGAGTAGATTTATAGGCATATTATAATTAATGTTAAAAAAAAATTGAGAACAGATTTTCATGTAAATGAAGGTATAGAAATTCATGTTTGTTCATCATAACTCCCTTGGGGTAGGATGGGGTCACACAAAAGTTAACATGGCATTAAATATTGTATTAACATATTACATCTGGCTGTGTATTCTTTTTAGCGCTTTTGGTGGAAAGCAAGTTCCGCTAATTTAAGTGCAATGCTAAATGTCTTGTACAGATACAAATAAAGAAGAATTTTATGAGATATGCTAAATCAAATTTCTGCTAACTAGTTCAAAATTCAATTTCCGCCAAATATCGTACACGCTAAATATAATTTATTTACAGCATAAAAAAAAATATTGATAATAATGGCCATGTCAGTCAAATGGAAATTGAAGCATTGTCTGATGTGCAGATTCAAGTCCAATTGATTATGTCAAGGCCGGTTTGAGTTAAGGAAACATCTTTCTAAATTGTGATGAAGAACAGTAGGATCAATGTGACCTAGTTAAGTCTTCATCTGAGGCCAATGAACTTCCTGATTTTATCTTTAAATAAATCAGTTACAATGCAGACACTTACAGGGTTGATGCAACTCGATTGAGTCTTGTATTTACCAAACTAATTGTAATTGTCTTGTCCATTTAATTTATATAAAAATTCAATAAACTCAATATCCTATCATAATATATGATACATTAACAATTTTTTAGGAACATCAAAGAAGAAAAATTAGTATAAAGAAATACCTGGTACATAAATAGAACATGTAGAAGGTCATTTATTGAGATAAAAAAACATGATTTTGAAATAAATTTTAAATCATGTACATAAGATGCAAATTTTTAAAGTATTCATGGAAATTTTAAATTGAATAAAATAAGATCTTTTGATCTACTCATTTAAATTGCTGTATTCAGATTATGTGGAAAATATCCTCATTGATTTAATCATCCTAATTTCTTTCACATGAAATAATAGAATAGAATATTGAACATGAAATAACGCACACCAAAATACATTGTGGGTTGTGATGAGCATAAAGCAACATTTTTTTTAAACATGCAAAAATTTTACAATTTAAAATTTTGACTTTTGTTAGCACTTTATTATACTGTCATAAATTAATGAAATTCTTCAGTACATAACATATTAAAAATTCTATTCTCAATCACAGGATTTTAATATATTTTTGTACATAATTGCAAGCTGTCAATTGACCTATTTTATCTCAGGCTAAAACATCCCACAAAGCCTGCAGAGTGATTCCATCTCTTAGTTTTTCTATTGCAAGCCCCAGTTCCTCACAGTAAACTGGGTCCCTGTCCTTGTCCTTGTTTCCGTCGGCAAAGTAGGCAGCATAAGCATCCGAAGAACTGTCAGCCTCAATTTCTACGTCGTCTTGCTGGTAATCTACCCCCAGATCCTCTGCTCCTTCAATCTTCTCCTCTGATTCGAATTCAACACCAAATATTGGACAAGAACTATACACTCTGTGCAGACTCTGGATTTCTTTCACAACATCATGAAGCTTTTCTGATGGGTCAATGCGGAAACCAAGAACATATCCACCACTTTGTTGAGAGCTCTCTACAACAAGGGCAAGTCCAAACTTGGAATCACGAATTTTTACAGATTTCATCTGAAGGTAAGGGATGCTGACATTGAAGGACTCATTGATGTTGGCATGCCAAACTAGTCGAACATTGGTGATGAAAAAAGTCCCTAGATTTCCCTGGTCACTGGAGAGATTCCAGACACCATTAACTTTATTGTATACCTGTTCGAGAGGCAGAAGTCGCAGTTGTTTGTTGTGAATAAGAGCTCCTCGAAGCTTCAAATCTCGGTAAAGCTTGGATGTTTCATAGGCTCTATGGACTGATATGACAGTGGTGAAGAGTCTAGGTGACCCCGGAATAAGATTTGTGAAGATAAACTCAAATCTAGTATTGTTACACTTTGTCAACACATACAATGCTTCTGTTTGCCCACGAAGTTTTGACTGTGCTGTCTTTGTAGATATGTTAATGACACAGTTGAAACCAATAGACAAGTTTACTCTTGGCAAAGCCAAAGAATGCCATATGATTCTTAGGTTGGTGACAATTATTCGGCCTCGATCTCCATTATTGCCTTTTGTATCTTCGACAGCATTCAAAGCATCGATCATTTTTTCGCCAGGTCGCATCTTCATTTGTTGTGGATTGATGTCAAAACGGACATCTCTGTCCTCCCAAAGTCCCTCGGACGCCATTTTGACGCTGTTTCTTGGTGACGTTCAATCAGAATGATTTTCTTTTTTTCCGGAATATTTTTTTAATTATTGATTTTTATAATCAAAATACAAAAAAATAAATACATTTCTAAAATACGTTTATACAACGTGCAAATTATTATCGTACTGTATACTTTTTAATAATTTTTTAAAAATAAAATTTTACCTGTTCTTTTCCGGATATAACTATGTTTATCCATGAGAGTTTGTATTTAGTAAATCATTATGAAAGGATAATTTTGATTGGGTTACCATATAACATTGTCCAATCAAATTTGTCGTTGTGTTAGACCATTTATTAATCTGCTAGACGAAATTTTGACAAGGTGAAAAGCTAAGGACGAGACAGATCTAGGTAAACTTCTTAAAATTTTTGTATGAATTCTTTACTGAAAGATACCGTTTGATAATAATTTCTGATTTTAGAAGTGATCTTAAATACTGAAAGACCCATGATAATCGATTTTATATATTTATGTAAATTCATCCTTTTCATATCTTTTTCTACAGTTCTATAGCCAGGCAATTAATATTCATTGACTTTTTCGAAATTTAATCATTGCGTAATGGTCTTCTGATTAGCTAGTTTATACCATTAAGCAATGAAAAAAAGACATGTACTTCTGTTCACTGATAACATTTTGGTTTTCTTTTTATTATGAGTCAAAGGTTCTGTAGCATGTATTTGTTTTAACAAGGTCAAGCCATGCGTATGCAAAACAGCCTGGGGCTATAAATTTGTTGTTTTTGTGCCAATAGTACCTTATCCTACTTAAAGAGTAGAGCTGTAAATAACACATGTCATTGTCAAATATGAATCAACAATGAGATTCATTTGTCAAATGACATTTCTATGAGAGTATTTTTTATCACATTTATCTGTAAACAACCTGTGTTCTTTGTTTTAGCGGTATCAATTTAGGACAAATGTCCCTCCCCGAGTCCTCTTCCAATTCTCCACCCCTTAAAAGAGGAACGTAAATAACATTTATTGAATATAGAGCATGCATTGAATGGAACAAATAGTTATATTTAGAAATATTGAACATAAACATGATAAAACAAATTTCACATTTACCCCTTATTTATTAAAATTCATAACAATTATAAAGAATCAAAAGAGTTTGACACATGTATTTGTTTTACAGTGGTACAAAATTTTCTGTCTTCAGGGATTTATCAAGGCTGTTTTTACTACCGGTAAACGGTACCTTTCCCCTCTTGAAAAAAGTGAAAAAATTCCCCTTTTCAGATAGAAAATTCTCAGATTAAACAGAGAATATTTAAAACATCGTACTGAAATTTTCCGTTTTTGTCAGATTTAAGTTTAACAGCATATCCTAATTTACCATCCTAGTCATTCAAACGCTTTTAAAAGAGATAGAAGATTCAAGCTTCTATTTGATATTGATCGGTAAACATGTGCCATGTCCATGATGTCAAAATATACCTCTGGATTGCAGAGTTAAAAAGAAAAGTGTAGATTAGTAAGACGGAGCTTATATCACTATGGATTGGAAGAATGGAGTAACAACAATAACAATGTTAGTAGTGAAACATAAAAATCAGAATTGATTTGTGATAGATATTGAGAGAAATAATTAAATAAAGTATTGACCTGGTTTAATTTTTTTTTTTTTTTTTTTTTTTGTTATTTTAATATTTTGTCTAAAAAGTGAAGTTTTTGTGGCCTTTGTAAAGGTCTACAAATGACCCTCAGAAGCTCTAAGAATGCAGGATTTTGCTCCATTTATTAAAAAATTTTCGGGGGGGGGCATGGTACCCCCCTACAATACTCGCGCCTCCGGCGCTCAGATCGAGCCTGCGGCTCTCATTTTTCCCCTTTACATATAAAACGGTAGTAAAACAAAATAGCTAGATAAATCCCTGGTCTTTTAAATGCATTATTAAATATTATTAACTTCTGACAACATATATATAACTGAAAATACACCTAAATATGCACATTTTTGATCTGAGATCAAGCATTATTTATTTATTATGCATTCATTTTAATGACAGGTGTTTTTATTCGCCTTTATTATTATAGTTAACACTGAAAAATTTAGGTGGACTTAACAAGTAAACTATTACATTTTATATAAGTTCAAAGTTAATAGAACTTGCAACCATACTCATTGTAATATAATGATAATTATACAATAAAATTATGTTCAGAACAAAGAATTGGGTATAGGACACTGGGCAAACATTTATTTTTATCATTTATAAATTAATAAGCATTATTTATTTATTATGCATTCATTTTAACGACAGGTGTTTTTATTCGCCTTTATTATTATAGTTAACACTGAGAAATTTAGGTGGACTTAAAAAGTAAACTATTACATCTTTAAGTTATATAAGTTCAAAGTTAATAGAACTTGCAACCATACTCATTATGAGTATGGTTGCAAGTTCTATTAACGTCACTCATTGTAATATAATAATAATTATACAATAAAATATGTTCAAAACAAAGAATTGGGTAAAGGACACTGGGCAAACATTTATTTTTATCATTAATAATAATTGCTGTGTACAAAAATGTTATTACATAATAAGTTAATTACAAAAAGTGATATAATAATAGTTTAGGGCCTAGTCATAACCAGTCTTGTAGCATGATGTGATAAGCATGATTTGTGCATTAATATCTCAGTGCTAGTATTTAATAAGCTTGATGGTCATAACAAGTCATTTAGACTGATGTGAGGAACAATCAGAACAGCATCTGAATTGTGCACTAGATTAGTCTAGTTTTGCAAGTAAGACTCTGACTAAACTAAACTCCGATAAATGACGTTATTCATGTCTTCACAATTTCACACTTGTATACAAGGATATAAACATGATAAATGTAACTTAAGCAATGGTGCCAATAAATTATAAGACAAATTAGGGAAACTAGTACATGTATTTAAAAAAGAATTACATCTTAAAAAACTAAATTAATAAACTTATATGGAATCTATATAAAGGGAAGGAGGGAGGGAGGGGGTGGGTCACGTCATTCATAGGCACTCATTGGTAAAACTGATATTCCATGGAATTAAGAAAAGTAATGCTCAATATTTGATTACTGGTATTTTAATAATTTTGGTACTTGTGCTAAACAAACAGGATCATTTGTATTTATCCTAAATAATATAGAATTGTTTGTGAGCAAGTGGAACACCAATACATGTATCTAGAGGACTCAACATGTTTTTTTTTTGCATATCTATTATTTAATTTAAGTGACTTTTGAATGAATTAGAAATTTTATCTAAGATTTAACTTTCATTTAAAAAGTCTAGTTTCCTTTTACTCTACCCAGCCTTATTTGTTAGATTCATAGGCCTGGACTAAATTTTAACATTTGTTTCTGCTTGTAGATAATTCTCTGTCAGTTTACCTGCTTCCAAAAGGCTTGGTAAACAAATTGATTTATCATCAATAATTATTCACATTTTTTTTTTTTTAGAAATATGGAAAAGCTAACTGAGATTGAGTTTACTGGAATAAGTGTTCAAGACAAGGCACCAAGAAACTTGTCAAACAATGCTTCCAGCATTCTGATCCAGGTTTGTCTTATGAAACTTTTTCATATACCTTATTCGTTTGACATCTTTTAATGTTTTAAATAATCTGTGTGTACATGTATTGTATTGCTAGCTTATCTTTTTCCTTTGTTACACAGGAGGATGATATTGAGACCCCCTATGGAAACCTTCACGTTGCCATTCAAGGAGACAGATCCAAACTGGCTATCCTGACATTCCATGATATTGGTCTAAACAGTAAGTGCAAAAGTCAGCTAGACTTAGTTCACCCTTTTTTTGGTACAGGACCATGTATCCTTTTATTATGTTCATTTGAAAATTTTGAATTGAAAAAAAGGTAAAAAAAAAAAAGGTTGATGAAATATTATGTTTTAATGTGAATTACAGACAATTAAATTATATGCTTATATCCTCTATGAAATGTTTTTATTAGATCAGGAAAAAAAGGTTGATAAAAAGCACTGTGATAGATGTGTTAGCTCACAGTGCAAGCTCACTTCATTCGGTATTACAAAGATCAAAGCTAAAAAGAATACATTTCTAATTTTACAGGTACTACATGCTTTCAAGGGTTCTTCAATTTCATTGACATGCAACCAATCTTGCGACATTTCTGTGTGTACCATGTGAACGCACCAGGGCAAGAAGACGCAGCTCTTCAACTCCGACCTGAGTAAGCTAATTAATTTTATGACTTCTTATTCACTTGAGCAGATTTACAGATCTCAGTAATCAGAGCAATTTAAGGCATTTATGTCACATTTTATATAAGCAGATGTATTTACTTCTGGTTAATGGGTGATTATAAGTTCTAGTTCTCGAACACAATGATAAGTTTAGGTTGTGGGATTCATGAAAAAAAAAAATTGTCCTTCGATTATGAAAAAAAAGAAAATAAATTAGCAAATCACTGGTGATGTGTCCCATAGTACTTTTATAAGAATAGTACTTTTCACTGATATTCTCTTTGGAGAAACTGATCACCAAGTTACAGATTTGTACATGTTAATTTGTGTTGATTATAGCATGGGGATTTGAAAAATGTTTAATTTAGGGGTTTTGGCTTTTTACAAAGTGGTGTTGGGTTGTGTTGCACTTTTTATTATTTACTATGTTTTTAAAGCATGATTTGGAGAGGTCATTTAATATGAAATTCACTCACCAGTATACACCTTTGTTGCAATGGTGTCAGTGAAATTTTCAGGTTATTAATAAAGAGTTAAATGAATGAAGAAATAATTTTATCATTCAGGAGATTTATAAGAACATCAATTCGATATTTCCTTATCAAACATCTGTATAAGTGGAGTGAAAAAACTTCTTTAATTGAATCTTTTGCTTTTATCATGTTTATCTGTTGTTTGCTATTTTCAATAGGCAAGATGCCCTAGGCAACCCAGATTCATTGGGTAACAGGTATGTTTAGCTAGGTCCACCCTCAGCTACAGAAATGGCTTGTTATTTCAACATCTGCAACAAAAGCAAAATTTCCTGTACAGTATTCACTCTAAACAGCATCCTGAACTTTAAAAAAAAATAAATGAAAGACTGATTTTTTGTTTATGCCTAACAAATACTACATTTAGATTTTTTCCTGTCACAAGAAGTACTAGAGAATGGTTGCTTATTAGGATGAATACTGTTATTAAAATAGAAATCGATAAAAATTCATGGCAATATTCATGATGTGTTTTTTTATTTGCAGTAAAGAGAATTTGATAGTTTTCAATTTTTTTCTTTCAAAACCAAAAAAAACAAAAAAAATTCAAATGACATCTTTAAACCTCTTTTTTTCTGAAATTGATTTTTGCCTAACATTTAACAATTTTGATTCAAATTCTGTGTTGCAAAAAAATTTTATGATAAATTTTCATTGTGTTTTAAATATTAAAAAGTGTAATCCATGTACAGATTTGCACTAATATTAGCATAAAAGCCATTTCTGTGTTAGTTGTAAGCATCCCTAGCTAGAAAAAGAGAGAGATTCATGTATCCGAGACTGAACTGGTTTTCTGCTTTTCTTTTTTTCCTGCACTTTATGATGCGCAAATTTGCTGCTGTAAGACAAAGAAATGCTTTGAAAAAAAGTTGTCCTTTATATATGGACCCATTTGAGATTTTTAACGAAGTAAAACTTAAATTATTTGTAAGAATTTTTTTTTTTTATTAATCAATAACCTCAATAAAATAGTTTCCAATTTGAATGTCAATTAAAGACATATTTTCTTTTTCAGGATTTTAGAAAAAAAAAATGTGTCTTACTTTGTCAGTTAAAGATTTCTCATAAATGTGTTAAAAGATTTCTTTATAGAGTGCATTTTCTTCTGTCTTTTTCATTTCTAACAAGATGCTTGTTTACAGAGAAGTGATCTTTCAGTATCTTTTCACTTATAAACCTTTGTAATTCAGATTCTGAAACCAGTGTCATACATTCAATATTAGACATTTTTCAACTATATAACTGTTAAATGAAGTAACCATGAAATTATTACTAATTTTTTAAACCCCAGTACCCTTCTGTAACAACAGAATGATTTATAATGCAGTCCCTTGATTTGGGTATAGATTTCATTTCTTGTCATGCAAAAACAATATTATAGCATATTCCCATTAAAAAATTATACCTTGATTACCATGTTTGGCATGAATAGATTTCTTTTCATATCTGAACTGTTGACAAGTTTACTCCATTAGTATGGACTTTGAATTTATGCTTACTGTCACAGGCAATTGATGTCATATTTTTAATCACAAAAAATATTATGTAGAATGCACGTATTGTGTGTACCATAGTTTATTTTCAATCATTCAATCTTTTAAAAATAGATCTTGATTCTCACATTTTGGCCAGTTTGCTAACCAACATTTTATTTTCTGTCATTCATTCATTATTTTCCAGTTGCAGTGTCATTTTGCATGACTTAAAGACAAACTATTTTTCTCATTTAACTTATCCTCAGGCATTAGTCTCAGAAATGTTCAAAGAAACCCTGAGGGGCCTCCCCAACCCTAATCCCCGGTCCACCTTCCCAGACTCAATCTGTGTTGGAGCTTAAAATTCATAAATGTTTATATGAACTGTTTTATGTCAGAGAAAGAGTATTGGAATGACCCAGCTGTGCCTTATTGAGATATTGTTAACTGCTATCCCTTCCCTAAATGTGATAACTGCTTTTAGATTTAAATTTTGCAATTAAGGAGTCCATTTAAAAAATTTTCAGCTGCATGTTATAGTCTTTGCATGTTTAACTCAGTAATTACATTTATGATTTTTAAATGAATAATCAATTATTGATTGGATAAAATCTTTCATATTGACGGCATATGACTTTTTAGCTGACATCTAGGAGTAATGATTGTTATATAATGCTTATTTCATGCTTTAATATACTAACCGTTTTATTTTTCAGTAACTGTTGCACAAGAATTTTCATATTTAGTGCCTAACCAATTAATCAATGTATCAGTGTATATATACTTATAATCTATATTAATATAATTACAGCAAACTATAGAACTGATTCAATCTGTATTTCTGGTGTAGAGTAGTTTCATATCTAGTAAATTGTTAAATATTTACCCTTTAATTATTATGTCAACTTGGTGACAGTTCCAGTTAATGGCATTGATACAACAGGTTGACCTCTTTACTTTCCTTTTGCTCCCTTTAACTTGACTCAATTTAATGAAATGGCTGGCACACATGAACTTTGACTCGAATATGTGAAATGTCTGATACATGTCATAAGTTTTACTTTCTTTTCTTTTAACTTTAATTCTTGATTCTTCATGCAGCTTCTTGAGAAATAAGTGGTTTGTAATATTATACACCCAAATAAAGCAAAAAATTATTCTGGCTTATGTTTTTATTTTGAGATATAAGAATGCTATATTTGGTCTTAGCTTCAATATTATGTTCACAAAATTTTAAAATTAGCATTTTTATTATTGGCCAAACTTTCATTCGTGATTTCCCCCTACTTTTTTAGTTTGCAATGATATTATATGTAATTATATTCCTAGATCTGTTTACTGTCATTAATTTTATGACATTTTTTTTAACCTCTTAAATTATATCTGATCAGTTTTGAGTATACTTATTTCAATGCTTATGTCCATTCCTTTCCATTAAGTAATGTATGTACCGTAAGCTTTGGAAAAAAAAAATCAATATTTTCAATAAATTATTTTAACAAATACCGGTATATCACATATTTCTTCTTTCATTTCATAATTTTTACTACAGTATACTTTAAATTATAAATAATTGAAATTCAATGTTTTCTTGTTGAATTTCTTAATATTATATGTATTAAAATAGATATTTTTGAAGTAGTTTAGCCATTTTCCAACAACTTTCCAACCAACCAATGAAATGAGATATATCAATGACTAAACTGTTTGATTTTCTGACAGGTTCACTTATCCCACTATGGAACAACTAGGGGAGAGCATCCAGTCAGTTGTTGATTTCTACAAGTAAGTTATTATACCCCTGGCCTGTAAAGTAGGGGGGGTATATAGTGATTGGGATGTCTGTTCATCTGTTTGTCCATCCGTCTGTTATGCTTTGGGGTATCCATCCCTTTGATATTCACAATTCCTCTTATACCACTTATTGAAATTTAATGAAACTTTCACAGATTCTTTATAACATAATGCCATTGTGCACCTTCTATTTTACTTTTTGATCAGACGGGTCTCCTAGAGCAAAACATGGATTTTGCCAGTATAATCAGTATATGGAAGGTGGGGGGGGGGTATCATTAAGTGAGCTCAGTGCTCACAGTACATGTAGTTTAATACTGTATGTTGTGCTCCATAAAACTGTCTTTTTGGAATGATTAAAAATGCTAGATGTATATATAGAATTAAAGTCTTGCAGTTACTACCTGCAAGCAGCTGCTACACAAATGTTAAAACTGCATGGTTTCTTTTTTCCTTGTAGTTAATATGCACAAACTTCATTGAGTTCAGATAAACCAACTTATAAGAGGACTAATCTAAAATTTTATTTCATTACAGGATCAAAAGATTCATCGGGTTTGGTGTTGGAGCAGGAGTTAATGTTCTTTGTAGATACGCTGTGAGTAATATCGATTGATTAAATATGGTACACCATATCCCTTTCTCATGAAAATAATTCTCACAAAAATATAGCGATTTACAGTATAAACAAAAAAATTTACAGGGTGTGTTAATGAAAAATATCCTTATATGGTGTTTTAATTACACAACTGAAAAATAAACCATCTGAGACTTGATTGCTCTTGACCATTTATTTGCCCCACAAAGATTACATTTGCTGATGTACTTGAGCTCTGTAATTTCTAATTTAATACCTCATGTTTTTTATATCATATTATCTCTACACTTTCAGCTGAATCATCCTGAGTTTGTTGATTCCCTGGTGTTGGTCAATGGAACAGCTGACAAGGCTGGCTGGGTGGAGTGGGGATATCAAAAGGTTTGAATTTAACAAGAAAAGATATTTTCAAGAAATTTACATTGTGTATGATTGTGGGACATGTATATGCTATTTAAGAGACCAAGATGGCAAAGTTTTCTCATGATGGTAGAATTTATCTATTAACTAGTCAGTGAGATGTATAAAATTTTTGCAACCAAACAATATAAAAAGTACAATTTTAGGAAATGCTATTTATTACTGTGTATGTTTATACATGTTTGACTATTTTATTTCAGCTGAACTCCTGGTATCTGTGGCGGGGAAACATGACAACATTTACAGAAGATTACCTCCTTTGGCACTGGTTTGGATCTGTGAGTGTTTTACAGCAAATCAAAAGTTTATGAAATTTCAGAATTGCTCATTACTTCTCAAAACAATTTTTTTAAAAACATATATTCATGTAACATATATGCATATCAGCCATGATTAATAGCATTTCTTTGTAAATTAAAGACGTACAACACACTGGGGGAGATAACTCTTGCGATTTCAATTGAACGTTTGACGTGACGTCAAATTTAACGTCAAAAATAAAGCGTCAAAACGACGAGTAAAACGATCCCGATGTAAATCAATCATGAAAGAAAACTGGGATATGGGCTTGGCTGTGATTGTGCGTACCATACTCAATCAATAAGTATTTTTAAATTAACCCGATTAAACTCCGTAAAAAGAAAGACATAAAATACCATCCCTTAATGTTTATTTCATTTCATTTCATATACAATAAATTGTATTTTTGATCAAAGCGCAGCATCTTTTTTTTTTATTCTGAAAATTTTATTTCACATTGCCGAAATTCTGATTATGTACAGTTGGCTATATAACATTCCGATTAATGGTCTTCATTACAATTTGTGCATTTACGATATAAATATTGTTTTTCTTCTTTAATTAAATAAAACAACAATAAATAAACAAAAAAACTTTTTACAATGTAAAATCGATGTTGTTCTCAGACCCTTACTGATCAAAGAGGAACAACTCTGAAAATGTAGGAGATGTTTATTTTCCTCCCTTTATTCACGTTTTCCACAGAATCAGATACATTTACAGCAAGACCTGATAAATCCGAGAATTGAATACTATAGACCTCATATACACAATGTAAGTATAGAATTGAAAAGAATTGTTCACTTGTACTGAAATTATCTGCATTTATGAATATCCTATTGCAGCAAATCGTTTGACTTTCTGTCAACAATGTCGGTTCGCATTTCCTCGAATCAAAACAAAACGTAGCCTATAAGACTTTAAAAAATATCAAAGTGCGATTTGATATAAATTGAAATAGATGAAGAGTTTAATGTTTGATATTTTGAAGTTAATGAGGACGAATACGGAATTTTCATTTTAACTTTAGAAGCGACGACATTGAAAGAAATGCGTACAATATCACGAGGGGTGTACATCTATGCAAATGTCGATGTATCCCCACGGACACATACTGTCTCGTTTGAAATAATGACATGAAAAAAACTACAATTATTCCATTTATATCACAGGAGAGTTGAACATACACCATTTTTTTAATGAATAAAATTAAAGAAATAAAATTAAAAATCAACATATTCAAGTTCAACAAAACTTGAATTCGTATCCAGGTTTCATGTGATATGGAATGCATAACGCATACATAGGTCCTATATGGACTAAACACTAAAATCCTTCAGTAATTTTTTCCTGATACATATAAAAAGAGTAGTCAATATTTATTCTGCATTCATGAATTTAAAAACTAATGCATACCTCCGGGATTCAAATGACGAAATACCAGTATATTTACACTGTAAACGACGTTTCGTCAAACGCTAATATGGTCTGTGACGCAAAAAAGGAAGGGGTGGGGGTGATAGGGGTATTCAAAAATTGCCTAAAAATCTACATTTAAATACGCTTAACATATGAAAACTTTAAATTTGTAAGTTAATATATTTTTGAAGCAAAAGCAATATTCCAATTTAATTTTTTTAATGTGTATTTGTAGATTCATATAACAAAGTGATCGACCCCCGTCTGAAAGACGCGCGGGAACGTGATTTATTGAGAAAGGGGGAGGGGGTAATTTTCCGCTATTAAATCAAAACTGGTCGTACAAAAATTATACAAAAAATTATGCAAATTATTTTTACCACCAGCTACCAAAAGAAAGTTTTTTTACCAAAATTAAACGACAGGTTTTTTCACAAAAAAAAATTGAATTTGAAAAATACGCAATTTTCAAGGCTTAGATAATTCATAGTTTTTCAGTTTAAGGTCTTTAAAAATTATTTTGATGATATGTATATCAAAAAGATGACTATGTTTTTGTGTTAAATGGTTAAAGGAATAAGCCAATGAAATTTGACATTTATATCTAACCTGGCTTTTTTGAAAATCAAGGTTTAAGTAGTTCATTGATTAAAAATTTTCTCTCCTTGTAAATAACTAAAGGGGGGTAACTTTTGGAATTTCCTGTCCAAAAACCACTCGAACAATTTTGTCCAAAATGTGCATACATGCAGTAGATATAGTCATGTACTAAATATACAAAAATAACGAAAATTAAACGACAGGAATTTTTTGGGGTAGGTGTGTTGTACATCCTTAAGTTTTGAAATTCTGAGAGCTACTGCACAAAGTGACTACAGTATGTATCGGAATTTCGGAGACTTAAAAAGATAAGATTTTATCCAAATTGGCATGTCAGCATGACCTTCATTAAGTTTACCAGTTTCCACCAATATGCATTACAGTGAAATTCTACAAATTCTAACGACAAAGAAAATTTTGATTTCTAGCGTTAGAAATGGTATACAGTAAAACTTCTCTAAACCGGCCTACTGCTGGACTGAATAAAATGGCCGGACTAGAGGGGTGGCCGGTTTTCCAAGAATCTAACATGCTGAAGAAATGCAGAACTATGTGACAGATGCTATGGAAAATATATAATTGGTGTCTGTTATAATTATCTGTCTACATGTTATTAATAATCATAAGACACGTAATGTGTTCTTAAAAATGGAAATTATAATTAGTGAGGATAAATTCGACATACATGTTGATTTTTATAAAGAGAAATTAAAAAATAAGAACAGAAAAGACATGGAAGTTTACTTTATTACAACCATATGCAAAGAAATAAACCAGATCCTTTACCTTAAACACCTAATTTTATGTTAACGCCCCCAAAATCTACCTGATTCAAGATCAATAACTTACCGCCTGTCAATCATTAAAAAAACAATAGCTTCTGATTTGATTGACAGGCCAGCTACCCGTGCTACCTGATAGTCTGAGTTTGTGTCCTTTGAAAACGATCGCCTGGTCACGCGTCAAACACTTTCATGTAGCCGCCTTGTATACACGGGGGTTAAGAAAAGAATCTTGGTAAAATTTTATTTTAAAAAATTGAGAGTAGATAATTAGAACATGACTTCATATATAAAGATATTTGCTTTTAATCTCAACGGCTATATTGTATTTTAGGCGATATGTCGTCCAAGATATCTGCTGTAGAATTTAGACCAGTCCGTGCGCAGAAACGCTCTTTGTCGATTAAAATTGAAATATGATAAATAAGAAAAGATATTCAGCACAAACGGCACGGATAAAAAATTCATTTATCCCATGTTTTATCTACGTATATATGAATACAAACTATACCACGTTCTGTTGTAAAGTTTTGAAATGTCAGAAATAGAGCTCTAGGAGTTTCGATATTGTAACTTTTAGTTCGAATTTCCTAACATCTGTCAATACCCTATATTCGAAATTAAAAAGTGAATATATACAGCCGAAGATCAATTCTTAAAAGTATATAAGAAATCTTGCAAACAATTAAAAAAAATTAAACACACGAACACCCGGAAATGGTGAATATTTTCGACATTATTGTTGTTCAGAACGTACTGGGCAATATTCGCGGTACGGTACATTGTATATGTTCACACGACGGATAGGCCTACATGTACCTATGAATGGAATATTTTATTATTTTTTTAAAAATTTTTATATTTACACACATTTAATTAAAAAAAGATATGTTTAAATTGTAGTTTTACTCTGTGTTCTTTTCTTTAATTTGTCTTTTTTTTAAATATAAAAAACGACATTTCTTTATAATGTTTTTCTTCATTAGATATCGCTGAAAGTATTTAAAATTTATAAATAAATTTTATATTGAAATATTTCAATTATTTCAAGTAGTTTTACTCAAATTTAGACAGGAAACACAGACTTCCTGTGTAATGCTACGTGTATATAGATTTTTGACATCTTGGGTATTGGGGGTCTCCAGGTAAATAACACCACTGTTACTTCGACCACTCCCCCTCCTCAGGTAACCATACGGTAAAAAAATTGGGTCTTTAACTGAACTCTATACAGAATACTGCATTTGTATCTGTGTATCGCTTACGTCATAAAAAAATTGTTTGAACTTCAGTAAAAAGTAAATAAGTAAAGCATTTCTGTGCAAAATTTCTGTTATTTTAATTATGATATGTATATTTTGGTAAACATTTTATTTTATTTTTTTCTTAGCATTTTTTAACAGTGCCCAATTTTAAGGCCGCTTATGTGTATTTAAAAAGATGATGCAATATGGCGTGCGATAATTTGTTGATTATTTAAATTAAATAATTGCTTGATATTTTATTAATTCATGTTTATTTGATGTTAATCATATGTACACAGCTTAGACCGGCCATTTACGTAGTCTGGAACGATGACTTCCCCTTTCAAGACGGTAAACAATAGAAAACCCTATGAGCATGATGAGGCCATATTCAGTTTTTCACACCTCTGACTTTTCGTGGATAGGCTATTTTTCACACCTCCGGCCGGTCATTATTACCCCTATGGCCAATGACATATAAATTTCTTGCAATCAAAAAGTGGCCGGTATGATGAGGGGAAATTTCCTATGTTTCTTAACTTTTGTTCTTGGAAAAGTGGCCGGTGTCCGGTTTTCAGGGGTGGCCGGTTTTATGAGAGTTTATGTGTAAAGAAATGTTAAGAATTTTGCTGGGACTTATAAATTTGGCCGATGTTCAGGGAGAACCGGTTTCCAGGGGGGCCGGTTTGGAGAAGTTTCACTGTATTTGCGTACGTTTTGAAGAATTTTTGTTCTGTTTTAGAAAACCCAGTGGGAGAACTATGACCTGACAACCGTCTACAAGGAATACATCAAAAGTGTCAACCCTCAGAACCTGTCACTCTTCATTGAGGCATACCTAGCGTAAGTCTGCAGCAACCAATCAAATTAACTAACCAATCAAATCATAGCTGAACAGAATTTAGAACTGTGTCACCTTAAAGATTTGTCTTCTGAATTTTTTGTTTCAATATACTGCAAAGAAAGGGAACAATGACAAAAATCAGCAGTACACACAATGCTTGTTTTTATTCTGTAGGAGAACCAGTCTTGGCATAGAGAGAGAGCTGGACCCAGTGAGAAGAATTGGAACCAAAACCCTTCAGTATGTAGAATTTATTACTAACAGTTGTAACTCTCAGTTATATTGTAAAACAGCCTTATTTGCTGCATTTTATCCATGCAAGAAATGCTAATGTCAATGGATCATTTAAAAAAAGGGAGGATTTTTTGCTGAGTACTGTTATTTGAGTAAATTGCATCCATTGATGATGATTTGTAGGTGCCAGACCTTGTTAATTGTTGGTGATGATTCTCCACACTTGGATGATGTTGTCGAGCTCAATGGACAGCTGGATCCAGAAAAAACAGATTTCCTCAAGGTTTTTCCATTTCTAGACTACAAGATAATGTTTATTTTAATAAAATGTACAGAAAAACTCAGTTATAACAAAGTCACCGAGACTGATGAAATTGCTTTGCTATATCCATATGAAGAATTCCTTAAAGGGGGAGTTTCGATAAGGCCGTTTTCCCGCCCCTCAAGAAATTTTATGAAAATTTAATATTTTGTTAATTAACCTCTTATCTTTCAGAAAATATGAAAATAATTTATACTACGCATTTTCCGATCACGTGATACTTGAAAATTTAAGTATACCCCCTTTCCTTTAATTTTGGAATGGATGTTTTTAAAAGCCGAGGACTGAGATGTAAACCTAAAAATATCGCAGGAAACCTAAGATATATTTTAGTAAAGACCAAAAATTACCAATTTTATTGATTTTCTTACTGAAAAATGTTTTGTAATGAATGTGTGAATGCTTTATATATAGTACGAGTTTTTTCTCAATTATTGAACAATAAGTTTTGTTTGGAACGTAGGATAAGCTTAAAGTATTAAATACAGAAGGTTGAAAATCAAATTAAATTGATATTTTGTTCATAGTTTTGAAATTCATGTAGAATAAGTCATTTTCATATTGGGGAAAATACAAAGAAAAGTAGACCAAGATAAGTAGAAGTCAAAACAATGATTTGATATTATACGGGAATATTCAGTGTATAAGTAAAACATAGATAATTTTCTCATCGATTTTACTTTTATGGAATACTTAGATTTAAAAAAAATTTAAAATATACCATAATGCATTCTCCAAATTATATAAAAATATTTATATTAATTTAAAAATTTAATTTTTTTTAATTTTAATATTTGAAAATAAAATTATTTATGGTTCCAATATTAAAAATATATACCATACCATGCATTTTATAGTAATAATATTCTCAGAGACAAACTTCTTTTTATATCATGAATAATGATTATATGTATCGACAATTCTAAAAACAAATGCATTGACTGTTTCCCTATCATATAAAGATTGTACAGATTTGATTTATTTAATCGCTTTCGGAATCCCATTCAGTGTCTCCTGCATTTAAAATTGCCCCGTCATGAACTGAAACAGTTTCATTATCGTCTGCATGATGTCTCTGATAACCAAGGTACCAAATAATTGCTGCAATATGAGCACAACATCCCACTGTTCTTGATCCTACTTTACACTGACAGTACCATCCATTTATGGGAGGTCTTGAGTGTTCATCGTAGGAAATCCAAAGAAAATATTTCTTAGCAGACACGTGTCTTGACTGGATTCTAGCTCGAAGTAGCCCAGCGTCATCCTTATGGACAGATATGCTGTATGATCCATCTGTAGACATGTGTTCCACTGTATAAGATTTTGCTTGTTTAATTTGATAAACCCCTTGTGTAAGTGTTCGCAAGTCATTTTCTGTTAAGCGAGGAAAGTTATTAATACAATCCTGGGAAATCTCACTCCAAATTGCTCGTTTACTGGAAAGCTTTTCTCTTTCAACCCTTTCTCGAAGTTCATTTGACTTTCTTGACAGTTGTTTCATTTCATTGGCAAGAGCAATATCTTCATCACTGTTTGATACGAGAGGGGGTCGAAAAGCATTGACACTTGCACAAACAATTCTAACATAATCACCTATCCATTTTATCTGGGTATTTGGAAGTACTTGGTCTAACGCTTTCCAAGTTTTGATTCTGCTGTTTGCCGACTCTACAACCCATCTGACCTTCGTCACACACCTAGAGTGATTAGCCTCCTCTGTTGTGTGCTGCTTACATCCACGAGATAAATAATCAGGCATTTCATGTTTTATCCCCAGTTTATCCAAAAAATCCAACGAATCACGAAATCCCCTATCGACAACTAGTAAGTCCTCTTTCTCAATCCAGCTTTGAACTTCCTCAACATTATTTTGGATAACACTGTTTAATATGGCAGAATCATTATTCTTGCCATCAGCTAGATATGGTCCGAAAACAGATAGGATATACCCGTCTGTTCCAACAACCATCATTGGTTTTACAAGAGGCCTATGCTTGTGACCACTAAACGTCTGTCTCTGAAAAGTGTAATTGCCACTTTTTTGGATGTAAATATATGTACCATCCAGTACAAGTATAGCAATGGGCTTTCAGTCTGCTAAAAGATGCTGAACAAAGGGCCTTGTGTGTTTGGATATAAAATCCTCTCTGGTCATGTGGGAAAATCCAAGAAACTTAGGCACAAAATTTTCCATCAAGGCATCTCTAGCACTAGCAATAGCTTTGGAAATAATGCTTTTATTTCTGATTTGGAACATGCTGCTCAAAATACTCAAAGAATTGCCCGTTCGTAATTTTGTCAGTAGCAGTGCAAGGCATGTTCTCGGTGCTCTGTTGCATGAAATTCTAAGAGGAGACATGTACTTAGAAAGAACATCAAATTGCGATTTTGTGATCCCAGTGAGATTGTAATAATCTTCATCAGACAGAGACTGCGGATTTTCAAAGTCTATACCTACTGTTCGTTCAAGGCATTTTTCTCTTAAGGTAAGCAGCATAGTTGTAATTTCTGATCTGTTAAAGTTAGTGAAGTCAGAGGTTGGCGAAAGATTGTCCAATACATTGGGGTCAATTTTACCATCAACCATATGACGCTCACAACACCTACTACCCTCTGGGATAAGAACTCCTTTATCTACGAATGCCTTCATTTTGATTTCTTCAGTGATAGTTCTTAGGTTCTCGGTCTTTGAACAGAACTGACATTTACGATGTGATAAACTGGCTCGGGGTATAGACAACCGAATTCGTTTAGGGCTTTGAAAGGATGGGTCGTTTCTGGGTTCATTATGATCTTCCTCTAAAAGGGGATCTATTGCACTGCTAGACTCTAGGTTTTGTACCCTATAAAACTCAGTTCGACAGAAATCGCATATTATGTCTGACTCTATGTTCAGAGAAGACCCAGACCCTTGAAGTTTCTGTGAAATATAATTGTACAGACTTTGGTTCTTCATATTTTTAACCTTTCTGCTATTCTTGCGAACATATCTATGACAAAGACAACAATTTTTAGATTCTGAATCATCCATATTTCGAGTTAGAGGTATTTGCCCACATTCAGGTCTGGGTCGCGTTCTCAGCACGGCTGAGGCAATCACAGCCAGGACTAAGTCCCTCCCACTTCCCAGCTCTCCATAGATACTCATCTTGCTTCAACAGCTCCATTCACACCTCATTTAGAGAGTTTCAGTATGTCTACGACAAGATGGGTATCTGCAACTCCCCAGGGCTGACCATAAAGGAGGTTCCCCCTAGCATCTAGTTTGCTAAACTAGAGCCGCAGTTCAAAATGCATGTGTAAACGCCAAAGATATGTGTTGGATCTTAAGTTCCGCAGAAAATATTCACCTCAACATCCAGACGAAAAACATTACATTTTCCCTGTTTCACCCACACGGAGGTATATATGGGCGCCTCTCTAGCAGGTTGGAGCGAGGAATTCCATTCTAAAGAAAGGCTTAAATAACTTTCTTCAGGCTATAACCATTAAACGAAAGAAATGAATCAATTATGAGCGGAACAAATAAAAACAACTTTGCAACCCCACTATCCCGTTTGATAGTCAGGAACATTTAAATGTTTAGGCTTTTCTTTAAAACAATACTTGTCAAGATTATGAGCAAATAATAATAATAATACAAATATTAAACACATTCAGAATCAAAAATGTTAAGTTTTAGAGGGCACAATTATTTCTAAGATAATTTAAATAAGAACACGAGTAATTTTTTCACAGTTGTATGACTTTAGAAAAAAAAAGACGTAAATATCATATATAGGCGATGAATTCCGTATCAAAATAATGAGGAGATATGTTAAAGCTATATATCGTTTATGTTTTTGAAAATCCGCATAAATGAAAACAATATCTGCCTCTTTTTGCTGATGATTTAAATACTTGATCAGATCAAGTGACCGAGTGCCTCTAAATTCAGATACGCATTTTTGTGCAATTTTGTTTTTTTTTAATATGAAGTGCACACGCGACACTCAACAAATTTTAAGGCAATAATGTATATTGTATGTGTAGTAACTGTGCAAAATTTGGTGAGTGTCCCTCATGCACTTCATACTTTAAACATCGATTAATGAATGCCACCCTCTCGTGTTTTCCCATAGGCCAAATGTTAACGCGTTGAAGATACATCTAAATACGGCTTAACTGCAGCAATAAATATATAACACCTGAACTTTTGAAATATATATAACAAAAGTTAACATATTTATCTTGTATTATAAACTGATTTGGAAAAAAAATATTGAAATTTATTTTCATGAAAAAAGTGGGCCGCAAAGCGGCCTTATCGAAACTCCCCCTTTATATAGCTGAGGATCCAAGATAACTTCGCTATAACCATGAATTTGCAATATCCATGTTCGTACTAAACAAGTTTACTGTAAAGTAATTGTTCAAAGTGGAAGTCATTTCTGAAGTTTAACATTTTTTTTTAATATGACTTTATTTATCATTGTACAAAATTTTCATGACTTTATGTATTATAAGTGTTTCTAAGCAGTAAATTTTGTTCTGACGGTAACACAAGGATATCATTTTGTAGATTCAGGACTGTGGAGGTATGCCACTGGAAGAACAACCTGGGAAAGTCTGTGAAGCATTCCGACTCTTCCTTCAAGGAATGGGATATGGTAAAACATTCATTTCTTATAATACCGTAATTTTCGGATAATAGGTCGATACTTTTTTCTCAGAACCGCTGGGGTCGCCCAATATACTAATTCGACCTTTCTAAGGCTCAAGTTTACGAAAAATGTCCCAAAATCAATAAAATTTACGTCAATTTCAAAGCAAATCTGTGCCACTTTCATACTCCTTTTTTCATTATTTTACGCAGAAAAATTAATGCCCAGGTAAACAATAAAATGTTTATTTATAGCTTTCTTACAAAATAAATTCCATTAATTATCCGTTGATGACAAAGGAAAACAACATTGCTTCATCTATTAAATAATTCCTCAACGTATTATCCATTAACATCATGCGGTATCCATCTTGTGAAGTTAGGAAGTCGCTACTGTTTACTAAAAGTAAAACCGCAACCGTATCAAAATTTAAAATACGGAAAACCTTTCAAGGTCACAACTGTAGTGTTTTTACCATTTATTAGTAGCGATAAATTGAAATAGTATTTTAAATATTTTTTATTGTCTTAAGCAAAGAATTAGCAATAAATACGGGTGACAGAAATATAATTTACATTGAATTACCGGCATACAAAGATTGGCTTCTAACAGAATTTTAATTGTCTGAAAGATAAAGGAATTCACACTGTGTACACAAAGGTGTAACATCAGTGTTCAGTTGATTTAAATGCCTGCGGGGCATGATTATAACAAACCCACGTGCCGTTATAGGGTATTAGTGTTACACATGATTGAACAAACAAAGCCGTGAAATTCATGTTGACAGTCAGATTGTGAATGTACTCTCAATTAAATTTATAAATTAAACTTATTCTTTACTGTTGCTTGATATATACATTCAATGGTCATTTGCGTGTTTTAGCGAATCCCTGGAGAAGAAAAATAAAAATGGCGGACATCGAAGTAATTGTCGTCCACCGGTAAATAATGTCTGAATAAAGTTAACAGGAATGTGTCCAAGTTGTTCTGAAATCGGAATTACTATTCTTTGGTCTCGGGTATTTCCCGAATATTATAGATGTAAAATAATAATGTATTTACGTGTTATTTATGCCTTTGATTTAACAACGGTGTGAAACTACGGAGGCATTGAACAGGCAAATTGGAAAAAAATAAGTAGTAACACAATTCAAAGAAGTTTTAACTACTTTTTTAAAAAAAAAAACTTTATTTAAATTCTGTACTCATTAAAATACCTGTTTAATTTCTTGATACGTTTATGTCACGGAATAACCCCGGAAATTCTAGGGGTTTACCTGTTCTGATACGTTGTTTCTGCGTAAACATCTTTAGAAAACGGGAAGCAAAGCCTCGTCCTATATAGTAAGTTCGTCCTATCTTAGGATTTTTCAAAAATTAAGGCTGAAAATGAGCCTTTCGACCTATATACCCCATCGACCTATAACCCAAAAATTACGGTAAATATTCTTACCCAGAAATAAAAAAAAAATTGAAAATATGTGAATCTTATGTATTTTTAATAGAACATTTATTTCTGCTTTGTATCTTTTGTAACAGTTGATTCTTACTCTTTATTATGCATTTTCATGTTTTTTTTTGTAGTTCCCACTCTGCGGCAAAAAACCAGCACTGTGTCACAAGTACAGAAGAACTACCAGCATCAGCTGCAGGATTTCAAAGAAATGAACACCGTGTGCTGAACTCGTACATTACCTTGACAGATACACCAAATACGCAAACTACAAAATTTAAACTCTGAACTTTCAACCCCCAGATAACACGCCGTATTTGTACTGCAATGTACACTTCTTTTTGTTGATGTAGTTGTAGAATTGTGGACAATGCTTCGTTGTCTATACTGGATGGCCATAAAATACCAAAGCTTCCTTGTTTTAAGTGCAATGCTTCAATGTGTTCTTCTTACACCCGTAAATGACAATAGTCAGGAAAAGAGGGAAATGGCATTCCATTTGTAAATACATGTAAATATTGAAAGCTGTGTGACTGAATGTGTGAACCAGGATGACAGTGTGTAAATGTACAGTAGTAAAAACATAGTCCAGAACCCGACACAGGATGTCAACTAATTCTTAGAATCTCATTGTAACAGATCTTTTAATAAATGTTGTAAAGTTACTTGTTGTAAATTCTAGGAATTGTAGATTTGTGCCTACTTTTTTTAAAGAAGGACATTTTTATCTAGCCAAAATTCTTTCTTGTCAATGCTCATGCTTCATTATTATTTTTTTAAAATCACAAATGAACTTACCTTACAATGTGCGTGTGGATTAAATTTTCTGTTTTTGTCCCCTTAAATGTCAATGCTTGTACATAATGTTGTTAAGACTTTTGCATTAAATGTTTTGTTTGAATGATATTTATTGTTTATAGAGATTTGTTTTATACTGTAGTTTTCATGCATATATTTGTTACATTCTTCATTCCGTTTGTATTATATTGTACATAAAAGATTAAACTGATTTTGCTTTACTATTTTTAATAAATCATGAAAGGACATTTTATGGACATTTTTATTTTCATCCGTTTATTTACTTTGTTTTAATGAGGTGCTCTTCTTATAAAAAAAAAGAAAAAATAAAAATACTGTGAAATCACTCATTTTTGTAGAGATTTAATTTCCATTGTTTTCTAGGTATGGAGAGACCCACCACCACGAAATGTAAAATTCCATAAGCATTACTACTAAACATTTTCCAGCTTAGAATTTAAATCCCCACAAATCAATATTTTTTCATTTAAGCTCGAAATTTTGACCACACGAAAATATGAGAATTTAAATTCCCACAAATCAATATTTTTTCATTTAACCTCGAAAATTTGACCGCACGAAAATATGTGATTTTACAGTTAGAATGTTTATATGCTTTAAAACAAGCAGGGGGCTCAGCCAAGACCTGTGTTATCAGCCTGTGCAAAGTTTGAAGATTGTTAAAATAATGCTCACAAAATAAATGCAGATATGATGTATACTAGTAACAAATACTGAGATAAGGAAATTTAAATATTGAAAAATATATTTTAAAAATTTGCAGACTGGTATCTCCGTGGAAATGAATTTTGTTTGTAAAAATAAAAAAAACTTTGGGATAAACTACCAATTTATTTTTCAGAAAGGGGTGGGGAGTGGGGGTGCAATGTTGATGATGTATAAAATATAGGGCAGTTGGCATCAAAAGCATATTCCAGGTGAAGCCTCAAAGTATGTTTTAGGTCAGTGAAAACATATTTACCTTGATTTTGTGTTAGACTTGTCTTGCATTAAAGCATACATGTAGCTTGTAAATTGTAACTTTCATAACATATTATTGAAGGAAAAAAAGCAAATATACCATGGAGAATGGTCAGTTATAATTAAGCTAACAAAATCTCATAAATGCATGTGACATCTAAACTTTTGCTAATTTATTTGTCATAATGTTCCAGGTTGTAACTACCATGCAGTATTAATGTATAATTGATGCATGTCGAGATAGATATACACTGTAGGGAAGGGGGGGGGGGGGTATGTTTCCCTCAAAATCAGACGTTTTAGAATGCCTTTTAAGATAATTCATGAGAGTCTGATTCTGTTCTGATTCACATGCATTTGTCTATGTTGTGAAGTTTTACTCATAGCATAACTATAAAATATACCCATATAATGGTGTATAATTAATTAATTAGAAAAATCGCCTCTGTGTGATTGGGAGAAACTGATAGGAAATCACTTATATTCACATGACAAAACACTCTTTACAAAATTCAACAAAGCAAAAATTTCAGTTCATTACTTTGAAGAAAAAAAATTGTGCAGATAAAGAACACGGATTTTGGAATGAAAATGATTTGACTTTTATTATTCCGGTTTGTTCGTATCCGGTTTTAGTAGTTACTCACTTGTTATTGAATTTTTTGAGGAGTGCAGTGCTTACGATGCTCGTCGAAAAATGTGTTTAAATGCTCATTTATTACATCAAAAAGACAGGAGAAGACGAAAATGAAGTATCTGACTGACCAAATGTAATTATTGAGGTATTTTTTCCTTCTCTTTCGAATACGGTAGCTGTTAGTGTTATGTAATGTCAATGTGGATGTGTGTACACATTGTTCTTGTTGTTTATCTTTGTCTTGCCAGTGCATTGACATCCATGTATCCAGTGATCAAGCGATAACAGGACATTCAGATGTTTTCTTGGTATACATAAATGTTTCGTGAGTGTACATCTTTTTAAGGGGGTGTTGAAAACGTTTGTGAAATCTACTATTGCACTGGTATCTGGGTATAATGGAATCCCCCTATTCATTTTTTGGGGTTAAATGATGAAAACTGAGTCAAGTGATCTACTGAATGAGCTATCCAGGCCAATAAGCCCCTTCACGGTAACTGCTGTACAACTCTATTGCAGGGCAAAATAATAACGTTTGGCCAAGTTTTTGTTGAGAGATAATTAAATGACGTATATATGACAATTACTTTATGTCATATTTCACCAAACTATATCATTTTGCCCCTGCAAAAGAGCAGTACCGCAGTTACCGTGAAAGGGTCTATATCAATGGCCCAAACCATTGCAGAAATGGGTACCCCAAAGGGTATCAGACGGATGGAAGTACAGACAGACAGACGGACATACAGACGGATGGATGGACAAACATCCCATCACTATTTTTTTGCTTTTCAAGCTGGGGGATAATAACTCATGTTTACAATGAAGAAAACAACAACAAATGAGTTTATTATATTGTTTAAAATGGGTATTCGGGACTAGTGAAAGAACAACGCGAAAATATTCTGATATCTTCCAGTGCTCTAAATATTTATTTTAGACATGTTTTTAGTATTTGTTAGAGTACATATCAAACTTACTTTTGATACCTGGAATGTTGTTTTATGTGAAAAATTGGTGTCTCTACAGAGGTTTTTCTGCAGACTTACGCATCGCGGTGATTCAGATTTGTTGCATTGTAAAAGTATGTTGACTCTTTCAAGTACGGTAATGAAACCGAAACTGAAAATAAAACTTCGCATAATTCAAACTCTCATACTTAAGCCTTCTTACCATAGGTATCAATTTATTTTTTCATCTTTGAATGTATTTATTATCAGCTCTTAAAATAATAACTATTCGGAACTGGTCAAAATTTGGAACTGGCCAAACGATTGTATATTAATACTGTAATATATGACTTAGAATTGACAGATGAAAATCCTGTCAAAATGACCTTGGTTGTTGGTACTGCTTTCTTTAGGGATGGGAAGGTTTGTTTTCCGGAGACTACAGTTGAAGTTATAAATAATTATTATTAAAAAATTAACATCCATTAGCTCAACTGCAGTTAAAGAAAGAGGGCATATAAGAGGTGGACAATCCCCCGTTCCAAGACAAAATATTTCTCAATTTTCAAAATTCACAGAAAAGTTTTATTTTTCTAAAATCATGTTCGCAGTGATGTCATCCTCAAAACATTTGATCATTTGATTTCACTGAAGGACTCATTCATACTTGAGTTTGAATCATAGGTGAAGCTTTTTCTTTTTTGTTTTCACATATCTTAAAAACATGAGTGAAAAATAAATTATCAATACAATACTAAAACAATGAAATACAGATTTAAATGTGTAAAAGATGATATAAACAATATAATTTTGAAAAATATAACTTTCTAGAATTGAGAAAAAAATTTTGGTAGAGCGGGGGTTTGTTATCGAAACACAAATATTTTGTTACCTATATTCTTAATTAGTTTTTACTGTGAAGTTAATCAATACATTGTTAATTGCTATATTAATAATTTTTCAAAATATTTTTTTTACCAACCTTTTCACACGTTGTAAAACATCTTTAACAGTTCAGTTACACTTACAAATAATGTACCCAAGCAATTCACTAATCAACAGGAAATATCAGCATCAAATTAAACTTAGATATAAAGAACATAAATAAAATATATTTATGCTTTTCAAGCTGCAAATGAGTTTACAATGGAAAACAACAAAGAATATATTTTAAAATGGGTAATATTTTAAAAGAACAACTGTAAAATATTAGTATTTCTAGTGCTCTAAATATTTGTTTTAGACAAGTTTTTATTATTGTTAGAGTACATATCAAACTAATTTTGGATCCTGGAATGTTGTTTTATGTGAAAAATTGGTGTCTCTACACTCTGCAGAGGTTTTGCTGCAGACTTACGCATCGCGGTGATTCAGATTTGTTGCATTGTAAAAGTATGGGGAAAAGAAAAGTGGAAAGAACTGTGGCAAAAAATCAAAACTTCACATAATTCAAACACTCATGAATAAGCCTTCTTTCCATAGGTATCAATTTATTTTTACACCTTTGAATATATTAATTATCAGCTCTTAAATTAAGAATTATTCGGAACTGGTCAAAATTCAGAACTGGCCAAACAACTGTATATTAATACGGTAATATATGACTTAGACTTGACAGATGAAAATCCTGTCAAAATGACCTTGGTTGTTGGTACTGCTTTCTTCATAGGGATGGGAAGGTTTGTCATACTGAAATGAAATTTTGAAGTATATAAATTTTTATTATTAACAAATTCATAGTGAGGGTATAGCTTTTCCATTAGCTCAACTGCACAAAGTTATGCCCCTTGAATTGGACTCCCCAGCTAGAAAAATTCTCAATTTTCAAAATTCACAGAAAAGTTTTATTTTTTCAAAATCATGTTTGCAGTAATGTCATCTTCAAAACATTTTATCATTTTACTTCACTGAAGGACTTATATTATTTGATAATCTTTATTTCAAAGTTGACAGTTAAGCATATTTAGTGGAAAATGGCTTTACTAGAGCTATTAAAAATGAATTTGGAACATAATTGACAAGTTATGTCCCTTAATGCTTAAATGATGGAAACGTAAATGTGAAATCTATTTCATTTGTCCAAAAAAAGGAATCTGAACCCATTCTATATGAAAATTTTGGCATGCTTTAAAAATGCATTAAGTCAACTACAAAATATGTAAAATTTAAGTTAAAAGGACAAAAGACTCTGGAAATGAGGTATTAGATTATTAACTTTTTAAAAACTGTAACAGTAGTTGCACTAAATAAAGGAAATTATCTCCACCTCTTGTAACATGTTAAAACCAATGAACATGACAAGGAATGCTGAACTATTTTAGATGTGTTTGTACTTTGTGTGAACTTTAAAAAATCAAAATTTTTTATTTAGGCAGGTGGACTCTTTTTTTTAAATACATGGAAGATGGGACAGGCATGTGATGCAAACTTCAGATAATTGATATCAGTATTTAAAAGTTTCATTTATATTGCCATTACAATGTACTTCAACCTTTTCCTTAATATTTTAATCGTCTGAATGAAATATATAGAATAGTTATATGTATTTAAATATATATATACAAAGAAAATGTTTTTATTAAAATATTTTGGAGGGATGAGTCACCTAGGATGATTTTTGTACAGTGGATTAAGATAAAATTTAGAGACAAATTAATGATGTTCTTGTGGTTCCTTGTGGTTTCAGTAAGGTTATTGCACTAATTTTGTGTTCATTGTGGTTAATAAGACATAGGTGTGAAAATCAGAAATTTCTAAAAAATTTACACTTCAACAAACCCGTTCGTTTAAATAACACTGACAAACGTTGATAATGCATGTACTTCGTAGCGCAGCTAGTGGTTAAACGGTCTGTCCATTCCTAACCCTGGCTATGGAGAGACTTGAATACTATTAGGCTAGGATAATCAAACTTTGTTTTACATATCTTAAAAACGGTGTGTGAAAAATAAATTATTAATACAATATTAAAACAATGAAATACAGATTTAAATGTGTAAAAGATGATATAAACAATATAATTTTGAAAATATATAACTTTTAGAATTGAGCAAAATGTCTTTTCTAAAGTAGGGGGTGTCATCGCCTTGTACGCCTCCATTTCAGTGGTTGTTTACTGTGAAGTTAATCCTTGATAATTTACATTGATAATTTTTATTAATAATTTTTCAAAATATTTTTTTTACCAACCTTTTCACAATTGTAAAACATCTTTAAAAACACTTACAAATAATGTATAAGCAATTCACTAATCAACAGGAAATATCAGCATCAAATTAAACTTAGATATAAAGAACATAAATAAAATATATTTATACACAACTGCAAATGAGTGGAAAATATCATGACATATATTTGTAAGTGGTAATATTTTAGTAACGCTGTAAAAGTTGTAGTATTGGTGGACAGGAGTACAAGGAAGTGAGTACTAATTATTGATTATAGGACTCTTAGACTACCGTAAGCTGATTATGATTACCGGTAATACAGACTTCTGTAAGACTTCCGTAAGTTAAGGGCAACTTTATGATGATGTTTGTTTGCCTTCTCCAGACTTGGGGATAAAAGAAAAGTGGAAAGTGTGGTGATTGGGAATTATGTTTTCCCAAGGAAATTTCAGCATCAGTGCTGGATTTTTAATTTTCAAAATTCATTATCAAGAATGCATTAAAAATAGGTGTGAATGAAATTAAAACAAATTGATGTTATTAGTGTATGTTTTTAAAACGGGAAATTAGTATTGTATAATATGATTAAAGCTAATTATATATGTGTGGCATTTAAAAAAAAAAAGTTTATATTTCAATTTTTATATATTTGCAACAAAGATGCTATAGCAAAATATGGAAAAATCCTGTCCGGCTCATAACGGAGAAAACTATTAGACCTATAGCTTTCAAGCTTGGCAAACATGTAATTGCTTCAAATGTGAGACAGGTGTGTCGAAGAAGAGACGGCCTATTTCAAGGTCACTGTGACCTATAATGAAAATGAATTTTTTATAGCCAAATACTGAAATGAAATTTGGTATACAGGTATATCAGATAAAATCTAAAAGTTCTGTTTTGTATCCATAATTGAAAAAGTTAAATTAAGAAAAATTCCAATTATTTTTTCCATTATTTTCTTTGGAGAGGTTGCACATATTGAAATACAATTTAGTATACAGAGTAGTCAGATGAATATCTAGGTCAAGATATGTTTTGGGTATGATCGCACCATAATTGACAGAGTTATGTCCCTTGAACTTAGAAAAATTCCAATTATTTTCAGTTTCCGTTCATTTTCTTTTGAGAGGTTGCACATATTGAAATGGACTATACTATACTATACTAACTAGACAGTGATTTCTTAAATAAATATGATAATGGAAAGTGTGATGGGCTCTGGAAAAATGCATTTTCAGTTTTTTTTTCTTTTAAAACACATGTAGTTCATTTGTTGATCTCCACCTCTTTAACATGTTAAAACCAATGAACATGATGAACTAATCTGAACTATTTTGAGATGTTGTACCTTGTGTGATGCATAGAAGAAAGTGTTTGGTTATAGTGGCTCTTTTGAAAAGATATACACAAGTTCTAAAAAGATGTGTTTGAGACTTGAAATCCTGATTCATCTTTAAATGATGCCTTTATGATGGAACACTATAGACATGATAGAGCAACCTTAAATCCTTTGATTTATTTGTCAGTCAATATATAGTGAGGGTTGTGTTTAAATACTATATATCAGCTTATTAGATTATTAAACATTTTGGAGGGATGGCTCACCTACAATGTAATTGGATTAATGATGCAATTCACAACTTTATAATGCTGTTCTATCTGAGCCCACGGCCAGTAAGGTTATTGCACTAATTTTGTGTCTGATTCTAATAAATTTCTAGGTGTGAAAATTGAAGAAACTAGGTTTTTCAGAGGTAAAAGGCCTTTTGCTGACCCTTGATAAATAAAATAAAAGTACATGCAATTTTAATATGTAATAGTTATTTACATGTACTGGTGATTGTGTGTATATTGACGAAATCTTTGACTCACGGACCTCTTACTCCACAATGACTAGAGCATGGATTATAATATACGTACATGTCAGTCTGACTGCATAATGCTTGATTAATGTATTACTGCACATGTAAAGTGTGAACAGTTAGACAAACAAATAGTTTAAAATAGTACAACACCATTGAATTATGTTGCTTAAATTGCATGTAACCATGCATACAATACTACTGGTGTTCATACAGCTATAAAAATATAATTTGCACTGTTACATACTGTATTCATTTTTTTTAAAATAAAGATCTTACATAGAAAGATCACTTTTATTAATTTGGTTATAGATTTTACAACGTTTCATGTTATAGGGCACATAATTTCATTATACACCAAACTCTGAAAACAACACTGCAAATGAATGAAATTTTTCTATGACATGATTAAATCAAAGATTCTTGACAATGAAAAGGTTTTTTTTTCAATTTATTTGATATAAATTATAAAAGCTTTTAATCAACTTTAACAGACTTAAAGAAGACTGCAATAACCTGCCTTAACTCACCGTCTCATGAAATACATTTCTATAAGATAATTTTTGATGTATCTTGGAACATTCTTGAAGTTTTTTTTGTTTTTTATATTCTGGGAAGAAAGCAAACTTAAGGTTGATAACTTTCTTTGTAATTTGGTCAGCATGTGTTTTGCGTGTTGACATATTTTGGTTCATGTTCTCTCTGAGATTGTATCAAACATGCTGTACATAAAAAATGGCCTTAATTTGTGATGGAATGTCTGTTCTTAAATGGAGATGGAAGAAACTATAACTACAAAAAGAAGAAAATATTGCTATGCAAGCAGGGCTTCTGCCCTTGCAGGTTCAGAACCTTGTTCCAAATAAAAGTTTATACCCACCCCCCACCCCCAAATAAATTTTCCCAAATTACAAGCCAATTTTCAGTGCTTTTAATAATATATGCTTAATACCATGAATTTTGAGTTTTTTGATTCATAAAGACATGTTACAGTATAATAAAACCCTGAATATAACTAAGAATTTAACATGTTTAATGTAAAAATTTATATCGGGTCAGATTTTGTGTACGTATGGAGGGCATATAGTTTCAGCATCCGTTTAAATAATTAATAGGAAAAGAGAGTGTGAGATTACTCATTTTACAAATACTTGGTTTAAATCTTGAATTGTCTGAGTATTTTAGCTAATTGATATTTGGTTGAGAAGTTTGATTTTAATTTTTCAAGTGGTTTGCTAAAATGTAATAAAAAATGACCCGGCATAAAAAAAAAAGAAATAGATTACTCTAGTAAACTCAAGTACTCATAACCTGAACTCAATGATACAAGGAAAGAAAAAATCAAGGAGTAGATTGCACATTAATATTAACAGTACATGTGGGAATTTTATTTGATCAGGACTTTCCATATTCAGAGATATCAGTACACTCATTGATGATTAATTTTTTTTGTCCCCAAAGATAAGCATTAATTCCGTGTAAGTTTCAGGTCATAAATATATTCTGAATCACCCTATGAATCGATTGATAAAAAAAAAAATTAAATCCATTTACATATAATTGGTACATTTGTACTTAAAAGGTACATTCCCAAAGGGTAATTCCAGATGTCATTTCTACTCTGTTTTTGATTTTCATCAGGATTATCATTGTATTACATTGTATATTGATGTGTGTGTGAATGGGTATCTTATTTCAACGACGGAGATGGTATTATTGCAGTGTAGTGAATGTTATTTAGTTAAGGACATGCAGCTCTCCTGAGAGATGAATTCATATCATTATTATCTAGTTCATTGGTAAAATCTCCTCTCTTTCTGTTGACAGGATGGGAGTCAGTACTCCATTTTATGAAATCAGAAGAAACTCCATGAAGCTTCAGATGATGCACAACAACCGGTCCCGGGACATTCCCGTAACTCTGGACGCGGGTCCCGGCCTGGACCGAACACGATGCGAGTTGGAGAATTATCGATTGTGTGCAGATGGCAGCTGTATATCCCAAGTGGATCTTTGTCGTAAGTTATACAGATTGCATTTTCACTAGTAAAATTAATTGCACTTAAAATTATCCATTTAGCAGAGCGGTGTCATCTGACATTAGATTCTGCTTTGAATAATTAAATATCCCTTATTTCTTTTCATCTGACATACAATTCTGTTTCTTCTGAATTCATTGACAATTTTATATACATGTTGGCAATTCAGATGGGGGAGGGGGTGAGATTTCCTACATGATTTCCATCTGTATAAAATTTTATTGTACATGTAATATTACTTGGTGAAATGGTGAAATGATCTCAAAAGTATCTATGCAAATTTTATCTTGGTGCCATAGAATGTGGCATTTGATATAGCTAGTGCCATAAAGTGTGATGTTCATTTATGTACAATGCACTTTCAATAAATGAAATTGGCAGTGATATACATACACAGCAAAAGTTACTTTCTGTATTATAAAATTGTAAGAGCACATTGCCTAATGAATCAAAATGGGATGAGCTTTTTGTTTGCTCCCAAAAGTACACTAGCCCAATTAGGACTGTCAAGCCAGAATATTTTTTTTTTTACTTTTTTGTTGAAATATATGGAAATGGATGTAGGAAAATATTGTACAGATGCCTTTGTGAACATGCACTTTATATATTTTTTTAATACATGGATAATATAAAAGAATTATTAATGTATGAAGTATTTTCCTGTGTTGCAGCTGAGGAGCAGCTGATGAACCAGAACACCATTCTGATAATGATTGTGGTGGGGCTGGCTGTAGTCATCTTCCTTATTGTTCTCTACTGCTTCCAACAAAGAAACAGAAGTCCCTCTCATGTTAGAGGCCGATCAGGTAAGTCTTAAGTATCCCTCCTCAGCTAGCATTATTACTATACCTCTACTGCTTCCAACAAAGAAACAGAAGTCCCTCTCATGTTAGAGGCTGATCAGGTAAATTTTAAGTATCCCTCCTCAGCTAGCTTTATTACTATACCTCTACTGCTTCCAACAAAGAAACAGAAGTCCCTCTCATGTTAGAGGCCGATCAGGTAAATCTTAAGTATCCCTCCTCAGCTAGCATTATTATTATACCACCTCTACTGCTTCCAACAAAGAAACAGAAGTCCCTCCCATGTTAGAGGCTGATCAGGTAAGTCTTAAGTATCCCTTCTCAGCTAGCTTATTACTATACCTCTACTGCTTCCAACAAAGGAACAGAAGTCCCTCCCATGTTAGAGGTCGATCAGGTAAACCTATCTCTTTTCATTAATACACATTTACTGCTTACAACAAAAAAACAGAAGTCCCTCTCACATAAAGATAAGTCCATGCTTTTTAGCTTTACAGTTTATATTAGACATTCTGAAAGATACTTACTGTTAAAGATCACTTTACCCCTGAACTTCCACCATACTCTGAATGGTTATTTATCTTACAGGTATGACTTATGAATTTAGTGATAAGCAGCACCTTGTAATTAACATATTACATGTTTACAAACTGTATCATCACACTGTACTTTTAAAAATATCTGATATACAGTTATCACACAAAGTGAACTTTTAGTACTTTGAAAAAAGTTAATATTAATACGCATTGATATACCATTAATGATTTATGGATCCTACTTCAAATAAAACCGTAGATTGACAATTGCAGTAAAGAGAGACTGAAATCTTTTTCTAGTTACAAGTCTAAGGGATTGTTGAATTAAACCAAAGAATTCAGAAATAAATATTTTTTTATTCTTTATAGCTTTGAGGATTACAGAAATTCTGAATCATATTTCAGTTTGATAGTCACACTCTTAATAAATACTATTTTATCGCAGTCTTAATATCCATGAATAACTTTTCTTTGCAGGCAAAATCATGAGCAATAATACTTAAATGCAAATGTATTGTTTGTTTGTATGTTTTTTAACGTCCCTGTAGAGAATTTTTCACTCGTATGGAGATGCCACCACTTGCCAGCATAGAGCTGCAAATTTTGTCCTGTGCTCGGCACTCAAGGCCATTGAGCAAGGAGGGATCTTTTTTGTGCCAGCATCCACTTTGACATGGGACGTTAGTTTATATGGTCTCATCTGAAGGATCGGTCTCCAGACTCTCCAAGTCCCACAGTGGGATTTGAGCCCTCAACAAAAGAATCAACTCCTTACTTTGTGACTCTAGAGCAGGCGCTCTAACCACTGCGCCAAGCGGGTGACACAGATGTATTGCTGGCCTGTCATAGATTTATATTTTTAGGTCACCTGAGTAAACTCAGGTGACCTATTGCTATCCGTTTTCGTCCGCCGTCGTGCGTCGTGCGTTGTGCGTTAACATTTGAACATTTTCAGCTTCTTCTCTGCAACCACTGAACCAATTTCAACCAAATTTGGCCTAAAGCATCTATGGCTGAAGGGAACAAAAATTGTGAATTTCATGATCCCTGCCCCCCTGGGGCCTGAGGGGTGGGGCCAAAACCACTAAAATTAATGCAATCTTTAAAAATCTTCTTCTTAACTCCTGGACATCAAGCAGTCAAACTGTTTGCATGATTGTAATCAGCAATGAGTCCTCTACTAAAATTGTGAAATTCATGGCCCTGGGGTCAGGGGTTCTAATGCTAGGGCGGGGCTAAATAAGTAGGTAGTGAAAATGCATTATTTCTTTGAAAATCTTCTTCTCTGCTCCTGGGTATTAAATAAACCAACTAAGCACATAGTTATGATGAGCAAGAGTGCCACTACCAAAATTGTGAATTTTATGGCCCCAGGGTCAGGGGTTCTGGTGTTAGGGCGGGGCTCTATTGATTATATAGTGAAAATACATGAATTCTTTGAAAATCTTCTTCTCTGCTCCTGGGTATTAAATAAACTTACTAAGTGCATAGTTATGATGAGCAAGAGTGCCTCTACCAAAATTGTGAATTTTATGGCCCCAGGGTCAGGGGTTCTGGTGTTAGGGTGGGGCTCTATTGATTATATAGTGAAAATACATGAATTCTTTGAAAATCTTCTTCTCTGTTCCTGGGTATTAAATAAACCAACTAAGTACATAGTTATGATGAGCAAGAGTGCCTCTACCAAAATTATGAATTTTATGGCCCCAGGGTCAGGGGTTCTAGTGTTAGGGCGGGGCTCTATAGATTATATAGTGAAAATACATGAATTCTCTGAAAATCTTCTTCTCTGCTCCTGGGTATTAAATAAACTAACTAAGTGCATAGTTATGATGAACAAGAGTGCCTCTACCAAAATTATGAATTTTATGGCCCCAGGGTCAGGGGTTCTGGTGTTAGGGCGGGGCTCTATTGATTATGTAGTGAAAATACATGAATTCTTTGAAAATCTTTTCTGCTTCTGGGTATTAAATAAACTAACTAAGTGCATAGTTATGATGAGCAAGAGTGCCTCTACCAAAATTGTGAATTTTATGGCCCCAGGGTCAGGGGTTCTGGTGTTAGGGCGGGGCTCTATTGATTATATAGTGAAAATACATTAAATCTTTGAAAATTTTCTTCTCTGCTCCAGGGTATTAAGCAGATGAACTACCTATATAGTTATGCTGGACAAGGGCCCATATCTTCCAGAATTGTGAATTTCAAGGCCCCAGGGTCAGGGTACCATAGAAGGGGGGGGGGGGGCTGTACTTATATACTGAAAATGAATGAATGGTTTGAAATCTGCTCCTTGGTATTAATCAAATATCAAGGCCTAAGGGTCAGGGGTTCATGTGTGGTAGGGGCACTATTGATTATTGCTGAATATTACTGATTAGTTGAAATGCATTTTTTGTTCCCTTACCCTGCATATGGGTAATAAGTAAACAAACTAAGCAACTGCTAAGTGTATTGATATGATGATCAATGGTGCCTCTTTCAAAATTGTGAATGCCATAGCATCTGGCTTTAAACATGAATCAAATTCAATCACTGGAAAGTTGTTGCATAATACTCAGGTGACCTATAAGGCCCATGGGCCTCTTGTTAATTATGCTATAACCAGAGCAACATATGCATTCCTTTGAACACTGTAGCTTTATTCATGACTTTTTCAAAATGGAGACTGCATGATTATTGAGTCAAGCACAAGATCACAAAAATTTCAGAGAGGAAATTAATAACTAATGTCAAGGATATTGGACTTCTTCAGCTTGTTTTAAAGTTTAAGAAAGACTACAGTCTATTTTATTACACCAAAAAAGAAAACAATCAAATTTACAATTAAAACTTTAAATAATGCTGGAATGCATTAAGGGCTTCTACTTATATTATATTATTTGAATTTAATGGGTTGACAGAAGCATATTTACGTCAAGATTTGGTCAAAGATGATAAATTTAAAGATGTCTATCATTTTAACAATACAATGTACTTATTTACTAATAAAAAAAACACTTAGATTTTGTCACACAAATTGATAAGAAAAAAATAAGAACATTTGTATTTTTTAATGGCAGCAGAGACCTGTATTTTATTTTATACATTGAACTTGTAGAAAGGGTGTATACATATAACTTTTAATGTGATTTCTCACTAAGTTGCAAATTTGAAGGATCACATATATTCAAGATCATGGTAAATAATATTGAAAATGTCAGGTATTAAGCTACACAGAGTTAAGATTTTGTATTGGCATTAACAATTATTTATGGCAGGACTCCTGTTTTTTATGGTATCATAATCAGGTTGGCCTAGGTGTGATTTATGTATCCTTTAATGGCCTCAGATTATATTTCTTATTAACTACAGTACAACTGGACTATAATGAAGACATTTACAACAGTCTTCCTGTTCATAAGAAAATTAGATTTTACACATAGACCATTAAAGACTTTATAAAGTTTTCCCATCTTGTCTTTGTCGACCATGATTGATGTACACACAAAGATAGACTTGAAATATCTAAATTATTAACAGTACTGTGACTAAGTAAAGTTTAAGGGATAAATATTTTTGTACACCTTCAACAACAAATATTTTTTCCCCATATATATATATATATATATATAGGGACTTTAAAGTGATGAAATATGAAGAGCCAAATCCAATTGAGGGATAAAGGATGTGAAAAATACTTTCAAATGGGATGTCTCTTAAATGAGGTCCTGAAGCTTCTATATAATTTTGTTATACTGTACGGAGAAATTTGATGCACTGCTGGATTACAGCCTATTTGTATAAAATTACCATGATTGCAGTCTTAAACACGTGCGTCAGTAAATATGACAAGTTGTAGGTTCAGGTGTTAATTAAAAGACCTTAGTGGGAATTCTAAAGAGTAAAGAACATTGATGATGAATGTACAGTAAATTAAAAGAATCAGTATATTTTGACTAACTCTACTTTTAACATTCATGATGACAATAAAATCAACTATAGTTATTGTTTTCTTATCATGTTGCTACCTTGTCTTTTATTTTTAAAAATATATGCAATAAAATACCTTTAAAAATTAGTATAGATTTATAGATTTCTAGCATGATCAACTAAATCCCAAAAATTGATTAAATTTTCTGAGAAGATATTCATGTAATCATGGATCTTATCCAAACATTTTTGAATGCTTGTTTTGGAAAAAAGATCAATTTTCCTGGGTAACAAAAAGAAATATGAATTGCACAATGCTGTGAGAAGAATAAATTTGCCAATATGTGACCGATATTAAATGGAAGATTTAGAACACTCTGTCTCCAAGAATCCCAAGAAATCTTATGCCTTTTACAACAAAATGTCATCTAAATCGATCAGGTGCTGTTGCATTTAAGCTTCATGATTGGTAAACGCCAGCACTGTCCTATTCATTAGGGTGAATAATACTGTTGAACAAAAGCCAACAAATTCTTTTTATTTGGTAAAGTGTGGATTTCATTTATGTTGAATTCACCAAGAAGTATCTTATATATAGTTTTAGTCAAATGTTAACTACTTGATACAAGAAAAATTATAAACAGAAATCAAACTTCTTTACACTTGGTAAGAAAAAGCTTCAGAATTTACTCAGCTTCATTTGTGCATTGGATTATTATACATTGTATTGCAACTGATTTAACATAAATAAAAATTAATTGTCACTATTTAACATTGTTGTTTGACAATTAATCATGTTGATAATATAGTTTTGGTTGATTGTAGTTCGCAGCAGTGGAACAAACGACGAGGCTGACCGAGTGTCGTTATTTTTACCTCCTCCCACGTACGATGAAGTTATCACAACAAACTTATACCCACCTACACCTCAAATACTACAGAGAAGGGTTTGTTTTACTTATCAATCATAAATTACATATTTCTACATTTTGTCATTTCAGAATAAATCTCTTTTTAGCTCACCTGAGCCAAAGGCTTAAGGTAGGATTCTTCTCTGGTTTCTGACTAGACGGAATATTCAAAGTACATTTGTTGATATGTCTTATATATTTAGATTTAAGAGATTTAAAAGACCATATTTTTCGTTTCTCACCACAATTAAACAACTTTAAATAGAAATGGTAAACAAGGCACTATATTTTTGGCGGAATGGTGGCGTATGAAAATATCTTCTTTTTTGCCTCTCAAAATTATTATAGAATATTGAATTTAGTTATAATTATAATACGCAATCAAAATATATCAAATAATTAAGATTTTTCACACACACTAGAACTATGTTGGCTTTTAAATGCTTCAAATCTAAGTACAGATTTGATCCAAAAATCCGTAAAAAGTGTTATTTCTCTTTTAGTAAACGATCAAAACTTTTAGTTTTTGTATCATTTTGTACCTTTATGTGACAACTTTACTATATGTGAAAATTGGAAAAAGTTAAATATAGGAAGCATATAAAAATAACTAATAAATCCTAAAAATTTAAGAAAAGTAGAGGAAATACGGATTAGCAAATATCCATTTTATTTGAATTATCCATGTCAATTCCGTAATATCATCTTATAAGCCCTCTATGATAGTATCTTTTTATGCAAAAAGAAAAATATTCAATCTTTTGAATTACAAGTAGGGATTGCATGATTGGAAACAGTAATTTTTTATTCTTAATGTCCAGGAAAAAGGTAATGACCTTGACCTGACCTTGTCTCTAATATTAAACGGTCAAATTTAATCTCACTGATACCATCACTTAGTGATATTGTCCTCTTGATTCTGTGAAAATTTCATTAATTTTTGAATACAAGAAATGTGAGAAGAATCCTACCTTAAGTGAGCTTTTCTGATCAAAATTTGTCCATTGTCCTTGTTGTAAACTTTTCCCATTTTCATCTTCTTCTCAAGACCTCTAGGCCAATTTCAACCAAAGTTGGCACAGAGTTTCCTTGTGTAGGGGGAATTCAAGTTTATTCAATTGAAGGGCCATACCCTCTTCTAAGGGGAGATAACTAAGAAATAGTGAAAATTGGGTGATTGTATCTAAAAATCTTCTTCTCAAGAACCAGTGGGCTAAAAAGATGGAATTTTTAGGGAAACTTCTTGACATAATGTAGATTCTAGTTTGTTCAAATTATGACCTGGGGGAGGGGGAAAATTGGTTAATCAAAGTTTAACACTGAAATCTAAACGAAAAATCTTCTCAATAATAGCAAAGCAATGATTGGTGTTATTCATGTGCAAGTATCCTTAGGTAGTGTAGATTCAAGTTAACTTTGTTCATATCATATCCCGGGGTAGGGTGGGGCAAAAATGGGTAGTCAAAGTTTCATACAGAAATATTTATTAAAAATCTTTAAAGATCTTCTCAGGAACAGCAAAGCCATGATTGGTCATATTAATATGGAAGCATCCCCAGGTAGTGTAGATTAAGAAGTTCAGAATATTTAATGAAGTAAACTAGATTTTGATGGTTGAATGATGTATTTTGCTTAACATCCCTCATGAGAAAAGTACATCTGTTTGGTAAGTCTGTATGATTTACACTCCAATAACATTCAAAAAACTTAGCTTACATTTAACATTTTAACTTAAAACCAACAAAAAATGAACACATAATTTTGATCTCCAGCTGTCCTATGTTTTAGTTTTGTTTTTACCATCTTTGTAGCCTCATTGTGACTTCATAAAAGTTGAGGCAATCAATGTATTATATATTGATATATACAAACTCAATTAAATACACTCACGTGTTTATTAAAAAGTGGTAATCATAATTTGTAAAAACAATTTATCAGTTTGTATCATACGTGAACAACACAGAAAATGTAAATATTTGGGAATGCAAGGTTGGAAAACCCAATGATTTGAACTACCATTGCTTTCACAAACATTGTTGGTTTTGTGTTATCAATAATATCTTATTTGGCCAAATGATTGTGTATTACACATAACTGAAAGAAAAATAAGAAATTGTGTGTGTAATAACTACTAAGTGGGGTTGATTTGAGGAAAAAATAAGATGTCAAATGCCTGTGATAGGAAATAATAATCAGTTTACACATGTCTACCAGATCAGATTATATTTTTCATAATTTGTAAATCATATGCATGAGAAGTTAAAACTTAACTTAAAAGGGATTCACAGTGACCTTGACCAAAGGAGATCTGGACCAGACAAGGTTATGGCCAAAAAAATTGCAAAATTTTAATTTCAATAAAAAGTCATTATGCATGAAGAGCCTGAATGTCTCTGTATATAAGCCTTCATTAATATTTCCTAGATGAAAATCTTCAAGATTTAATTTACTGATTCCTCAATAAATACTTAGTTAACAGATACCTCAATTATAAATAGTTATTTTAAAAACTTCAAGTTAAAAAAAAATGTTTACAGATTTTTCATTTAATACTTGTTTATAGATATATCTCAATGAATACAGTAAAGCTCATTTAGTAGGAACACTGATATAGGAAAGTTTTTTGAGGTCCCCGACAAAATTTTTGGCAATTCTTTGTAAAATTTTAAAGTTATATAAAATTCAGTTTATAATAAAACCTTAGTTATCCATGGTATGTTTTGTAATAATTGCTTCGCTAACATATTTGGTAGTATTACTTGAAGGAAAAAGTGCATATTGTGAATTCGCACTATATAGTTAAACAATTTTGTTATATAGATATAATGAATTATGGATATAGCAAATTAAATTCACAGGTCTCAAAGACTTTGCTATAACTGAGTTTTACTGTACTAGCTTGTTTACAGCTTCTTCAATTAAAAATCTCTGGATTCCTCAATAAAAGAACTTGTTTATTACAGAATCCTCAATAAATACTTGTTACAGCTTCCTCCATAATTAATTACAGATATATTCTTGTTTACAACCTCCTTGATAAATATTTCTTTACAGTTTCCTCTGTAAATTCTTGTTTACAGTTGATATTTTTTGCTTTACAGGACAGGATAGCTTCCTCGGAGGAACCAATGACACCTCCCCCAAATTATGACACAGCCCTAATCCTCCTATCCCGGAGTCATGAATCTGTGTTGTCACCAAAATATGAGGGAGTACCCAAGAGACCCGCAGTCAGTAATGGTCACAGGAGAAGTTTATCCGTGGACCAGTTAAGTCCAAATTCAGGAGACACTAGTGTTCAGATATTTCAGTATGATGAGATTGCAGAACCTAATCCTGATAAAACAAATCTTAACACTATATCTGAGGTCAGGTGACAGACATGCCATCATTATAGAACTTCTCAACTTACTAATTAAAAAAGGGATTGTGCTCTAATTCCAAGAGTTCTGAAGGCCTTTACTGATGAAGTGCAATGTGGTTAGGTCATGAGGTACAAACAGGAGTTATGAGCCCTTAAATCGGATTTGAAAGACAAAAGGATACATGTGATGCCAATTAGAATGGTGATGAGTATACTGTTATACTGCTTTACGTTATACAAATATACATATAAATTGATGCTTACCACTAAGTGTATACATTTGAGCATATTCTGTTAGCTCAACAGTTAAATTTCATAGAAAAGATATTAAATTCAGAAAAACAGTTGAAAAGATATTTCAAGCTCAATGTTATGCACAATTTAAAAGAATATTGAGGACTCATTGTTCTGTATTTAGAATGATGCTTTGCTCATTTTTGTTCACAATGATATTCATTGAAGACTGTGATTTATTGATTTGCTCTCCAAAATCCACATCTTCAGAAAGCTTTACTCTCTGCTTTTATAACACGGCCTTTTACTTTGCCTTGTGCTTGTTATGCTATTTTGCTTAAATTATTTTTCATACAATGTTTGAATGTTTTTGTTTTTTTGATGTTTTTTTTTTATGTTTGGGTTTCAACAAAGCTTTGTTAGATTTTTAAACAAATTTCAAATTTAACTACCGGTATAATGCATAACTTATATGTTTTATGTGATGTGTACTAAATTCTGCAGTTTGGCGAGTTATGCAGCTATGTAACAGAAAAATACAATATTATAAAATGCTAAATTTAACAGCTTTTTTAAGGGTGTATCTTAGGGCTAGGTATTGGTCAGAGATTTTGTATTGTGATATTTTAAACTATATTGCGATAGGTATTGCAATGTTTTCAGTGTTACTAAAATGGCATTTTCTACTTATATTAACTTCAATTTTCATATAGAATGCACATGACTATGATAAGTATACACCTATACAATAGCACTAGTCTATCTGCAAAAAATTTCCAATTTTGGGATTTTCCACACCCTATCTTAAAGCTACATATCTGGTAAACATTCCATGCATAAAAAAAAACAAGTAAGTACTTAGTGACTGTTTTTTTTTTGTTTATTTTTTTTACACTTATTTTGCATGTTATTTGTTTTCACAACGTTGTACCTAAATTGGCACATTCTAAACAGTTAAAATTAACTGACAATCATTTGGATTGGATGATGATTTTTTGGTGCTAATATTAGATTTATTGATGCTGTAGCAACAAGTTAGATCTCATATGAAAAAAAAAAATTTATGCAGGACTTGCCAATACAACATGTACATGTTTATAAACTTTCTTTTGTGGTGGTAGAAATTGATATACCAATTGTCATAATCCCAGGGGCATTAAAACAAGATTAGAAAGTTTTAAAGAAATAACAGTTAATGTTATTAAATAAGACGATGGAACATTTTGTTACAGTCAAATCTTGTTATCTCAATATTGGTATTCTAGGTAAAAAAAAATGAAAGCAATTTTTAATTGATATACCGGTATATAATTTATCTGTCAAGTCAATATAGGTTATTTGTATTGAATAGAAGGGCCATTGATTTAAAGTCCTTCTATAAGTAATTATATTGCCACGCTGTAGTGTTTTTCAATTATAATTGCCCTACCACACTAATGATTTAGCTCTGTTTCAAAAAAGCGAATGAAAGGATGAAAAGGAAAAAAAATGAAACCAGGGGGAAAAATCTCCTATATTTTGAATTGAAAGACATTGATATATGTGTACATCATTGTGTTGTGGAAAATGTCAGTGTTATTTTAATGTTTGTGGGAAGTGCTTTTTAATAGTATGATTTCATATCCTTAATATGTCCTAAAAGAAAAAAGGTGATCTGTCTCTTTTTGTATTATTTCATATTTAAAATTAAGTCCAATATTATTTTCACAGCTAGTTTATTCAGTCTATCTTACCTTTTAAAATCTTAAAAGACTAAAGAAAAATTATCTTTATATTCTATGAAATGTGCTATTATGAAGTATATTTAATAAATGAGTTTGTTTAAAATTGATTTTGGAGTAAATGTGTAAGCAGAGGGTATTCTTTATCATGAAGTAAATTAAATTTTGATTTGAACAATTTCATGTTTTTTGAATGTAAAACTCAGCTTGAATTGTGATCTGTTTTGCGGAATATATATTTTTTTATAGTGTGAAAGATAAAAATATTTATTTATGATATGTTTTACTCAACCCTTAATCTGTATTAACAGTTACTAAAATATATTTTGCTTGATAAATGTAATTTATTTATGTTTCATACTAAAGTTTAGTTTAGTAATTAATTTATTTTTCAAAAATAGGTAGAGCAGAAATATACTGCTTTATTTATCATAATGTTTTGCTATGTGCCAAATAATTCCACCTTTTTTAATAGGAAATGCTCAAAATGTATCAAATACAGTAGTTAATTGTACTTATGTTGACATTCAATTTTCTTTATATTGTTCACATTTTGTTCCAATTACTTGTCAGAAATTTTGTTTACTACCGGTAATTTATTTTATTAATTGATTATGGATAAGGATATATCCAGAGAAATCTGTCTTAGAACATAATGAAAATGTCTTCAGTGCAATTTAGATAGTCATGAATATATTTCTTTAAATATTTGTCGACAGTTGCCATTTTAATGACATGCAATATATGAGTCACTAACTGTAGATTGACTTTATGCATAATATCAATTTTTATAGTAGTCATTTTGATTTGAAGATGCTTGCTTTTGTGCTTTATTTCTTTTTTTTATTTGCTGTATTGTAAATGTAAAATTATAAGTTTCCTTTGTCATTTGTAGTTTAAAATTCATTTTTCTGATGCAAGTTTGAAGGTTGTTCATGTCTTTTTGGAACAATTTTTAAGGTTCTATGATAAGGAGAGACAACTCTCATTAGATTAGATAACTAGCATTCCTGTATTTTTGTATGTCAAAAGACAATTTCTATTGCATCCTGCCCTGCAAAGTATGCTAAAGTATGTTTATTTTTAGTATTATTTATATACTTCTTTTAGGAATTTAGCATGAAAGTGAAAAAATATACAGTGTAAGACCAAACTGATTTGAGTTATGGTCTTTTAAATTTTTTAAAAGTCATGGTCCATTACAGGGATTTTATAGAAAACATACACTCTTTGTGTTCACCGGATATCAAAGGGTCTAAAAATTAAGGCTTCTGTAAGTACTTGTAACAATAAGTTTGAGGTACAGGGTTGCTAAAATATATTGTCTTTCAATTATTTTCATTTATATTAGTATATAGTTGGGATTGAGTTTATTAGTAAAGGACAGAAGTGGAATTGATAAATAGCTGGAGTGAGGGACCTCTTGTTCTTGTCAAATGCTTTATACTACCTTCATTCAAATGCAATTAACTGTGGCAAATTATGTGGGGATGAAAAAAGTACAGAAGTTTGAAGTTTACAAATAAATTCTCAATATTTTGAAAGTAAAGAAACTTAAAAACTGAAGCATTGCAACAGAATTAGGTTAAAAAATACTAAGAAAAGCTTTAAAAGTGCACTACAGAATGTGCTTGTATTTAATATAAATTAATACAAGTACTATAGTATAAACCGCATTAAAGTTGTTCAAATTGAAATTTTTCTGAATTACCAGAAAGATGGCATAGCATACAAATGAATTGTTCATGCATACTTGTGATATATATATTAAATATTTTTTATTTACATGACGTTTCATTTTCTTTTACAATCAGATGCAATGAATGTTTGTGAAACACTGCTTTGTATGGCAGTCTGTGTGAAAATAAAGTTCAAGATCAAAAGATCTAAAATGTTGTTTCCCAAAGTAATGATCTCAGAAAAGAATTTGTGTCAAGAAGTATACATCTTCAAAATTTTTCGCCAAGGATAAAGTGTAAAGCTCAAGTGAACTTTTCTGATCATCCATTGTCCGTCCATTTGTAAACTTTTCACATTTTCAACTTCTTTTTAAGAACCACTATAAATCAAGCTTGGTACAAATCATTCTTGGGTGATGGGGAGTTTGAATTGTAATAATGAAAGTCCAAGAAGATTTTCCCTATATTTTCTTATGTAAAACTTTGATCGTGGCCCTGCCCTGCCCCCAGAATTCATGATTTGAACAAACTTGAATCTACATTACACGAGAATATTTTCACTTAAGTTTCATCTTTCCTGGCTTTGTGGTTCTTGAGAAGAATATTTTTAAGATTTTCCCTATAAATTCCTATGTAAAACGTTGGCCGTCCATTGTGACCCCGCACCACTAGTATCCCCGATAGTCAGGATTTGAATAAACTTGAATCTACACAACATGAGGATGTTTCCAAATAAGTTTCGTTTCTCGGCCCTGTGATTCTTGAGAAGAAGATTTAAAAAGATTTTTCCTATATATTCCTTTATTCCTTTGAACAAACATTTCATATATACTTGTAGTCTTAAGATTAACGTTTTAGCAGACAGAGAGACAGGCAGGGAAAAATCTATGTACCCCGAAATTTCTATGCCAATGGCATAAAAACGTGTCATGGATGTAAGAGCAATAAATAATAAGACGTGTAGTTACAAAACTGTACAGTTTACATAGGTGGCAGAACCGGGATGGGAGTGGGGCTAGGGGGCTTAGCCCCCTCCCCACTTTTTTTGTTGTTGCAAAAATAGACATTATATATGCATTGAAAATTGTGATTTACCTTTATTTGTTGGTTTCTCTTGAAAGAACGTGATTAGTGGAATATGCATACCAAATATGAAGTCTCTATATTTCATGGTTCAAAAGTTATGGTTAAGGTTCAAAGAAGCTACTAGTAGTCGACCGCGTGGCGCAGTGGTTAGAGCGTCTGCTCTAGAGTCGCGAAGGAGTCAATCCTTACGTCGCGGGTTCGAATCCCACTGTGGGACGTGGAGACCGGTCCTTCGGATGAGATCGTATTAGCAGAGGCCCCGTGTCGCAGTAGGTGCTGGTACGAAAAAGATCCCTCCCTGCTCAATGGCCCTAAGTGCCGAGTATAGGACAAAATTTGCAGCTCTGCACCGGCTGGTGGCGGCGTCTCCATATGAGTGAAAAAATCTCGAGAGGGATGTTAAACAATATACAATCAATCAATCAATGAATGATATCAATCAATCAAAAAAACTATTTTTAGCATAAAGGTCACAGTCAAGGTCACAAGGTCATCGACCTGGGTGTCATTTGAAAGAGCTTAATGAGTTAAGTAGGCATACCAAATGTGAAGTCTCTATATTTCATTGTTCAAAAGTTATGGCGAAGATTTAAAGTTGCAGAAAAAAGTTAATTTTACCATATAGGTCACAGTCAAGGTCACAAGGTCATACTTTGATGTCATTTGAAAGAGCTTCATTAGTGGAGTATGGATACCAAATATGAAGTCTCTGTCTTTCATGGTTCAAAAGTTATAGCGAAGGTTCAAGTTTGCTGACAAACAGACAGACAGACAACACAAAAGCAATATATACATGTATATCGCAAGCCAAATTCACAAAAAATGAGCTAAACATAGTTTCACAGTCGATAAACTAGGTTTATCTCTTGTAAACTGTAGTTTACGGACTGTAAACTATAGTTAACGACGTTAATCTATATTTTACATCAGTAAAACATATTTAACGCGATAATCTATGTTTCAGAAGCGTAAACTATACTTAACACTGAAAAAAATCATTTGCGATTGCAAAACATAGATTATCTGATAAATACAATTTCACAATTTGTAAACTATGGTTTACAACTCTTAACTATAGTTAACGACCTGATAAATATAGTTTCACGATTTGTGAAACTATGATTAACAACTCTTAACTACTAGTATACTTCACGATTGTAAATTAAAGTTAACAGACGTGAATCTATGATTATCAACAAAATTTATTGTTAACGTTTTATTACAGACAGATAAACATAGTTTAGCATTCGTAAACGATAGTTAACAACCGTTAAATATATAGTTTTACAGATGAAAACTATAGTTAACGAATTGTTAACTATAGTTTACAGTCGATAAACCTACTGTATCAACTGTGAAACTATGTTTAGCAAATTTTTGTGAATTTGGCGTGCCATAATAAATATAGTTTCACGATATGTGAAAGTATGTTAACAACTCTTAACTATAGTTCACGATTGAATATAATTATTATAGTTTACAGACGTGAATCTATGTTTATCAACAAAATCTATTATTAACGTTTTATTACACACAGAGAAACATAGATTAGCATTCGTAAAATATAATTAACAACCGTGAAATATAGTTTTACAGATGAAAACTATAGTTAACGAATTGTTAACTATAGTTCAGGGTTTGTAAACTATAGTTTACAGTCGATAAACCTAATGAAACTATGTTTAGCTCATTTTTGTGAATTTGGCGTGCCATACACGTAATATAAATGAATTCACTGAAAGTGCAACACTGAACAAAAGAATCGGTAATTTAACTGGGAATTTGGGATTTTTTTTTATTATCCTTGAAATCGAAATCAAGTATTGTGGAATCATTCCATATAAAAATCATGCAAAAGGTGATTCACTCAGGTTCTCAGAATTCAATGATTTTAGTGATTTCACAGTATATTAGTTAAACAGAGTACTGTGGAATCATCATTGTTTGTGGGTCACCCTTATCCACGTATTTACATCCCTAAATTTTTTTTGCCCAATTACAATTTTGAGAATAATTGTCGATTTATTTCTAATATACATATTTTAAAAGGGCGAAAAAATAATTGTTTTTGCATTGTTGCTAGGGAAAATTTTCTGTTGCCATGGAGATTAATGATTATAAATTATTCTTTCTTTTTAAAATTATGTTAGAGTTATTTTCTATTACTTGAAAAATTGTAGCTGCCACAAAAAGATAAAAATTTATAAGATTTTTGACCCAACCCTTTAGCATTTTTCATTTTTTAGTTATCAAAACATCCAATTTTGTTGCTAGGCAACGAATAGGATTTTTCAAAAAAACCCACGCTTTCAAAGACAATCTGTAAAAGAGAAAGTTCTCTACTTTTATGTGAAAGTCATGCAAAATCTGTATTAGCTTGGTATTTTTTTTAAACTGACCTTGAATATTGTAAAAAATCAAGGAAAATGCTGAATCAGCAAAAATGTAAAAACATGCATATATTCTAATGTATACCATAGTACTAGCTTCAGAGAAAATATCAATGTCTTGTGTGTTTTAAACAAATAAAGTATGTGTCTTTATCATACCAGTAAATGTGAATTATTGTTAAAGTTTTTATATACAATTTCAGGCTTTAAAGATCATTGATTTTCAGTGCCTTCAAATAGAAAAATTGGTTGCTTGCTAAGGAAATTACTTTGATCAGGTTTCCATAGTAACCATGATTCAAAACATTTTTTATTTTACATACATGGATCATAGGTCAAGAGAAATCTATGTGTGGAAAATCATTGAATTCTGAGAACCTGAGTGTATCACTCAAATATCACTTTTGCATGATTTTTACACGGACTGGTACTTAATTTGTGGGGGTCAATGTGCCTATGCAAGCAAAATTTTACAAAAATTTAGGGATGTAAATACGTGGATAAGGGTGACCCACAAACAATGATGATTCCACAGTACTCTGTTTAACTAATATACTGTGAAATCACTAATTTTCGTGGGGGTTAATTTTCATTGTTTTCGAGGTTTGAAGAGACCCACGAATTCATGCCCACCATTGAATGTAAATTTTCATATGCACAACTACTTAAGAGTTCTTCATCCACGGAATCAAATCCCTACGAACCAACATTTTTTCATCAAACCACGAAAATTTGACCCCTCGAAAATATGTAATTTTACAGTATCTGGAGATTGACCGTTTAATTTCTAAGAGAGGAATTTGTAGAGTTTTGGAAATCATATTCCTGTCATTGTAATTTTACAAAAATATCGATATGTCGTACACTTAGTTGCCTGAAGGTTACCTCCTCTAATGAATTATTTCATTTTTAGGATCCTGGAGCATTCTAAAAATCTTGTTTTTACACATGAAAGAAACAATTTTTTTTACTTCTAACAAATGAATAAAGATGTCGATTTTGCCATAGGGTGTTTGTGCGATCGCACCAAGCGAACCTAGGTTCCGACGGTTTTGATTTCACCACTTTCCTCAACTGTCATCTGAACTCAACCCTTATCTGTATGTACAGAAACATCTATTGTGTGCAAATACTGAAGGGCATCGGAAATCGGAGATAAATCCTTAACTGACCCAAGTTTAACCCCCTCTGCTCTTAACTTTAAATCGTGGACACCCTCCGGCATCTTTGGCATAGAACATAGCCAATGTTTACATTTTTGCCCTAACAAAGACTTGTACCTATTCTGCAGGATTTCTCTAATGACAGTACTCATTCCTAGTGAAGTTCTTGAGAGGCAACAATAACATAACAGACAGGTGTGCTCGTCGACAATTGATGGTTTATTGTTTGCTTGCTCTTGTCTTTTGGAAAATGTTTCACTCATATTCGCAACAAAAAACAAAAAACAATTAAAAATATTCATATATTGATTTTAAATCCCTCGGTAAATGGATACATGTATATAGCTTCTTTGACTTTTTATTGATCTTCATTCGCAATTGAAGAACGCTAATGAGTAGATGATATATATATAGCATAATTCATCAAGGAATTAATAATTAAATGAATATTTCCATATGGATAAAAAAAAATGAAATTCCAAATAATTTGTGCAAAAAACTAATATCAGCATTTTGTCCAATGAAATTCATTACACAAACACATATTGTTTTTCCAACCACATATTGTTTTTCTAAATCTCATCATCGTCTCAGTCCTAATTTATTTTGGAAAATATGGAGAAAGAGTGGAACGGAAATATGTACGCAACTTACTTTAAAGTATAGTACAAAATAAACTGTCAAGTAATCATATTTCTTAAATCACATATTTCCCTGTCGATAATGAAATAATTATCATGAAACTCTGTTTATTCTATTATGTAAATCGACATATTCATCACTCCTTATTTAGGACCATTTCAAACTTAGTTTGGACTTTCAGTAAGGCGTGGCATTCTCGACGTTACATAAATAACTTTGTTGAAATTGACAGGCGTTAAACATGTAGCGCTGAGAATGCCACGCCTTATTAAAAGTCCAAACTAAGCTGAAAATGGTCCCAAAGAATCACATATATCATCAAAGAATCAACAGGAACACGACTGCAAAACTCCAAACAATGTGAATTTCGAATGAAATGAAACACAGTTTTGGAACGGCAGTGTTGGTAGGTTGTTCATCGGATGCAAAAGCTTTAACGAACACTGGCGGAACTTTTGAATCAAAAGCATATATTTCAATAGCAGAAATATTTCCATCTTCTCCCTCAATAAATTTCAGTGATTTATAATTTACTAGTCCAGAAATCAATCCTACTGACTTAACATAAAATTGGTCTTTGGTTCTCTTTGCGTAAAGGTCAAAATGCCCAAAACCATAGTGGAGGGTCAGTTGAGTTTGGTTCACACTCACAGAGGCAAACCCATAGGGAGTGTTTTTGTATAGACCTACATATTCCCTCACATTTCTAAGGGGTGTTCTTTTAGTGTCTATTTGCGGTTTAGATGAAGACGTTTTACTTTTGAAAGGTTCCGGAAATGAACACATTAAAGTGGCGTTTAGCCATGGGTCCTCGCCAAGATACATGTCTGAAATTAAATTGTGAATATTGGAGCGATATAAGTAGCCCGGGTCATCTCCTGTCATGGCAGAGAACACGCCCAATTGCATGTCGGGATACAATGTTAATTTGGCTCTGTATCCAAATGTACTTCCGGTGTGTGAAAGAATTTTGTATCCTACAAAATGAAAAAAAAATAATTTTAACGAAATGGAGTTCAATGCCTCCACGTTTTCAGAAATATGTATTGTCATTATTACTGAAAGACCATTCTTTTCGATTTATGAATGTTTAAAACACACACATAAATACCTTTAAAATAATAAATCAAATTTGTCAAAACATAAATTTGCATTTTGAATGTGACGTGTGTAAATGTTTATGACAAGGTTTATTTACACAAACAATGTGTTATCATTTTTCTCAATTACGCCAAGAAGCATAGGATGCTCACTTCCCACATGGCACCTGATCCCACCTCTGATGTTTCAGAAGTCCGTGTTTGCTCTGCTCCTATTTGTATTGATAGGATGGACTTATGAGCTTGACTACTGTTCGTTATCTCCATATTTGATTCACTAGTCTCCTGAATAATCGTACTGTTTCAATTTAAACGCTAGAATGGAATGCCATGAAACTCACTATTGAATCATCTCACAGTCCATGTTTGTGTCGATAATACGATTGCGATGAAGTGATGATATAATGATGAGAAAGTGATGCGATAGCACAATATTGATGATGCAATGGTGCGATAATGCGATGACGATGAAGCGATGACACGATGGCGCAAAACCTTGAAGAGGCAATGGTGTGATAGTGATGACATGAAGGGGCAATGATGATGAAGTGATGATCACTATTTCACATTGTTGCGCGATCGCATCGTCATCATCAGGCTTTCGCATCATCGTTTCATTGTCATCGCATTATTGCGCCATAGACGCGTTTTGTTGATGCTCAAAAGCACCCTTGTGGGGAACATAGCCCTATCCATAATACAAACCTCTGTAGTAACCGGTTTTCCATCCCATGGCATAGGAGTCCTCAGTGAGAGTAACCGGAATTAATGGACGCGTGTAGTATTTAGATATCGAGCTACTGGCAACCCTTAGTTGCGGAGAATGCATCATAGTTAGTTTACTTTTCGAAAGCAATCGTTTCCCATTTCTAGTTTCACCGCTGCCTAGATGGAACAACATCCATTTTGCCATGTCGTCTGACGTACTCAAAACACAACCCGAGCCACATAAATCACCCCAACGTCTGTGCATGTAATAAAAATATTGTACATTTTTCAATCTACATTGTTCGGAATGTATGTTTGATAACATATGAAATGCATATTGACATAATCATAATGGAACTTTTTTTAAAGATTTAAATTGGAACTCCAAAAGTTAAGCCTTGGACACGCATTTAACGCTAAGTTTTAAACTCGAGTTTGAGTCTTTTTTTTTTTAAATCTGCAAAAATCAAAATCATGTCCTGTCTAAATTTTTTAGAGGTACTCCGCATTTATATGCTCATCATACCTAGAAAATTCCCAGGGAACTTCTGCGAGTTCCCCATAGTTATCCAGGTAACCTCTCGCTAGCTCAAGTTTTGAGGGGTCGGCAGTTGTGGCAAAATTGGACGATGTCATTTCTAGAGGATCAAAAATATGTTCCTTGATCAGTTCCTCCCAGCTTTTCCCGCCAATAATCTCCGCTATTCTGGTTAGTAAACCGTACATCAAGTTGCTGTAGTAGAAGCTGTCTCTAAATCTCCCTGTCCTATCCAAATGTTTTAATCGTCTGAAAACAATAATCAGCAGATTTAGCAACCTTATACGGTATTCACCGTGATAAAAACTAGTATTCAAGATGCATAATGTGCGGACTTTTTTTATGTGTATGTAACTATTATTGTAATACATGTAATTAAAACGCTTAGTAAAATGAATCTATACAAATCAGATGATTAGATTGAGATATAAATGTGATAAACTAGTACATGTAACATACTTTAAATACTTATATATATAGTTGGAAAAGATCTGATAAATTTGGGAAATATATGTACATATTTATTTAATTAGTAATTGAAAAATTACATTGAATCTTGTCGGCGAAAGCATTTATAAAAGAAAAGATTGGTTTAAAATCATTGCTGTTATCTTAAGCATCATCTTTACTTTATAAAACAATCGTTGTGAGTTAGCGGACCCCCCTCCATAAAAAAATCGAAACGAAAGAGACGTTGACCATAAACTTTACTCCGTTTTATGGAAATTAGGAAACTGGAAAGACGAAAAATATACACATATTGTCGTCACTTTATAATTTTTATGAGTAATAAAAAAAGTGATGATGTGTCATTAAGAGCATTCATTTCAAACCATAAATTTCCAGCTTACAAACAATTACATGTATATAATTTGCTGAGTATATTTATTCCTCTTAATGGGCCCTTCAGCTTAACTCGAGATCAACAACCTTACTGGATTAAGTTTGCCCGGGTCAGGTTGGTGTCCAGTCGTATGTAGTTATTGCCTGGAATACCCATCCGATGAGACAGCAGATCTCTGACTGTAGAAAATTTTGAAAGGATCTCATCCACCAACTGGTCCTTTTGTTAACGAGTAATGAGCAAAAGTTGTTTTGAAAATTTTAATTAGATCAAATTGCGTCTTTTGTTACGTCACTTTTATCAGTATGCTAAACATTCTATAACAGGACTCTCAGTGTCACAATGTGTGTATATCAACTGTGTATCTGTAACGATATACGTACAATATACTAGTACTCAAAGTAAATTTTAAAAAAGGTTTCTTTATGGGCTTCGCCATAAAGAAAATGAGACGATACAAATTAATAAGCTAACAGGGCATAAAACAGGGACCACTAAAACTACAGAAGTGGGATCAGGTGCTTTTGAGGAATAAGCGTTCCCTGTTGGTCATGCATTGACCAGATTTATGGAGTAGTAATCTTTAGTCAAATTATATTGTTTTTATTTTAAATTAAAGATTGAACATTTGATATTTATCATACCATTAAAAATTTATTATAACGATCATAGAGGTCCTTGAAACCCCTGCAACATAAACCTATTTGTCAGAAGCCTGACCAAAAATGATCGTACTAGTGCGTATCGAATAAACATAGGGACATAAACACCCTGTGGAAGCTGCTTCATAAAATTTATTCAAAGCACGACTCTCGGGACAAGGCTATAGAGTCACACTACATGTAAGGGGATCGGTCAAAGTTTAAATACATGTCTAGGTAACGGTCTTTAAAATTCTTCTCAAGATCAGAAGGTATCATTCAGTCGTATTTATGAATGGACATTACAACGTCGTGAATATTTAAAAAAGTATATATCGATTTGAAGCAAAGAGTACAAATTCAAGGAACATAAAAGATGGCCATGTGTTTTTTTAAGGACTTAATCACAATGAAAGCAACATGGCTTTTTCAACCGTAAATATTTAAGAAAGTCAGAGAGAAAAAAAATAATGGTAAGAAAGAAATGAACAGATCTGTTTTGTTATCTCCCAAGTGGGTGTTAAATCCAATATGATTTATAGGCTAACAACAGAAGTTTTGGAATTTTACAAACAATCATGCAGTGTACTCTGGTTGTGAACGGATTGGGTTTTTGCACGGCGAGATAAGAATGCTAATGTAAACAATCACTATATATATATGATAAGAAAATGGGGAGATTTTGATATAAAATATATGTTTTAATGCATCTATCGATTGATTTTTTAAAAACATATATATCTTTGCTTTTGATATTTTTTGTTCAATGTTTTTCGCTTCTAAAATTAGGTTACAATTTATATAAATTTACAAGGTTTTTGATAGAGTCAATAGAGATTAAAAAAAATCAGTCTTCAGAGACAGTACTATAGTATGATATGAGTTAATCACAAATATCTTACTTTGCTTATCCTAAACTTTGGAAATATTACGAAAAACAGCATGAGAGAGAGCATGAACATTGGCACTGTTTGTTAGAATTCAGGTTAAGTCTTCAACTATTTATCTCACCAAGTGTCGATTATT